TGAAAAAATCGCCCTTAACATTTTTTTAGCAGTATACTAACACTCGACTTTAAGAGACACACATTATTCAACATTTAATCAAACCATCAAAAATCTGAAGTGATCGCTTAAAATAAAAAAAATCCTTTTAAAATTTCATTTTCATATTGGCCATCGACACATCTGTTATGAATGGTATGATATCTAAACGAAGTAATTAAGAAAAGACCCTACAGTCTAATTCAACATTTCTGAATAAATTATTTGATTAAATATTCATTAAATATCACCTATTAATAAGAACATAAATGCCCATTTCAGTAAGAGATTATAACATAATGGAGTCGCCCCTTTGGGATATTGCAACAACTGAGGTCCAGCAAACAACGTCCTGAATGTTGGGAGTACACGGACACTACGCATAATAATGTCTTTGGCAACATACAACAGAGGGGATAATAAAGGCTACAGTTCATTTGCATACTTGGAAAAAGGTATTGTAATAAAAGTGAGTCTTTATGGAATGTCTCCAAATGATTATGTACAAATTGGATAGCACACACGGCCTGAATAATCTCGAAACTAGTTCTTATTATGTGGACATTTGATGGCTGTTAGGACTGAAATATCTGTCTTCTTTCATATCTCATTTCTCACAACAAACGTTTTAAATCACTGTATTTCCAGTAGTTCTACCACCTGGCAAAACAAACAATAATTATGCTTTAGGAATTTTGGCAATAGGTTTTAGTAGTGCACGTATTATGTTGATCAATCTTATGCATTTAGTAGTGTCAAGAAAACCAATACTGAAGCTGACGTGATTCCTGAAAGTTGAACCCAGACCAAGTTTTGTTTTGTTTTTCACAAAGTATCTCGTACTCTAAAAACATAGGAAGTATGTACCAATGGTGAAAATACTGTTAGAATTCTTTCAGTGATCAACTAAAGAGCTCGTATGAGGAAAACACAGCTCATAATCAGTTCAAAACAACAAAAATATTTTGTCAACATGGAAAGTAGTTTTCTGATTGACCTATTCATGTATCTGTTTGTTTGACCATAAGTAATGGCCTAGAAAATATGTAAAACCAAAAGAGATATTGGTCCGGCCTTACAAGCATATTATTCTTTCTCAAACTCTAAACCAAACTTCAAATCATACAGATCAGATCAAAGCAAATCAAAACTCTACCTCTCTAACGCAAGAGCCTCCTCAGAACAGCTTCGAGCAAACCAGATTTGTACATTCAAGAACATTGAGCACACTAACTAAACTAAAATCACAAAAACGTGTTAAAAAACTAAATAATGCAACAAGAACAAGGAATTGATGTAAGTCTTAGCACAAGCAGTACCTAGGTGGCAGTACCTAGGTGGCAGCACGGACACACACAGCGTCTTCACACAACAGTCATACTACAAGGTACATAACCTACAAAATGATCCTCAGTTTGGCCCACAAATAATGTTTGTAACATATTTTCTCGTATGTAACATTTAGCAAGCCTCCTATGTACAAACAAAAGATACACAATATATACAGAATGACAGCTAGCATATTGCACAATGCCATTAGGAGTGTGTCAATGATGTATTTATGTATATATATGCAGTTCATAACACTTATTCCATCACACACATATATATCAGAGATTTCCATTACATTGGTTTTTAACTTATTTTTATATCTCTTAATATCCTTTTGTTACTTGGAATGGAAATAAATAAAAACAGATACATGCCTCAGCATTTTAGTTCACCTTATTTTATATCCAACAGCTTAAAACAATCAGTGGGAAAAATATGATTAGATAGCCATATCAAATATGGATTCAAAACCTTTTGTATAAATCAAGGGGTTATCATTGGCAGGAACAGACACACAAGGTAATCTCAGTCCCAATGGTTCTGCCATGTTACCAGTTGATGCCTCGACAAGCACATCGGATCTTGGTTCAGGTGAGCTAACAGTTGCTTATTACTGGTACAATATAATCAACCACGAAACTAACTATAAAATACTTTTATATTAATCTTATTCCTATCATCTAATGCTAGAACAAGTAAATCCTAGTGCTCTGACAATGTTTTTTATAAGAGTGTGGACAGGCAAATCATATTACTTTTCATATGACTGTGAAAAAGTATGCCCCAGAGATTAGAATATGTATTGTGTTCTCTCAAAACAGAAATATACAAATGAAAGTTTGCCTGAGAACCAACAATTATTTTCTTAGCCTAAGTAACCTTGGATCAAGGATAACATATATACAGGATGATATTCACAAACTGACAGACATAGTGATGTGCACATATCATTTCATCCACCCAAATTCACGAAAATCACAATATAGCAACTACCCTTTCTTCAAAAGGACTAACCATATTCTTCTGTTACACAGAAGCATACTTCATCTGAAGATCTAAAACAGTAGTTGCATTCAAAGTTCATGGTAAGAGAACTTCCGAAATCATCCAAGTCACGCAACCATATGGAAACCCTTTGATGTCTGACACATTGGTTCATCACTGAAACCAGTGTTACAATGATAGACCCTTTACAGATACCAGGAACACAATCCTGCAGGTTATACCTACAGGCAGCTTCATACAAATCACTCAAGTGAAATGTTACCATTCTTCCGGGTACCACAGAACAATTTCCTTTCTTGTGCAAATCAATATCTGTGCCATTTTACGAATGTGATATTTTTTTCATATACTTTGATAAATAAAATATTATAAATCAAGTAACATTAGTAAATAAAGCAAATTTTAGGAGAAAAATAATAACAAACTGATAGCCTACAACATGTTGGCAGCTTACAACACACAAGCTGCTCCTATTATGGAAACGTAAATGTGGACCGTGGAATTCAGCCATGGAATGTCTCCTAGTATGTTTTATTGGGGTGGATCAATTCGTCATCAGCTATGCATACAGGGATATACCTCGGTGGTCTCAGAGAACTGGTCTACTGGAGTAAATGTTGGTCAAAATTCCCAAATTAAACATCTTCCTGTTCAGACTTAGAACACAGAAACGTTTCTACTCAGTTTAACATTAATGCACTGACTGCAGTACTAAAACACATCTTAAAGTAGAAAATCAGGACTGTCTTTTCTTCAAACTAACAACACTGTATTCTAATTTGTCTGTCATGGGCATTTAGTTGAAAGCTGTAAAAAGATCCCTATCTCATATAATGTTAACACTAATATTCTAACAGACAAAACTTCAGACAGTTTCAGCAACTATGACTTCCTCCTCTTGAGGTGATAAACCCATTTGAAGTAGACATGAATCCTGTTTGGCTAACTCTTCACGTACATATTACACAGAAAAATGATGTTCTCTGCTATGAAATGAGCAGGGAGTTAACATTCATTGCATCAAGGTTTGTGAAAACATATTCAAAAATAAGTAATACAAGTCTCATGAAAACACAAACAAAATGTTTGAGTCAGTCTCTCACTCTGGTATAAATTCATTGCACAAAAAAACAACTGATCACTGCTAACATGACACACCCCTCAAGGAGGAGGCACTGTTAGAAATCGCTGACAGTCTCTATCACTTGGCTGTAAATGTATTCTAATTCCAGCTATAAAGGCAAACAAAACATATTGACAAGGGAGCAACATGGAACTGTATCATACATTTGCTAACCATGTTCATACTCAATAGCACTATCTTCCTGACGAGCTGCTGGCTGTCCTAACATCTTCCTGACAAGCTGCTGGCTGTCTCACCATCATGCTGACGAATTCATGTCTGTCTCCTGTCTTGCTGATGAGCTGACTGTCTCACCATCATCCTGATGAGCTGATAACAGTCTCACCATCATGCTGATGAGCTGATAACTGTCTCACCATCAACCTGACGAGCTGATGACTGTCTCACGATGATGCTGACGAGCTGATGACTGTCTCACCATTGTGCTGACGAGCTGATGACTGTCTCACCATCGTGCTGATGAGCTGATGACTCTCACCATCATCCTGACGAGCCGATGACTGTCTCACCATCATGCTGATGAGCTGATGACTGTCTCACCATCGTGCTGATGAGCTGATGACTGTCTCACCATCATCCTGATGAGCTGATAACTGTCTCACCATCAACCTGACGAGCTGATGACTGTCTCACGATGATGCTGACGAGCTGATGACTGTCTCACGATCATGCTGACGAGCTGATGACTGTCTCACGATCCTGCTGACGAGCTGATGACTGTCTCACCATCGTGCTGATGAGCTGATGACTGTCTCACCATCATCCTGACGAGCTGATGCTTGCCTCACCATCATCCTGGCGAGCTGATGACTGTCTCACCTTCTAGACAATGAAGCAATGTGTGGCTCACAAGCTTCATCATGAGTTGTATCACAGTTGCCAATACAGCTCCACATCATACTTCTTTTCCGTCGGACTCAACACATGTAAACAGCTTCAAATTGCAGTAACAGTTACAATCTCAAACTGGTAGCTGTATTATGTAATGTCAACTTATCAACATTGAAACAACAGTGATTATGGCAAGCTGCTGTTAACAAAACTACACTGGTAACCGTGGTGACAAGCAATGCAAAATCGTTAACAATTGGTAACACTGAGTGCTGTGTGTGTGAGAGATTCTGAGGCTGGACACAGATGCTGGACACAGATGCTGGACACAGATGCTGGACAATATAGAGCACAACAGGACTCCTACGCCCTACACTGCAGACAGACAGCTTACAGCACTGCAAGCAAGATCTGTTCAAACTCTTGGAATTTCACTCCATCCAGAGATTCTGTGTTGGCTTATACCGAGGTAACTGTGCAAAATCTTTGTAGTGTGAGGTATTTTCATGTGAAAGATCTTCCAGTGGTGGCTCTCCTAAAGGTGACTCGATTCACCCTTGTATACAGATAGTTATCCTGTATTAATGTTCTCCTGTGTTCATGTTGTTCTGTGTTAATCTTGTTCTCTGGTAATGTTGTTCTGCCATGATGTTGATCATCAGTAATGTTGATCCAGATGATGCAAGTTAGTTCAAGATGAAGTTCAAGACCTGACCGTCCCTTCAGGTCGTGACAGAGAACCGGCCTCACACTTTCATACACAATGATATGCTTAGGCAAGTAGCAAAGTTTACTCATTAACTTATCTGGGACTTTTGACTTTCTATTCTTTGGATTGCATGTATTAAGATGTGACTACTTTCTCCACAACCATCATGTTCCATCCCTGTTGTCTTCAAAACAATCCAATGCAATAACAGCAACAAAATACCATAAGACATGTAACCAATACTGACAAACAGTACAGAGTGAGGGAGACTTGAAGCAACAGACACAGTAATTCAACAGAAACATAGCTCCCCTTCTGTCAACAGTGCCGAACCACGAGCACCCTCAGCGTGGTCCTTCCACAAAAGTCAGTCTGTTCAATTCACAGTAACAACTCCATGGAGATCAACATAACAAAAGCTGCAAATGCCATTATGGACCCTCTTCAAATCAGGTTTCCAACAGGCCAAAATCAGGCTTCAAATATGACCCATAGCTTCAAATGTGCCTTCTTTAGGCTTGACATCTGCCCCTGCAGGCTTGACATCTGCCCCTTCAGGCTTGAAATAAGGTGTCCCTGGTGTAATGAGCCTCCAAAGACTATCTGCCTCATCTTGCCAGTGTACAAAATGAGGCACTCCAAGATGGCAAGGTATGACTGAACCTCTCCCTACCAACACATCACAACATTGGTACAGGTGAAGTCGCAGGTGGAACGTGTACTGTGGTCTACTGTTCACTGACACTAGTCTAATGCACTCTATGGAATGATGGTGTTCACGTCTTCTGGCTGGAGATGGCGTCGGCGGCCTGCTGGGCCCGGACTATGTTATAGCAGGCCTGACACACTCGTACCGGTCGCACAATGCGAAGACGCCGGATCTCGGTCTCATACCGGCTACATCTGAAAAGAGGAAAGAATTATTAATAGGCAAAACATTAGTCATGTTTGTAGGGAAGTGTCAATCAAACAAAATGACTGACCAATCAGAAAGTCACAAGTGATATACAGACTCCGCCGACTTTTATCAGTGTGATAGGATATTTGTAAGGTCAGCTTTCAGGACAATAGTTTGTTTTTTCAGAGCAATTACAAATAATATGTAGATAAAAAACTTGAGATGTTGGCTGGTCACTAATGGTGATGAAACAGCAATGTCTGTAGACATGTAACACATGTCATGTTATCAGAAGTATACACGTTAAAAAAAATGGCTGACATTCTAGCCTGTACATTTGGCGCCTCATCACCTCGGCTCTGGTGATAGGTCAGCGGGGTCGTTTGACTACATACCGGTATATGGTGTATTTCAAAGAGTAAATTTCAGTGTAGCAATTTTCGTCTGCAGGTGCTTGGGGACAATAAACTGATGTGCTCAAGTTCTGTCATATGGTTATTATGTACATATACATTGACATTTTCTGAAGACATTTTGAAAGTTTTACTACATATTGACTTGGAAAAATTCAAAACACCAATGTCATCACTATCTACAAATATTCTGCCATGACACATCACTGACCTTGAACAGAACACTTGTCCACAGTTCCGACAATGGTGTCGCCGCTCGGAGAAGGAGAACTTGACAGAGCAGGAGAGACAGCTGTCCACTCCCTCATCCTTCATCCAGTGGTCAGCCACCACACGGCCAGGCTGGTCAGTCACTGTCCAGCTGAATATCCGTCCCTTGGCGTCACCCACATACACTGTCTTGTGGTCCCTGCAACACACACACACACACTTAAACACAGTCTAGGGGTAAAAGCGTTCACTCATCACACCAAAGACCCGGGTTTGATTCCCCACATGGGTACAAAATGTGAAGCCCATTTCTGGTATCTTGACGACATATTTCTGAAATGTTACAACACAATGTATACCTGTCCTTATAAGTGTTAATATGTGTGTTTGTTCTTAATGCTGTTGTCAGCAATATTCCAGCCATATCATAGCAGCCTCTTAATAATCTAATCTGAACCAGCAAAACCAATGATTGATATTATGAGCAATGTCCAACATGGTTGGGGAACGATCATGCACAATCAACCAAGTCACCAAGCCTTGTATAACGTCTATCTTTATTCTATCTGTATGACAGGTGCCTGTAAATAATCAAGTATGGACGTGAAAGTTCCAACTCAATTTGAAACAGAATATCATTTATCTAAAAGATGGTTACAACAAAATGTTTTTGTCGGATGATGTAAGCTTAGCTTACTTGAAAATGGCAAATGAAAATTTCTTAGCTAAAACCTGGTAATAATAAGTGCCTGTTTGGTATCATGAAGGTTCGACTCACTTGGAAATGGCGATGGCTGTGACAGCAGCAGGGTCCTTGTTGTCCTTCCTCTCAAACGCTGTGTGCATCGTCAACTTGCTGCGGAACACCAGCTGACTCTGCCACTGGAAACCTGCCACGGAGGGAAGACCATTGAAAATACCAGTAACACAAACAGCACTGAAATAACATGCTAGACCTGAAAATACATCAACTTCATAACCCAAATACTTCAATATAAAAGGACATGAGTGTATGACAATGTACTGTATGTGTCTTGTCTCACCTTCTCTCAGAGTGTTCTTGTTCTTAGGCTTATACTTCTTCAGCACCTCCTCCATCGACTTCTTCGAGTCTGCCACCTCACCGTCCTGAATCACCACAAAGTCGGAGCTGTTTGATCGAGACGAGTCCGACTCATGCCCCGACCCCTTCAAGTCAGGATGGCTCTTGCTACGACCATCGACACCAACACTGTTTTCCCCACTAGCTACAGCCGCCAGACACGGTTCCGACTGACTTGGCTGCTGGCTGTTCTGGGACGTCACCTTTTCCTCGTCACCTAGTTCGGTGAGAACATCTAGGGCAGTTTCTAGGGAATGTTCCCCTGACTTGATGCTCGAGCTGTCACACTCTCTACTCAAGTCATCTCCGTCACCATTTGTACTTGTGCCATCCTCGCCTCGGTACAAGTCACTCGTGCTACTCGTCGTACTCAGGTTGGACTCCAGTCTTTCGAACACATCCTTCTCTGTGTCACCCGTGTTAGTTTGTTCTCGTTTCTTGTTATCACGGTTCTTCATCCTGTTCACATAGTGATGCTCACTGTCTGCAGATGACCCGAGTTCACATTCCTTTGCTGCCAAATAGTCAGGATCTTTAAAGTCTTTCAACAAGTCCACAGCTGATCGGGCATCGCTGTAGCTATCACAGGACTCACGGCGAGCAATTTTTGGAATTCCGATTGGTTGAGTATTAACAACAGGGGAGGTAACCACATCCTTCTTGCCTGTTTCTGGCTGGTCCTTGGATTTGGTCTTGGTTTCTATCGGCACTTGGACATACTCGACACTCCACATCTGAGATTAAACATAATATGTACATATAACTCCAACCATAAATCTCGTTATAAACATACAATGATCATTATTAAAAAAAAAACTAAATGAGGTTTTAGATGCTTACAAAATTTGAGTCCTAACAGCAGTCTGTCCCCAAACTTTTGCATCGACCAAACTCAACTTGGCATCATTTTCAGTAGATAATAATATGGATTATTACTAGTTGAGGTCACTATATATCAAACAGAACATTTGAAACTCGGACTCCAGACTACTGGTTAAGTCGCAGACTACTATATTCTACCATTCAACAACCTTTTGCCCTCTTCATTCAAGGGTAATGATCAACATCAAGCAAGCAATAAAAGACAACATTAATTACATAAGACATTGTCTCCATTCCACACAAGGCTGTGACTACAAGTACAGCACCTACACTTACAATTGACACCAAACGGTGAAAGCCTAGACTCCATTTAAATTGATTCACAAATTGTCACAGGTATATTCAACATACGTGATGAAATTAACAAAGCAGATATGCTTCTCATAAGAAAGTTTGCTACAAAAACTGACAACTGTTTACAAGGCTTAGTAGTCCAAAGGACAGTTTCCTTACCCGGACAACTCCATCACTGCTTCCTGTCAGGATGACATTCTGTGAGTCCCATTCCATCATCTGAATGCAAACAATAAATTACTGATGTTAAACAAGATGTTCCAATGTGTTAGGTTGTATCAGCTTGTGTAAGTTAGACAGTGAGTCGGGACTGTGTAAGTGCTGCTCTATAATGCTGCCAGAAAAGGCTCCTTCCACTGGCATCCTGAAAATATTTGAGTCTTGGCAAAGCAAACAAGTAGTTCATTTGCAGGGTCAGGTGAGATATGAGACAAGCATCGGTACTGGGGACCTATTCTGATCTTGATTTCTCATGTACTGGAGAACTATTCTGATCTTGATTTCCCATGTACACCGGAACTATTCTGATCTTGATTCCACATGGGAGACAAGCATGGATACTGGAGAACTATTCTGATCTTGATTCCACATGAGAGACAAGCATGGATACTGGAGAACTATTCTGATCTTGATTCCACATGAGAGACAAGCATGGATACTGGAGAACTATTCTGATCTTGATTCCACATGAGAGACAAGCATGGATACTGGAGAACTATTCTGATCTTGATTCCACATGAGAGACAAGCATGGATACTGGAGAACTATTCTGACCTTGATTCCACATGTACTAGGGACCCTTTCTGATATTTATACCCCCATGGGAGACAAGCGCTGATACTGAGGACCAAGTCTATCTTCACGAGTGTGTGATACAGTAGCATGGTGGAGGTGAACTGTACTTGCCTGTGACATGGCCACACATAAGATCTGCTGGTTACGCCCTGTGGAGGTGTTGACACTAGCAATGCCCTCTCCGTTGGTGTTCCAGATGTGAAGGTAGGTGCCAGAACATGTAGCAATGTCGCCCTGTATGATACATAGCATATGGGGTCAACTGAATGACAGACACAAACAGTCCTAACATTTTAATAAAGTCAGCATTAACAATTTCTTATAACAGGATTTAATGAAATAATGATGGGCAGGTATCAATTAATTTCATGTTTTGTAGTGATGCAGTCAGACAGGAGGGGGTGAAAATCTAATATTTAATTTATTATGGCCTTATGTTATATTCCTCCACCATCTTGTCAGAAGCAGTGGTAATTTACTGTCACTGATACAATGAAAACATCCAACATTTCCTGGCTGGATATCAGATCAGGCAACAAAGCAACTCACTGTCAGATCATTGATGGCTACAGCAGCCACCGGCGCTACGTGACCTCTCAGCTGATGTACAAAGATCAGCCGGCTCATATCCCAGATGATACAGGTGCGATCACGTGATCCACTGATGATCACATTGTACGCAGGGGAAGCTGCTAGACATGTGACAGGCTCGGTATGGCCATACAGGGGGCGCTTCAGGAAAGCTTTCCGCTCTTTAGGAATGTACTCCCAGACGTTCACAACCTAGACACAGATATGATGGGATGGGAATTACAATCTCTGATAGTGGAAACCACCACTGGATATATAGATATATACACTTTAAAGAGCATTGCTAGGAATGTAAAGTAATAAGTTAAGGCAATTAGGAATATCTGGGAAAATTGGACTTAAAAGTTTAATCAATTGAAGAGAGATATTAACTGATGTTCACATCTGTACACACCAGATGGTAATAATACATGACGCAGTGTTAGATCGGCTTCAATCGTTGGTGATAAAAAGCGGGACCATACAGAAACTTACACAGCTGAATCCTCCTGTGATGAAGAGTTTGGAGTTGGGGCAAGCAGCACACAGTATCTCTCCGTTGTCCAGACACTCAAACACTGCAGAGGCCTGGCACAGACAAAACAGATCATCAACTCCTTAGTCCTTCATACGTTTTAGTGTCTCCTGCAGTCATATTGCTGGCCGTGGTGTAAAACGATACTTACATACTTATTAGTTAGAGACAAGTTGCCACTGACCCACACATGCAATTCCAGAAACAATCATGACATGACTTCACAGCGATAGAAACTAACAGTTTTAGACCACTAGTCCTTATAATGATAACATATAGCAAAACACTTAAAAAGGGCAAATTTCTACTAGTCCTTATGATACCTTAACTATGGGGCAGTTTGGCAAGGACTATAGGACTAGTGCCAATTTCTAACGCTGCTTCAACATATAAGAAGAGAGTGCACATCTCTTGGAATGAGTGAGAGAGCTGGGTTTTATGCAGCTTCTGGCTTTATTCCAATCTTATGATGTTTGCGCACACCCAGAATTAGCTGCTCCTATTATATCCATTTGGAGAATGGAGAATGCATCAGGGTTATGCCAGGTCTTTAACTACTAGACTACGCTTCACCCTTTGTCTTTGAACAACATAAGAGGTGAGGTGAGGTGAGGTGAAATTGGGTTCAATGTTTTATCCCCATAATGCTGAGGGCCAGGCAAGGTGAATACAAGTTGGATTTTTTAACGTATTTTGGTATGACGCAGCCTGGGATCGAACCGCCGACCTTCCGCTCTCCCTGAGGAAACTCTACCACTAGACCACGGATGCGTTCCAAAGGAGAGACGGGAACACACACTGCAATTTTCTTCAAGTATCCTCCGTACTTGGAGCAACCATGTTGGCTATATGACCTCCAGAATATTCTTCAAAAATAGCATGGAGAACCAAGAAGAGCGGGACATCAAATGGTTGGTTGGTTGGTTGGTTGGTTTGTTGTTTAACGCCGCTCTCAGCAATTTTCCAGCTATATGACGGCTGTCTGTAAATAATCGAGTGGACCAGACATTCCAGTGATTAATATCATGATCATCGATCCACGCAATTGGGATCGATGACATGTATCAACCAAGTCAGCGAGTCTGACCACCCGATCCCGTTAGTCACCTCTAACGACAAGCATAGTCACCTTTTATGGCAAGCATGGGTTGCTGAAGACCTATTCTACATCTTTTTCAAGGCTACATGAAGTGTACATTTATAACTGACCATCAGCCATTGACATGGTGAAATAGAGAGGAACATGAAAATGCCCTGATGTTCATCTTAGAGCATATAATGAAATCTTTGCTTATCCAGTCGATGGAAAGTCTTGAACACATTTCAGTGAGCAGGAAGCAAGTGTACCTACCCTATCAGATTCGTAGTTGCCAATACGGACACTGAGGTCTGAGTAGCCCCAGGCCAGGTACTTGTTGCAGCCCGGTGGGATGAGGACTTTGTTCTGCTCCACAGCCATCACATACTTCTCACTGTGGAAGATCTGACCCACAGCGCTCTTCAATTCTATAACATACAGTACATATATTGCACTGCACTCTTTGTCTCTATAATACACATTACATATTTTGCATGGCACTCTTCAGCTCTACAATATACAGCAGCAGTTCAAAATTTAACAAACCCCAAATTAACAACTGCTTTAAAGAAGCCTTTCCTGCTACTTATCACAAGTCTGTACTTGCTTTTCTTGAATTAAAGCACTTTTCAAGGGCTGTCAATGCATTTCAAGAACTTAACCCTCCATACCACCAAATCAGCAATTTCATTGAAGCATTATGGCAATGTGTGTGTGAACTGTGGGTGGGTTGGTCTGTGTATTGGTCTGTGTATTGGGTGGGTTTATGGAGTGGGTGGGTCTGTGTAGTGGATGGGTCTGTGTATTGGGTGGGTCTGTGTATTGGGCTGATGTGGGTAGCTTGTGGACCTACCTTTGACAGGCTGCATGGAAGGTTTGAGATTGTCAACGTTGTGGAAGAAGAGTCTGTCCGCCGAGGTGCTGGTGTAGGAGCCCATGGGTAGGGGGTCCAGTGCACGGATGTTCAACTTCTTCTGGGGGTGGGGCCGCTTGAACAACTAAACACAACAGCATACATCTCATTTACATAAAACATGTATAGGTATATATTCCTACAGCGCTGGTTCAAAGTTAGTAAGTCAAGAGAAGGAGTTGACAGATTGTCACAGTCACGTTCCAACGACTGATATGTTGGAACTAACTGAAGAAGTTATTACAACCACAGAGCAGTAATGTAAGATTAGTTGACACTGATTATTTTGTACCTTTAAACCATAGAGAGAGAAAACATCTATATCTCAAATATCGGCAAATTTTCATGTCAGGAATCTAAATGAAATCTATCTCCAAAGATTAAAAATCAGTGAAAACAAATTTATTATTACAAATCACATACAAAGAGTGAGTGAGTATTGTTTTACACCACTTTTAGCATTATTCTAGCAATATTCCAGCATTATCACGGCAGGGGACAACAGAAATTGGTTTCACACATTGTACCCATGTGGGGAATAAAACCCTGGCCTTCGGTGGGACAAGCGAAAGCTGTAACCACTAGGCTACCCGACCTCCCCACATACACTGACAAATCTGTGTACATGAAAGAAAACAAGTATTTGTCACAGAAGTGACGAAATGTCCCCCGCCTGTATATACACCATAGTACCAAATATGAAGACAATCCAGCGATTACTTCTTGAGATATCGCGGCAACGCCGTTTTTCAACTCCAAAAGCAGATTTACCTGCTGAGCCTTGAAAAAGGGGTCAAGGTCACCAGAACCGACTGGTGTCTGCGGAGTCTGTATATACACCATAGTTCCAAATATGAAAACAATCCAGTGTTTAGTTCTTGAGATATCGCGGCAACACCGTTTTCAAACTCAAAAAGCAGATTTGCCTGCTGTGACCTTGAAAATGGGGTCAAGGTCACCAAAACTGACTGGTGTCTGCGGTGTCTGTATACACACCATAGTTCCAAATATGAAGACAATCCAGCGATTAGTTCTTGAGATATCGCGGCAACACCGTTTTCCAACTCCAAAAGCAGATTTACCTGCTGTGACCTTGAAAATGGGGTCAAGGTCACCAAAACCGACTGGTGTCTGCGGAGTCTGTATATACACCATAGTTCCAAATATGAAAACAATCCAGTGTTTAGTTCTTGAGATATCGCGGCAACACCGTTTTCAAACTCAAAAAGCAGATTTGCCTGCTGTGACCTTGAAAATGGGGTCAAGGTCACCAAAACCGACTGGTGTCTGCGGTGTCTGTATATACACCATAGTTCCAAACATGAAGACAATCCAGTGTTTAGTTCTTGAGATATCGCGGCAACAAACAGGTGGGACGTACGGACGGCGTACGGACGGTCGTGAATACTATATCCCCCGCTTCACGCTTTCGCGCGGCGGGGGATAATCATTTAAAGGGGTAGCACCTGTCTCTACAGAAGAAATCTCTCCACCAACCTGTTTCGGTATTTGCCCAAAGTTGTTTATGAAACCAATTGTGGCGTTCTTCTTAAGAGGATCATCAATGCTGTAGATGTCCACATTGCCCTCATAGAACAGATGGTGGAACACATTGACGGACTCCACGGCTGGTGGTCCTCGCTGCTTGCAGCCGAAGATCAGGTCTATCCATTCATGGAGGTGAGCGCTCACATAGTCACACTCAAGAGCCTGGCAATGGCAATGGAAGACATTAATCATCAATCATTTCATAACATTGTTTTGAGGGAACGAGTGAAGTGAAATGGGGTTTAGAGTCGCGTCCAAGATTATTGCAGTTATATAGCGACGTCTTTTGATCAAACACCAGGACCGGGGATCGAACAACGGACACTCTGCTCTACGGGTGGACGCTCTATCACTAGACCACGGAGGTGGTCGGGAACGAGCGAATGATCTATTATGGTGGTTGTAGGTTTGTTTAAAATAATTTTTTTTAGATGCAGGAAAAAGCAAAAACAACCCACTTCTCAATTACATTCTTTAATCACTGCTTACAAGATTGTACCAAGGACGTTATTCAGTTTACAAACAAAACATTATGCATAGAATAAAGTATTGGGGTCCTAACAGTCATCACTTGGTTGTAAAAATAATAGCCGGTCAGTTGCAAGTTCAACTCCATACATGGTTAAAGGTGATCTAGCAATTTGGGGAGTTGTGCAAGTTGCAGCAATAGTAAAGAGATCTCTGGGCATAAGCTATCACTGTGAGGAGCTTGGAGTTATCACTGGTGACATACCTCTCTGTGGGCTCGGATGAATTCTCTAGGGTCCCCTTTAGCCCAGGCCGGTAGTATGACATCACCAAGCTGGACCCCGCTCTGCTTACAACCTGCAACACGAACACACAAGCTGTAGGAAACACTCATGTTCTTGATGTCCTCAGATGTGACTTCAATATTTGTTTGTGTTTATGGAGGTATGGACGTAAAAACCAACATTCCTACTGTGTAAATCCGCATAGCCAAGACATCATGTACCTACCTAGGTCAAAGTTGTTCTTGTTAATCAAGAAGTCCGGCAGGTAGAAGAACTCTGGAATAAGCTCTTTCACATCTGCCATGTTGTGTTTAGCTGCTGACAGCCAGTTCTCTCGGACGCTGTGAAACATTCTGTCAGCCAGGTCAAAGTGACCTCCCTTGAAATGAAATCAACAGATCATTATCTCACTGAAGTCTACATCTAGATAGAGGGAGGCTGTACTCTAGGGCCTGGTGCCGGGCATATCATAAACTTGAAGTTCGCAAAAGTAGAATGGTTGTTATTGGTGACTAAAATGCTGAATATATTTCTACTCTTGATGGAATGATGAAGTACTCAATTTCAAAGATGGTTTTGTGGAATGAATGGCTGGCTGGATGGGTTGGTCTGTGTATTGGGTGGGTCTTGGTATTGTGTGGGTCTGTGGATTGGGATGGGTTATGGTGTGGGTTGGTCTGTGTATTGTGTGGGTCTGTGTATTGGGTGGGGTTATGGAGTGGGTGGGTCTGTGTATTGTGTGGGTCTGTGTATTGTGTGGGTCTGTATATTGGGTGGAGTTTTGGAGTGGGTGGGTCTGTGTAATGGGTGGGTCTGTGTATTGTGTGGGTCTGTATGTTGGGTGGAGTTATGGAGTGGGTGGGTCTGTGTATTGTGTGGGTCTGTGTAGTGGGTGGTTCTGTGGATTGGGTGGGTCTGTGGATTGGGTGGGGTAATTGAGTGGGTGGGTCTGTGTATTGGGTGGGTCTGTGTATTGGGTAGGTCTGTGTATTTGGTGGGGTTATGGAGTGGGTGGGTCTGTGTATTGGGTGGGTCTGTGTAGTGGGTGGGTCTGTGGATTTGGTGGGTCTGTGGATTGGGTGGGGTAATTGAGGGGGTGGGTCTGTGTATTGGGTGGATCTGTGTATTGGGTGAGTCTGTGTATTGGGTGGGTCTGTGTATTGGGTGGATCTGTGTATTGGGTGAGTCTGTGTATTGGGTGGGTCTGTGTATTTGGTGGGTCTGTGTATTTGGTGGGGTTATGGAGTGGGTGGGTCTGTGTATTGGGTGGGTCTGTGTATTTGGTGGGGTTATGGAGTGGTTGGGTCTGTGTATTGTGTGGGTCTGTGTATTGGGTTGGGGTTATGGATTGGGTGGGTCTGTGTATTGGGTGGGGTAATTAAGTGGGTGGGTCTGTGTATTGGGTGGGTCTGTGTATTGGGTGGATCTGTGTATTGGGTGAGTCTGTGTATTTGGTGGGGTTATGGAGTGGGTGGGTCTGTGTATTGTGTGGGTCTGTGTATTGGGTGAGGTTATGGAGTGGTTGGGTCTGTGTATTGGGTGGGGTTATGGAGTGGGTGGGTCTGTGTATTGGGTGGGTCTGTGTATTGGGTGAGGTTATGGAGTGGGTGGGTCTGTGTATTTGGTGGGGTTATGGAGTGGGTGGGTCTGTGTATTGGGTGGGTCTGTGTATTTGGTGGGGTTATGGAGTGGGTGGGTCTGTGTATTGGGTGGGTCTGTGTATTGGGTAGGTCTGTGTATTTGGTGGGGTTATGGAGTGGGTGGGTCTGTGTATTGGGTGGGTCTGTGTATTGGGTGGGTCTGTGTATTTGGTGGGGTTATGGATTGGGTGGGTCTGTGTATTGTGTGGGTCTGTGTATTGGGTTGGGGTTATGGATTGGGTGGGTCTGTGTATTGGGTGGGGTAATTAAGTGGGTGGGTCTGTGTATTGGGTGGGTCTGTGTATTGGGTGGGTCTGTGTATTGGGTGAGTCTGTGTATTTGGTGGGGTTATGGAGTGGGTGGGTCTGTGTATTGTGTGGGTCTGTGTATTGGGTGAGGTTATGGAGTGGTTGGGTCTGTGTATTGGGTGGGGTTATGGAGTGGGTGGGTCTGTGTATTGGGTGGGGTTTACGAGTGGGTAGGTCTGTGTATTGGTTGGGTGGGTCTGTGTATTGTGTGGGGTTATGGAGTGGGTGGGTCTGTGTATTGTGTGGGTCTGTGTATTGGGTGGGGTTATGGAGTGGGTTGGTCTGTGTATTGGGTGGGGTTATGGAGTTGGTAGGTCTGTGTATTGGTTGGGTGGGTATTTGTATTGGGTGGGGTAATGGAGTGGGTGGGTCTGTGTATTGGGTGGGGTTTTGGAATAGGTAGGTCTGTGTATTGGTTGGGTGGGTCTGTGTATTGTGTGGGGTTATGAAGTGGGTGGGTCTGTGTATTGTGTGGGTCTGTGTATTGGGTGGGGTTATGGAGTGGGTTGGTCTGTGTATTGGGTGGGGTTATGGAGTGGGTGGGTCTGTGTATTGGGTGGGGTTATGAAGTGGTTGGGTCTGTGTAGTAGGTGGAGGTGTCTGTGGAGTGGGTGGATGGGTGGATGTATGGATAGGGTGGAGGGGATGGGTGGGAGCTCGGTGTGGAGTAGGTGATTACAGACCCACGAGTTCAGATGCCAATCTAATCACAGGCTGAGATACTATGCCACAAGATTAGTCTCTGACCTGGAGTTTCAGGAAGTGCTGTGTGAAGGGTTCCATCCTGACTAGATAGGAGGCCACGATCATGGCTGACGAGTAGTGAGTGCCGTAATGGTAGGGTGGGGTTTCACCTGCAAACATAAAACATCGGCATCATTTCATTTCCCGATCAATGTTTCCGCAGATAACAAAAATGTGAGCGAGTGAGCAAATGGTGAAGTCATCAATATGCCAGCCTTATGACAGCAGTAAGCAAGTTATCAGTGATGGACAACATCATCAGGGTATGAAACCATTGGCCAGGTAATCTAACCACCTGATTCCCACGATAGCCCATGTTTGTATTTTATCACTTTATATAGTGATCCCCAACAATCATCACAAGTGATCCCCAACATTCATCAAAAGTGATCCCCAACAATCATCACAAGTGATCCCCAACATTCATCACTAGTGGACCCGTGAAGATGCAGGGTAGAATAGGTCTTCAGCAACCCATGCTTGTCGTAAGAGACGACTAACGGGATCGGGTGGTCAGGCTCACTGACTTGGTTGATGCATGTCATTGATCCCAATTGCATGATATTAATCACTGGATTGTCTGGTCCAGACTCAATTACTTACAGACGGCCGTCATATAGCTGGAATATTGCTGAGTGTGGCATTACAACAAACCAACCAACAAACTAACCATCACTAGTGATAGCTGATATTCTTAAGTAGTGATCAGCTGACATTCGTCACTAGAGATCAGCTGACATTCGTCACTAGAGATCAGCTGACATTCGTCACTAGAGATCAGCTGACATTCGTCACTACTGATCAGCTGACATTTGTCACTAGTGAGCACCCGATATTCGTCACTACTGATCAGCTGACATCCGTCACTAGTGATCACCTGATATTCGTCACTACTGATCAGCTGACATTCGTCACTAGCCATCTACCAGCTTCACCCACCTTGAGGATCATCCCACTCGTTGTATCTCTTCTCGAACTGTTTGAGTCTGTCTGGGGACTGGGCCCCCATAGGAGCCGACAGATCTCGGAATGTAGAAGCTTTGTACAAGTCCATCTCCTGTAGACGGAACCAGACAACACATAAATACCAGTCCACAAATGTGAACAAAAATCTGTGCAGTCATTTTCAAGTTATAGGTCACATACAAAATTGTCCTCTGAAGGATTATAGCAATGCGGTAGAAAGCAATAAGACAGCGCTTTGCAAACATCAGGCTGTACAACAATAACAAACACAGGGAATCACTATCAATGCAAAATTTAACACTCAAAAACAGAAATCACTTTGTACGTCCACTTATGTAACACTTTCTAAACAATAAGCAAGTCTTAACACTAACTGCTGGGATATACGTAATTAACAAAGGCATATTCCCCCATTTCATGCGATCAACAAAAGTAATTCACTTTATTCATTACCGTATATCGCTGTGTACAAGGTGAGTTTTTCGTACCTAATATGAGGGGGTTAAGAAGGGGGGTTGTCTCATACACGGAGTCGAAGATCTCACATTTTTTTCCACTGGCGATGTGGAAAACAACGCAAGATGAACATATTTTTATTGCATATATAAGGTTTGTGTGCGCACTTGTGATGTGCTTCATTCCAGGTTGCCTTATACACGGAGAATAGGATTTTGGGTTGATTTTGAAGGTGTGTACTCGTCTGATACGTGGGGTCGCCTTATACACAGTGATATACGGTATGTAAATGAACTAGAAGACTCCTCAATGGCTTTGCTCCTACCTCGGAATCATAGTCGTTGATAATCCAGGGAAACACAGGGTACTGCATAAGGTCGTTGTAGCATCTCCCCGCCAGGGTGTTCAGGTGCATAAGGTACTGGAAGTTGTTGATCTCACCCCGCTGTGGGCAGACACACAGGGCTCATTATACTCAACCAGAGACACAACACAGGTCAAAAGCAAGGAGGAACGTCAAGGGTCCTTGTCTCCTAATTGTTAAAAATTTCATAATAATGACATTTTCAATACAATGCCATACAATGTTCTGTCAGATGATGTCAGTGAGTGAGTGAGTTGGGTTGTAACGCCACTTTTAACATTATTCCAGTTATATCGCGGCGTGTCAGCTTAATGTCTCAGACCTTTACCACTTTGGTGAAACCCACGAGCACGGGTATGGTGCTGACAAACCTAGAAACATAAGCGGGGTGAACCAGGATTCGAACCCACAATCATAGGTTTCTGGCGTGTCCAGGGGACGCAACTCTGCACAGTGAATCGTGGCGCCTTAGACGACTGGGCCACCTGTGCCTCCCAGTTGATATGACATGTTTAGGGGGATCCTTAGATGATAATTTTATAGCCAAAAACACGCCCCCTTGATTAACAGTGAGGTGAATGGAACTTGGACCATGGAGAGAGGAGTGTTTGTTATTCATCTATGTCATTAGACAATCCATAGCAAGGTAAATAACCACGTCTTGACCTAGTTCCATCACTCATGTTGGCCACATTCAAACAATAAACCATTACATATGTGTTGCTACATGATGGACTCAGTGAGGAGGTCCAGCATTGGTTACTGGTGGCCTATAGTCCATGTTATAAACAGTTGAAGATAATATCGTTATACAAAATATGTTTGACAAATTTGTTTTTAAATATAACTATGTATACATGACTCAATTGTATATATATCAACTTATGGCTTAAATAATGCTGATGCAATGTTAAATGTTAACTCACTCACTCAAATGATGGACTGCAGTTAAATACTACTGCCAGTGGTAATGACTGTGAATCTGATAGGGAATTTAACAAAATATTAATGATGATGATGATGATGATGATGATGATGATTCCATTTGATATGACTATTGACACCTACCTCCCATCTCTGCGTCACAGACTTCTCCCCTATCAAGCTGCTGATGAGGCCACCACTGCAAGGAGGTTGACACATGAAAATACAGCCCTTAATGTGAGGTGAGGTTAGGTGATATGCACTTACATAGCGATGTATATGCACATGTGAGAGTGGCTGCTTGTACTTGTCCAGACTTAAGCCAGTTTTATAGTCTTATTCCACTGAGATATCAAGCCACCGTTTATAAATACTGACTCCGTGCTGACTAGTCTTTGTTGTATCCCCTTACAGCCGAGTGCCAGGCAGGATAACAACAAGTACCATCTTTTAACGTGAGGTTAGGGCATGGTAAACATTTTATAGAGTGTTTGCTTGTTTGTTATCTAGAAAAGGCTTAAAACTGCTCAACTTAAACCCTTCTTTCATATAGGTTCGAGAATGATGACAGATTATTCAAAAGATACCATCAATTGTTTGATAGGCATTACTTAGAAGTTGACATATGACAAAGTAGACACAATAAAAGACTGTCTTGCTTGACAACAGTATAAGGATCTATATTGAAACGTCGTCTTTACAGTATTAAAGAAGCTGTCATCCATAAATTGTGTCTAGTTTGAGATATCATTAAGTATGTTCAGAAGAGTCCAGAACCATTCAGTTTATCTCTGAAAAGTGCACTGAAACTATACGTGACGTACCCCGATTCTACTTTAGCATTCTGCTTCTGTCCGGACACTGACTGTTGGGCATTGTCAGTGATCGCTGTGGCCACCGACAGAATTCTGAAATCATCATCCAGGTTTTAGTGAATACATTAAGTCAAATTTATGTAAAATCAACCATATGTTTCAATAACAATTCTGATATTACTTTGGAATGATCTTGTTTGGTTTGGTTTGTTTGTTGTTTATGTGTTTACGCCCCACTCAGCAATATTCCAGCTATATGAAGGTGGTGTGTATGTAATCAAGCCTGGACCAGACAATCCAGTGATTGACATCATGAGCATCGATTCACGCAGTTGGGATACGATGATCTGCATCAACAATGTCAGTGAGCCTGACCACCCAATCCCATTAGTTGCTTCTCATGACAAGCATAGTCGCCTTTTACAGCAAGCATGGGATGCTGAAGACCTATTCCACCCCGGATCTTCACAGGTCGAATGATCTTGTAAGACATAATGGAAGGACTACTATATAACATCTTCTAGCATCCAGAGATGCAAACCCAAACAGAATCGTTGGTGCAATCAGTGGGGTGAAAAAGCATGATTTAATTTAACAGTACCATGACGCAGGGTTTTGATTTGACATTTTTGCTAGGCCTGGACATAAGTGAAACATGTGGTCAAAGCTCCACACATTCATAAAATTCATCATCACTAATTAACTGTTTGTCAAAAACACAAGGTGGTGTTGAGAGTTCCGAAGTAACATCGTTGTAAATGCAATTAGTTCCCTGTCTGCACCCACAATTGATAAAATGACTTAAGTGTTTTAACATGACAACCAATCAGAGACCTTGTATCACTCAGTAATGGATATTATAACACTATGTCAATTGAAAACATGGCTCTCATTGGTCAGCATTGTCTCGCTGTAGAATGCTTCATGTCACAGGTACATTAACAATTTGCTCACCATGATATTTCAAGCGTGTGAATAATTCGCGAAATAGAATCATAATGTAGTGGGAGAACACTAAATGTTCAGTTTTAGGCTCAAAATTGTAACTATTACACCCAAATCATAATGGTTGGAATCTCTGTAATATCAACGAATTGTTTGGGTTACAAGGTGCACTCACTTTGCATACACTTTGTTCCTGATCTTGCGAGGGAACGCCAGTAGATAGTTTCTGCCATCAGCAGAGAAAACCTCGATGGCAATGGGCTGGAGCAGGTAGCGGCGTTTGTGCACCTCTCGCACCTCATCATAGGCGAACTTGCTGCACCTGTTGAATCAGACACATGACATCAGACAAAGATACTGACCACTATCTCATACTGACCAGGGTGCCATTGTACAAAACAACCTTAGCCCTACAACTCTCGTAGGTCTATGTTAAGGTATGGGAGTTTCCATCACCTTAGCACTAAGATCACTTTGTATAACGGCACCCAATCATATAACATTACTTTAAGGTTCATCAAGTGTAGTTGTTGAATGAGTAAGTCTGAGAGGTTTGACTCCAATCTCAGCATAGTCAGCATCATCATGACAAGAGATGCCTACAATGAACCTCACTGTACCCACGGGACTTGATCCTGGGTATTCAGCATGACCAGTAAACACTTTAACCATTAGGCTACCCCTGCTGTAAGAAAACCAGTCAATGGTTACCTCAATCAGGGTTACCATGCTGAGATTTCCATTTTGAAAAAGATGAATAATATGAATGGCAGGTGGCTATGATATGTGACTTTATGAATTTGCTGCTAAGTCCCATTTTTAGACTAAAAACTGTTCATGTGATAATTGCTGTTTTTAGATATAATGTCAGACATGTATCCTGAAATGTTTTTAAAAAATGATTATATTACATTACGAACTAACGGGAGAAAAATAAGATATGGCGATTTTTAGGGAAGTAAGTTGACATCAAAACGTCTTTTTTATGACGTCAAAGCACAATTGCATCATAGCACCCATAAGATCCCTTTTCTCTTGGTGGGTCACATATGTTATGTTACTATTCGGGCTACTAAATAGCTCAGGTCAAGTTGGTGCATCCCTGCATGATAAGAGCATAACAAGACACTAATCAGTTGGGTGGTATATCTACTGTTGTGACTGCCGGATCTACATATTACTCACCTCCTTATGTGACAAGTATATGATAGTACAGCAGAACACGGAGAGAACAAACATGGATAGGAGCGAACAAACATGGATAGAGCGAACAAACGGATACAACATTCCGTTACAAAATCCCTGAATTATTTCCTACATATTATCATACATAATGTACATAAATATACTCTCTACAGCAAATTAACATACACACTGAACTGTTACTTGACCCCGAAACACCACTTATTAGTGACATGTTGAGTGAACTGTGAAATCTCACTTACTGTCAATTATTGTCACTGACATGGATATACTCTATATATCCATGCTATACAGCTGTGACTAAAACACTTACATTCTCTTCAGTGCACCCCCACTGCTCATTGATGACTTGGGAATGATTGGATCGTGATACCTGCAAAATAATGGAGTGTATGAGTGGGTGATTTTATGCCACCTTTAGTAATATTCCAGCAATATCATAGCAGTGAACATGTGTGGAAACAAACAGGGGCCTTCAGTGTAATGAGAAAATGGTTTAACCACTAGGCTGCCCCAATGACCCCTTCCCCCAGATAATACAAATCACAATCACACTATCTGAACTGTTCATACACAATTTAGTGACATATGCAGACCTTAATAACACTGTTAAGTTTCATTGTTTTTACGTGCATTTACTATTTTAAATATTACATTCATATAACACACTACAAGACATTTAAAACAAAAATGAAATAATTACAATCAAATATTATACTCAAGTGTGTAAACACAACAAATACGACATTTTTATCTTCCCTGTATTAGTACAACAACAATATTCACCACTGAATAAAAAGGTTACATAAAGTGGACAGTAATATTCATATCGTTGACAACGTGACTCACTCGGGGGGAAGAGTGTCAATGTCTTTGATCTCCCTTGTCTTGAGGAGCGTGAAGCCATCAATCACATAGAAGTGTTCCTTGCCGAACAGTAGCAGTCCCTCTGCCGTGTCCAGCCCCTGGATCCGCGCACACCGGAACATGTGGGTGATCTGCGGAGGAAGATAACGTTTACTTGTAACACTAGTTGCATACTTCCTGCTGCAGCTATGTCCTTGTGGACCCGTGAAGATCCGGGGTAGAATCGGTCTTCAGCAACCCATGCTTGCCGTAAAAGGCGACTATGCTTGTCGTGAGAGGCAACTAACAGGATCGGGTGGTTAGGCTTGCTGACTTGGTTGATGCATGTCATCAATCCCAATTGCGTGGATCGATGCTCATGATATTAATCACTGGATTGTCTGGTCCAGACTCGATTATTTACAGACCGCTTTCATATAGCTGGAATATTGCTGAGTGCGTCATTAAACAATAAACCAATCAATCAATCAATCAATTATGTCCTTGTAGTGACCATTTGTCACTACTCCCTAGATTCACATCAATGGAGGGAGGGTGACAGGTTTCATATGAATATGGACTACATGAAGACCAATTCATCTTTTAATATGGTTTAACAAATGTAAAACAGGAACATATTTACACTTGCAATACATTTTCGGTACAAAAAGAATAAGACATATCATCTTAAATACCCAATTCTTTTCCCAATTCGTGGAGAAACCGTAAAACTGTTGGTTAAAGAAGGGAGACAATTCTACATGCCTGAAAGTTCAAGGTGGGTCCACATTTAGAAATATTTGCACAAGAAGTTCTTACTCATCCTCCAATAGGTATGATTGATCATATCTAATTTGTCTCCTTAATACTGAGCACCGGGCATGGTAACAACAGTATCATCTGTTAACATCTTTTGTATGATGCGGCCATACAATTGATCTTTCTAATTTCTTCCTTAATACTGAGCACCAGGCATGGTAACAACAAGTACCATCTGTTAATATCTTTTGTATGATGCGACCATACAATTGATCTTTCAAATTTGTCCCCTTAATTCTGAGCACCAGGCATGGTAACAACAAGTACCATCTGTTAACATCTTTTGTATGATGCGACCATACAATTGATCTTATCTACTTTGACCCCTTAATACTGAGCGCCAGGCATGGTAACAACAAGTATCATCTTTTAACATCCATTGTATGATGCTCCAGAGGATCGATCAATCCACCTTCCAGTCTCCTACCCCATACCAAACCATGAGCCCATATTCACATCCTACAGCATGCCTTGTCCCCGGCACCCACCTTCTCCTTGTCTCCCAGCAGCCTGAGGATGGCCTGGTTGTCTCCCTTGTCCCCTGTGGACTGACCCTCCTGTTGACCCTCCCCTGTAGTGGTGTCTGACCGCTCCCCGTCCGTTGTGTCGGCCGTGTCGACGCTCTGGAGGTCATCCGGGTCCTCATCCTCAGTGCCGGACCGTTGACTGGTCGACCGAGGCAGAAGCTTCGGCATATTCATGATGTCAGCTGCAAGAACAAGGACACCAGCATTAATAGATCTGTCGGGACATTATTTAATGTTAGTTTGTTTGTTTGTGGTTTAATGCTGCACTCAGCAATATTACAGCTATATGACAACTGCCTGTAAAAATCAAATCTAGACCACACTATCCAGTGATTGATAGTATAAGCAACGAGCCACACCATCAGGGTACAATGACACACCATCAACCACGTCATCGAGCCTGACCAACTGATCCATTAGGTCACCTCTTATGACCAGCACAGGTTGCTGGGAAACAATTCTAACCCGGAATCGCAACAGAGAATCAATGTTAGTTCCAGAGTGCTGAAAACTGCTGTCCCAGGAGATTCATCTGGCAGCAACATGCAACACATGAACCTGTATGACACATTGTACAATACATTACGTCCTCACCTTCCAGTGACCTGTCCGCCCCATTCTCAGACTCGGCAGACAAAAGATCAGCATCGCCAGTGCGCTGGATGGGCAGAGATTCCATACCCAAGATTGTCTGAGGCCGATACTGCTCACAGAAATCCTTGCTATCAAAACTGATGGCTACTTTGTACCTCAGGGGCTGAAAATAAGACCATGGACATCAACAGTCATGACATAGATCATGTTATTTAATTGTTTACACAAGTTTTAGTGGGGGCACGCATGGCTCAGTCGTCTAAGGCGCCACGATTCGCTGTGCAGAGTTGCGTCCCTTGGGCATGCCAGAAACCTATGATTGTGGGTTCGAATCTCGGTTCACCCCGATTATGTTTCTAGGTTTGTCAGCACCATACCCGTGCCCGTGGGTTTCATCGAAGTAGTAAGCGTCTGAGACCTGCATCACTTCAGGCTTTCCTCCAACATTAAACTGACATGCCGCAATATAACTGGAATATTGTTAAAAGCGGCATTAAACCCAACTCACTCACTCACAAGTTTTAGCACATCAGACCTAGATCTAACTGTGTCAATCAGGGTCACAACGACAGACTTAAGTAGTTCCAGGGGACATAGTTTGTAAACGACGCTGGCTTAGTCGGCTTAACAGCTAAAATGATATTTGCTTACATATTACTTAGACAACACAACTGATATTTACAAATTCACACCAATTTGTTAAATCTCTTCTTTTTTCGATAATTTCATTGTCTTCATGCGGGTCAATTTGTAAAGCAACTATTGGGTCTAAAGACTTCAACACCTAATGCTGATACTTACACTGTCCTCCAGATCAGGCCTGTATGGATAATGCACATAAAACAACTCATTGCAGTGCATCTTCTTCCTCATTCGACAGGGACCTACAACACAAGCACATTGACACAACTACTTCCAGCCTCCATGATACACACATGTTATGCCAGGATCCCATAAACATGCCATCATTAAAAATGTATTTGTCAGAATAAAAATGGGTTTTTCAGATTAAAAACGATGTTTTATTGGTCTGTTTTCAGTCGTACAATTGGGTATCTCATACCTCTAGTCGCACGTTAAAAGGAAGCTAGAAGCTGGAATGTAAACAATAAACTTGTTTCCGTCCGGTTGCGCACGCACCTCCCGATGACATGCCACAAATCTCGAAGAATAAGCCATCAAGCAGGACTGGACTGGATTACTTCCCAGTGGGGATGGCTGGGTGGGAACGTACGACTGAAAACAGACCAATAAAACATCGTTTTTAATCTGAAAAACCCATGTTTTAGTCTGTTTTCAGTCGTACAATTGGGTAGAATTCGACGGAACACTGGAAGGAGGGTCTGGAAAGTAATCCGGAAGTGACCTCTTGCACGTCGAATGTACCAAGTTCCTCACCCCCGTAGTGACAATAGAACATTCGACCAGATGCACAGACGAGACAAATTGTTTATCACGAACGCACAACATGGTTAATGCTCATCAACACAAAACTAATTATCGATGCGACAGGACAACTGCACGCGTCAGTTGAACGGCGATCGAAGTGGTCGACGTATAGTTTAGTTACAGAGCAACTCGCAGTATACAAGGTAACTAAACAGCATCTTTAATGCTCTTCGACCCACAAGTAAGTATCGATGCGACAAGGCAACTGCACACGACAGTTGAATTGCAATCGAAGTGTGGACGGCATATAATTTAGTTTCAGAACGACTCGTCGTATCTAAGGTAACTAAAACTGCATGTTTAATGCTCTTCGACCCACAAGTAAGTATCGATGCGACAGAACAACTGCACACGTCAGTTGAGGTGCGATCGAAACGTGGTCGGCTTATAATGTAGTTACAGAACGACTCGTCGTAGGCAAGGTAACTAAAACAGCATGTTTAATGCTCTTCGACACACTACTAATTATCGATGCGACAGGACAACTGCACGCGTCAGTTGAACTGCGATCGAAGCGGTCGACGTATAGTTTAGTTACAGAGCAACTCGCAGTATACAAGGTAACTAAACAGCATGTTTAATGCTCTTCAACCCACAAGTAACTATCGAAGCGACAGGACAACTGCACACGACAGTTGAATAGCGATCGAAGTGTGGACGGTATATAAAGTGGTTCAGAACGACTCGTCGTATCCAAGGTAACGAAAAATAGCATGGTTAAGGCTCTTCGACACACAACAAATTATCGATGCGACATGACAACTGCACACGTCAGATGAATTGCGATCGAAGTGTGGTCGGCGCATAATTTAGTTACAGAGCAACTCGCAGTATACAAGGTAACTAAAACAGCATGTTTAATGCTCTTCGACCCACAAGTAACTACCGAAGCGACAGGACAACTGCACACGACAGTTGAATTGCGATCGAAGTGTGGACGGTATATAAAGTGGTTCAGAACGACTCGTCGTATCCAAGGTAACGAAAAATAGCATGGTTAATGCTCTTCGACAAACAACAAATTATCGATGCGACCTGACAACTGCACACGACAGATGAAATGCGATCGAAGTGTGGTCGGCGCATAATTTAGTTACAGAGCAACTCGCAGCATACAAGGTAACTAAAAAATACGAGCAGTACTTCTAGTCGGAGACAATGTCGAAGGCGACCTGATCGAGAGGCTCGTAAGTCTAACTAGACAGGTAGCGCAGAACGATATTGAGGTCCCAGGCCGGCAGGCGGAATTAATGTGACTCATCTTCAACCATGAAGGCACGTAGAATTTTCTGCAATTCCGGTATTTTAGTGAGCCTGTCGCCCGTAGGAGACGGCTCGTCTAGGTAGAAGGCGACCCTGATCGCCTGCCGACGGAGCCATTCTACGACCGTCTTCATGATCCGTGTGATGCCATGCCATAGATCGGGTAACGCGATCGAACAGGTGGTTTGCTGAAACTCTGCCCCGGCAGAGCAGAGGCAAGTTCTGGTCCATATCGTGAACCATGGCTCTGAAGACATTGGGAGGAGAAGACTGAAGAGACTGCGGCGTATCTCCAACCTTTAAGCCAGCACACGTCGGTTTGTCATCATCTTTTGATAACTCAGGCAGAAAAGTGAGATAGCCAAGCCATAGCCAGGCTGTCGTCACAATCCATCGTCGACGTCGATTGTGTAAAGCTGGGGCGATATGAAAGTGAGACGAGGGTCACGATCGGTCATTATCTCTACGACGCTGTCGTCACAATCCATCGTCGACATCGATTGTGTAGGCGTAGATGAAGGAACCGGTGTACAGGACGATTGTCCATGGACCTACGACGTAGACGAACCCTTCTCGGTCGACGCCGTCAAGGCGAGTACCGCCGCCGTCATCTGGCCTATCAAAGCCGGGTCGATATGAAAGTGAGACGAGGGTCACGATCGATCATTATCTCTACGACGCTGTCGTCACAATCCATCGTCGACGTCGATTGTGTAGGCGTAGATGAAGGAACCGGTGTACAGGACGATGGTCCATGGACCTCCGACGTAGACGAACCCTTCTCGGTCGACGCCGTCAAGGCGAGTACCGCCGCCGTCATCTGGCCTATCAAAGCCGGGTCGATATGAAAGTGAGACGAGGGTCACGATCGATCATTATCTCTACGACGCTGATCTCCCAAAAACTCCCTTCGAAGGCGTCGCACGTCCCCGTGGGGCGAGGGCTACGATCTCTAACTGTAGAAGTACTACGATCCCCATCGTAGTTATCGTCCAAATCGAACTCCCGACGAGGGCCTCGACCTGTCGTCCCGTGAACGGGAACGACTTCTAGAGAGGGATCTGTGTTCACTGTCGACCCGCACGACATTCCTATCGTCGTTGGTAGGACGAGAGACGGACCGACTGGGGACCGTAGTCCCCTCGTGGTCCTCGTCACCACCCGGTCCCGTCGTAACGGGGGTGGCTGAGTGACGCTCTCGATCAACCGATTGACGAAGATCAGTCGTGCGGGTAGTATCATCAGCAGGCGAACGGTCCCGTGTCTTGTCAAAAAACATAAGTTGACTGAGGCGGGTCTTTTTCAACTGATTTCTTGGGTGTGGCCGACGCGCCACCCCCAGGGCCAGATGTAGGGGGTGCAGAGTCCAAGGATCCACCCGATGACCTCCTCTGCCTGTAGCGCTGGTCAGTAGCCCGCTTCGCCAACGCACGAAGATACAAGTTAAAGTTGATAGAAGACAAATGCTCACATTCTTAACAACGTTTATTCCACGAACACGTTGAAAGCCCGTCCTTATTTATGCAGGAAGGACAATACTTGTGAGGATCTACTTTAGACAGTTGTCCTTGACACGAGGCACAAATGCCCGACATGTTGCCACGTGTATAATCAAGTGAAACACGTGTTGAACCCAAACAATGGATTACCAATGATTACATTCCAGGAGTCTACAGGTAAGACATAGTATTATTACTGTATTAGAACAACAACTGTAGACACAAGATACTGACTAGTAGAATACAAACTAGCAGTCTATCGCGAAAGTCCTTCTCGAGCGACCAGCTCAGAGGCGCGCTGAGAGATTTGTGGCATGTCATCGGGAGGTGCGTGCGCAACCGGACAGAAACAAGTTTATTGTTTACATTCCAGCTTCTAGCTTCCTTTTAACGTGCGACTAGAGGTATGAGATACCCAATTGTACGACTGAAAACAGACTAAAACATATCTTTTATACTTACATACTCTCACTTCTGAAAGGTAGTCAAAACTTTCTGAACAATATTCCCAGAACAGAAAAAACATCTCGTCCAAACGCACCCAGGCTGCGCAGGCGCACCAGAACCACAGGACCAAACCAGAAGACTTGTCACTATATACTTCTCCTACTTACGTCCGAAACATGTATGAGGTGGAAGAGGGGATGCTGGGTGGGCGCTTAAGCGTATGAGTCAGGATAAGCATAAATGATATCTTTATTAAAAACAATTACATATATTACCATATCCTGTCTTATATTTATTGCTTGAATCCCACGGAAGGTGATGGGTTCCACCGATTGTGTGATTCAGACTGTGATTAGTTCTTCTTCCAACCATGTGGGGTACCGCCTCCTTGGTGAAAGGAGAGGAGTATATCTCTAGGATTTTGTTGGTTTGTAAAATGCAGTAAGGAAAGATTTTCCCGCTTACTTTAAACGATTATAGTGTTGAGAGAAGGTCATAATCTTAAATACAATCGATGTCACTCATGCTCTGAATTACATAGTAAAACAGGGGACATGGACTCTGGGTCATTGGTTAAGGGAAAGTAACCTGACATCAGGAAGTCTGTGTGAACGTGGGTGAGTGTTGTGTAGGTTCATCTTCTCGTAGGTATTGTCAGTGGTTGTGCGACTACTAATGGTCCAAATTGATGAATTCCCCTGATATCCTCTGTAGCAATATCTCTTTGATAGTGATTTGCAAAGACAATGGTCCAATCTTTGGTAATTTGGTAAGTTTGATTCTGTTGTACATAGCGAGGACGGAGCTGCTAAGTATGTGTCCAGTGTTGAACCTTTAAGGTTTCTTGTGCTTCTCAGGTGGCATAAGAACTCTGCTACTTGTGGTGAAGAGAACTTAGCTGCTGATAAACCCTTAGATCTCGCAAACTGGTCAAACTCTTCCCTGTATCATCACATATATTCCTTGTTGATCTGCTCTTGGTTGAATATCCTCTGCTAGTGAGGCTGATTGCAAGATGCTCCATACATGAAGCTTGTAGAGTTCCATTCTTGGATGAACTTGCTTTTTTGAAGATGAAGAAGATTTGACCAGTTCGGGAGCTTTAGGGTTGGCTTCATTAGTATTGCGATAAGGTCTGGAAACCCAAGTTCTTGCTGGCCAATAAGACGTGACCACAGGCAGTAGAATGTTCTTCATGTGCATGATCTTCTGTAATATCAGAGGTATCAGTGTTGGTGGTGGGAACACATGAGCTTGAAGTCCCTCCCACAATATTGCCAGTGCATCATTGGCCCAAGTCTGCAGGTCGATACTGATGAGACAAAGACTGCAATCTGTCTGTTGAATCTGGTTGCAAATAGGTCCACCTAGTTGTTGACATGGAGATTGCATTTGTCTGCGGACAAACGCTCGGTCACATGTAGATCTAGTAAGTGCACTCCCCAACAGATGTCTAAGTATCGACGTTGCAGTCATGGAAAGTATTATAAAATGGAAGCTGCATCTGGTACATCAAGGCTGGATATAAAATTCTCCAGTCTGAATGATCCTACGAAGTAGGGTGATCGAGAGCATGCAGAAGTGCAGCAATGTTATCAGAGACTGTGCCTTGAAGGAATGTAGAGATCATTAGGGTCATGTGCCAAATCAGTGTCTATATTCACCAACTCCCGATCATCAAAAATCGAGGGATGACTTTCCTTCTGGCAGTGTCAGAAATTTGAAAACTGCCAGGTTGCCATCAGGACCCAAAGACTGTAGAAGCTGCAGGCCCTCATTCAGAAAATTGCAGATTATTGCGACAAGAAATTGACACAAAAGTTTACTGCAGGCCATAAGGACACATACAAATTTGAAACTACAGGCCTAACACAAGAACTACTAGTCCTGCACCATGACCGTGGAATATATTTATTTTATGAAAAAATAATAATCTAGAAATACATACAAATGCAAGTCTAGCCAGCTCAAGCTATCTCTATTCAGCATAGGGAATTTTTGGGGTTTTTTTAAGAGTCAAGAAGGATATTGTGTAAAATAAGATTTCAGAGACTAAATGTTAGTCTAAAGAACTACCTGCCACTGTGCCCATATTTCGAACACTCCCTTCGGAGTTGATTGTTGTCACCATGTCGACCTGCAGTCCTGGTGAAGAGGCAAGGAATTCAATTCCCTAGGTGCTAACATTCTTACAATCATTGTCAACGAAGGTTTACTGAAAGTTATTGACCCGGTTGCATTGATGTATGGCATCAGGCATTTGAATGTGCGGTTGCAGCATTAATTACAAATAATCATGCACACCAATCTGTAAAGTGCACTGCACAGCTTCTATTAGGTGTCTGATCTAATTCCAGCCTAATCGTGCTTGTTTACAGTCCGAGAATCTTGACACGTGACTTGTTAATCACCCTGAGCAGGAACACGGAATACAGCATTCCTGGCGGAAACAAGGTCTCGTAGAAGTTAATTCATGTGCTAATACAAGCCATGTTGACTACATGAGGTAGACATGGTCTGTACCAGAGTTTAAATATCAGAGAGAATGCTGATGATGGAGTCCGGTGTGATCTAGACTGTACAAACTTCTCCGAGCCAGAGGCTTCATGGAGGTGACAACCTGGCTCAGGGGTCGGTCGGGTGACCTGTTTTTTTTTCTGTTCAGGGAACACTATTCATGAAGTTTCCACTAGCTTTCAGAAATGAGATGAGATAAGAAATAAGTATGAGTTAGGATTAGGTAAACTTGCCATATTAAGAAGATTTTGTCTTCATTTTCCCCAAGGTATGAATACTATGCCATCAGTGTAACCACTCAATTATACCCATCACACATCAAACCCATATAACCAGACGTACCTTCCGTCATATCCAGCTGCCACTTGTCCAGTCTATTGCTGACCTCCGGCCCCCATATTCCCCGAACTCTCAGCAGCTCCCCCTCCATCTGGCTCCACTCCTCGATCAGGTACTTCTCCATGTGCTGCTGGCTCTGTTGTCAGGGGCAACACAGTTAGCACCAAACATACCATTACAATAAAACATACTTGTTACACATACCATGTCTTATCAAACATATTAATAATTCATTGAGACTTAATCCAAATTACAGAAATAAATTAGGAAAACTAAAAAAAACTTAAAAGGAGTGTAGTATGATTTTCTAAATACAAAAGGTACTATTAAAAGTAATGCTGTAACTTAAAATTAAAAGACTATGTGAATAAATTTGCGGTAGAATTGATGTAAACTCTTTTATGCTTACCTCAACAACAAAATTGAGGGATTGAGTTTTTTGGTTCATTAGTTTGTTGTTTAATGCCGCACTCAGCAATATCTCAGCTATACTGCGGTCTGTAAATAATCAAGTCTGGACCAGACAATCCAGTGATTGATATCATGAGCAACGATCCACTAAATTTGGATCGATGACATGCATCAACCAAGTCAGCGAGCCTGACCACCCGATCCCATTAGTCGCCTCTTACTACAAGTATAGTCGCCTTTTACGGCAAGTATGAGTTGCTGAAGACCTTTTCTACCCGGATCTTCACGGATCCATTGTGGAATTGAGAGAAGGACTAGACATAATGACATAAGGTCAGTGAATACTTTCTTCCTGAGTTAAGGATAAGACATGTTTGATCTCACCAGAATGGCACAAAGTATTACCTGCAGATACTGCTTGTGTTGAAACTCCACCACGTCTTTGACTAGAGTTACATGGGTACTGGTCCACATGTAGAAATCCTGCAACAACCAGAGAGACCATGTGTAAATGGGGGGATGGATCCAGGCTTTACCAAGAGCCAATAAATTGCAGTGTTGGCAAAATGAACATGTACATTGATGTCAGTACTTACATGAATGTGTACATTGGATGCTGGGGATGACTTGAGGGGCAGCTCTCTCTTTGTGCGGCGCGATGCTAGACGAAGGACGCCACTCCCTACTCTTTGTAGTTTCTGTTAACAAACAATTCCTAGACTGAAACATGTTTCTTTATCTATGCTCCCCTGTACTCCCTCCATGTGGATGTAATAGTGGACTCAGGAATAATTATATATAATAACTATCTGTATTAGCATCTAACACTGGCACAGCCTAGTAGGCCCGAAGGCACAAGAATGTGTTTTTACTCCCCCCTTGTTTTTTTAATACATTAGTTTCTAATATAAGTTGTTACTGTAAATGTGTTTACAAATCTGAAAAACAATAATAGCAAACAATAGCCCAGAAAGATAATGGTTTAATGAAGAAATTTCATTAGCTGTAGAATTTTGGCGGGAAACAAATGCTACTTGTTTGAGACTTAATCCAAATTGATACCATGAAAACACATCAAATTAAGAAATCATAACTAAAAAATATGAAAAGGAAATAGTTGAGCATGTAGTCATTGCACATGTATAGTTTCATGCAAAAATATTCATTGGTTTGAGAGTTATGGCTCTGATATGAAGCCTAGCGTTGTTTGAGTTTAACTCCAAATTGTTTCCATGAAAACATGACAAAATAAACTTTAAAACAATTTTCAAAATATCAAAAGGCACCAGTGAAGATGATAAGCAATGCACATCCTAAATTTTGTTGAAATATATTGAATGGCTTTCACGTTACGGCCCAGAAATGAAACTTACCCTCGTTTGAGACAAAGTCAAAATTGTTTCCATGGAAACATACAAAAATATACACATTTTTGACAAATTTAAAGTACCAATAGGCACCAGTTAAGCTGAAGAGCAATGCACGTGGCAAGTTTCGTTGAAAGACTTTGATGAACGGCTTTCAAAGTTTCGTTGAAAGACTTTGATGAACGGCTTTCAAGTTATGGCTCTGAATAAGATGGGAACGCCGATACCAACACCAACAGGCACCGAGCCAAACACAACATGTCTCCTCCCTTTGGGAAGGGGGAAAGACATAATTACGCAAACAAGATCAGACAAAAAGATATGCACCTGTTAAAAAGAAAGCTAAAGTGACAACTAACAAGCTACAAACTCTCAGATGCCTTAACAAAATAATAGTGTTCTACTGCATTCAAGAACAGATGAAGAATAAGTATCTTGAATACATAACAGGGTGCACATTATTCACAAACTTGAGATGAGTGTTACTAATTAAACAAATAAAACATAGCATCACTCAACACCTAGTGGGTGCTAATTGTTTGTCATCACAACAGCAATTTTGTAGTCACGGGAGCATACTATTTCAACAAACAAATAGTTGCTTTGTTTGGATAGTAACTCCCGAGGAAAGAAAACATGTTGTGATGACAAACAATTATCACCCACTAGGTGATAAATGTTGCCACGCATTAATTCCTGTCAAAACACCACCTACAATAAACACAAAAGGAAGGAATTTATGGATGTCAACTTCTTTATTATGTGGAACACAACGTTTCGATCTATATGCTTATGCCTTTATTCACCCGATGAAGAGGTAAGCATATACTCCAAAACGTTGTTCCTCATAATTAAGACGTTAATATCCATACATTCGCTTCCTTATGTGTATTGCTTCTAAATTCCTTTTAAATTGAGTGAGTGAGTATGGTTTTATGCCGCTTTTAGCAATATTCCAGCCATATCACGGCGGGGGACACCAGAAATGGGCTTCACACATAATACCCATGTCGGGAATCGAACCCGGGTCTTCGGCATGACGAGTGAATGCTTTAACCACTAGGCTACCCGACCGCCCCGCCTTTCAAAGACTTAATAAACACAAAGGTTAGGTGAGATAGTAACTACCCAGGGGAATACAAGTGATTGTATGGTCCAATGACAGGGTTTGATGTTCATAGACAAAATCTACCAGCTAATGTTGAACACCACCCGCCCAATGAGTGACAGGTTACATTTGACCGATACCTGATCTATACTTGTCACTGTTCAAACTGCATTTATTATGATTAGACATTTTCAGCAGAATGCACTTCAAAAAAGACCGGTAAGTAGAAATAACAAGTTACCATTATTGCAGCCAACGTTACAAGCATTTGTCTATTTTGCCAGCATATTTATGGAGCTCTGAGCCCCATTCCACAACGTGACCTTAGTGCTATGACTAAGTCTATGTAAAAGTATGGCAGTTACTATCATCTCAGCTGACAACATTGCTTTGAGGATGATAGTGAGTGAGTATCGTTTTACGCCGCTTTTAGCAATATTCCAGCAATATCATGGCGGGGGTCGCCAGAAATGGGCTTCACACATTGTACCCATGTCGGGAATCGAACCCGGGTCTTCGGCGTGACAAGCGAACGCTTTAACGACTAGGCTACCCGACCGCCCCAAGGATGATAAGCAATAATCAATGAATATTGTTTCTACCCAGTAGCCGAGACTGTCCAGCTGTCGACTCACCGACTGTATCTGTGTCTGTATTCTGTCGGTGTGCATCAGGACAGACTTGCGCTCATTCTCAGCGTAGTTCACCCAGATCTTGGAAGCTGCTTCTTGTATCAGCAATCTACACATTTGTAAAACTTCATCATCTGTCATGTCACAAACAACTACAAATGATAAATAAAAAATTGAGGGATACCTAACTGTTGAGCATATATTTGCTGGCGCCACATTTAATGATATTTACATATGTGATGTTCCTATTTATTTGTATGTGTTTATCAATAAGCTGAGACCTTGTGCTGATGCAACCCAAATTTAATTCTAGATAACAAAGTGTTATCTTACACTAACCTGACAGTGTTGAGATCCGGACTGGAGATGTTCTTGGTGGAACTGTCAATGTTATTCAATTGGGTTCGGAAAATCTCCTCTAGAGCCTGTTTGAACATGAAAAAATAATTGTGTCAAATTGATGCATGCTTCTCATAATAAATCAATACATAATTACATGTGTTACTACTACGTTTCACATAAAGAGGACACAATCAAAAATCTTTCTACTTAAATATCACCAATGTACAAAAGCAAGGTGGAGAGGTGAAATGGGCTTAACATCACGTTCAAGATTAGGGCATGCTTGTACTTGTCTGGACTTATGCCTGTTTTATAGTGCTTGCCCACTGATACCATGCCGCAGTTTAACATGAATACCCCACTCGGACACAGTATACAGACTCCAAGCCGACCAGTTCTTGTTTGAGCCACTTAATCCCGAGCGCCAGACAGGGTAACAAGTACAATCTTTAAACGTCTTTCGGAATGACATGGCTAGTGATAAAACCACCGACCTGCTATCTTGGCAGACACTATCCACTAGACACTCATACAAAAGCAAGGGGTAATAGGTAAATTAAGTTTGATGGTGCAGTCAGCAATATTCTAGCTATATATCTGCAGTGTGAAAATAATTGAATTTGGCTCAGGCAAACCAGTGGTTGACAGCATGAGCAGTGATCAGCGCCATACAATCACAATCAACCAGATCCCCCGATCCACAAAGTGTTTGTAGCACAACGTCATTCGTAAGCCTATGATATAAACTTAAAGTTACAATACGTTGTAATGCTATGAACGCCTTGTGGAACCCAGGTCACATATTTCGATCAACCAATCCTCATCATAGTTTCAAATATGTATAGCTGTGGACTTTTTCTACCCTGGAATCTGAAATGTTGTACTCACAGGTGAGGTGAAGGTGAGGTGAAATTGGGTTTAACGTCGCGTCCAAGATTATTGCACTTATATAGCGACGTGCATGCACGTGTATGTGTGTGTGTGGCTGCTTGTACTAGTCCGGACTGATGCCGATTTATAGTGCTAGCTCACTGAGATACCATGCCGCAGTTTAACATGAATACCCCACTCAGACACAGTATACTGACTCCGAGCCGACCAGTCCTTGTTTTAGCCCCTTAATGCCGAGCGCCAGACAGGGCAACAACAAGTACAATCTTTTAACGTCTTTTTGTATGACGCGGCCCGGGATCGAACCCTGGACCTTCCGCTCTCCGGGCGGACGCTCTACCACAAGACCACGGAGGCGGTCTGTACTCACAGGCTTCTTGCAGACGTAGAGTTCATCCCACACCCTCTTGGCAGCAGTAGCCACCAGATGCATGCCTTCCTTCAGTACGGAGTTGGTGGGAGCCGTCTGCCGGGGCTTCTCTGCCGGGGGAGTCTGGCTGTTGGGGTCAGCGTCTACAGCGTCAGGGTCCACGTGCCATGTTGTTTGTCTTGGCTTAGACTCACTCAGGTTTGCTCCGCTGTTCAATAATACAAGTCAGCATGAAAATGAAGACCTAGATGACTTGAGGATTTCAACTTTTTTTTATTCTTTCAATGCCATATGTTTCATCTGCGAAGACTAAATAACACATGTGATGAAGTAATAATGTTTGGACTACTAATTCAGTGTATCATATCAATAAAACACATGTAAATACATCTACAGGATCCTGTAAAAGTATGTCCGCCCCCCCCCCCCGAAAAAAAAGACTAAGTTCCACAAACATATTTTTATTCTGGATTACAGAAGCTAATCCGGTATTAAAAAAAATGTTTTAAAACTAAAATCAAAAAGGTGTGGCCACAGTAGAATCTGCAACTCTGCTATGCAAGAAGTCCTCAATGATTGTTACCTTGACTCTGGGTCCTCTGTAAGCTGCAGCAAGCAGTAGCAGAGACAGCCAAGGAACTCCTGATCATAGTTGCCAGGCCCAAACACCATGCTGCGGGAGTTGGTGAGTCTGTGGAGGGCCTCCAGCACCCCTGCCTGGCTGGCCACGCTGTCTATAGGCCGCGACAGCTGGAACAGGATGGTCCTGTTCAGACACTTGTAGATGCTGTCCAGGGACACGCCAGATGCTGCAAGGTACATGAAGGATTGATTAGTGAATGAGTAAGGTGAGTGTGCAAACGATTCGAAGAGTATTTCAGTTATATTAATCTGTGCCAGCTTCATGTTAGGTCATAGGTCATAGGTCATAAGTTTTCAAAACCCTTGACACAAGAATGGTGCTGCCAACCAGGCAGGTGTACTGACAGACAGAATGGGGAAATGCAGGATTCAAACTCATGACAGTGGATCCAGGCACAACTAAGGGACACAACTCTGAACAAGAACATATATTGCCTATGATCATTGTACACTTTACATCTTTTTAAATGAACAATCCCAAATTTGGTACAGTTTTGACAGTGTTTCTTTATTATCAAATTGGATTTACAACATATGTGGAAACTAAATAGAAAAAAAACATTTCTGATCTTTGATCAAATACTTACATTTTCTTTTGGCTTGTTGTATCAGTTTGCTAACAAAATCATACACCTCTTTGGAAACTCTTGTGAATACACCTGCAAAAATAGATTTACTTCTTTCATAGCAGTTAATTAAATGAACAGTTCATTAAAGGAAACAGAGTAAAAGAAATGATGTAAACTTTACTCAAATGTCAAATCAAGCAATGCGAATGTTGATTTATGCTGCAGTCAGCAATATTCCAGCTTTAACACACCAGCCTGTAAACAATCAAGACTGGAACAAGCAGCCCAGTGGTTGATAGTATGAGCAACGATCCATTGAGGTATGGTGACACACAGTCAGCAAGGTCAAACATTCTGACCACACAATCTTTATTTTAATCAGCTCTTACAAGTTTGGGGTTCTAGGGACCTCTTCAGAACTCGAATCCTCCCTCACGAGGGTATAAAATAAAGTAAAATTATGTATCTCTTGAGGCCATCATTACACTTAGCATTGTACTTTAATATATATGTTTATATAAGAAACGGCTATGATAACATAAAGAACATCTGTTTCTGCATGAATGAATAATTACACTATGAACATCTGTATACCTTGCCATAGTTTGTCTACAACCCTGCTAGCGAAGTAGAAGACGTTGGCAGCCATGTTGTTGTAGCTGTTGCCTGTGCCGATGGGCAGTGCAGCCTGCTCCCCAAGGAGCACATCAGCAGCCAGCAGGTGCCCCATCAGGGTCGTCAACAGTTCTGTCTGGAACTCCTTCTGCTGGGCTCGACTTGCGTGTTCGGGGGAGGCCTGGAGGGGATCCATGCAACACGGTCAACACACATTCAACTATCCAGTGTACTCCATTAAGACGTAAATATTATGTTTTCAAATTTGTGGATGTTATTGAGTAGAGAAACTCAATAGTACCAGCAAATCTGAAAACACATGTCGGTTGTCCATCACTCTCGTTCTGGAAATAACGAAACTTAGACACTCGTGTCGTAAACATAGTATGACATGAACAACCATGTAATATCTTCTATATATGTTGTTTTGTCACGGACGATGAAAAAACACTGGAAAAAAAACACTTATTTTGGGCCTTGTGGCAGCTTCCTATTCCAACAACACTTACATCAAGAAGCAGGTCTATTGCAGCATTGGACTTGGAAGTTGGAGGCTGTGAGAAGCTGTCGATGACGATGGTGCGGAGGAAGTCAATGATAAACTTTCTAGCGGAGTGATTGGTCAGGACGCCTGGAATAGGAAACAGGGTAAGAACTGTGATCTTTACATAGAAACAGAGGAATTCATCAGAACAATTTGATAAATAAAGTTTGGAATCTGCAGAGCAAGCTTGTACATTATTCACTAGGTGTGGGATACGAAGACACACAACCAGCCAGGTCACACATTGTAACCACCCAATCACAATCATGATCAGGTACCAGGGACCTATTCTTAATCCTCACATCTGACATTAGTAGAACGATATATTTTCAGAGTGTATAATACGCAATAAGAGTTTAACACCTTATCAGTCTTGCAGCTTCATCACAGTGCTGAACACAAAGATTGACCTTCATATTATAATGGAAGCGTTAGTTCTTCACTAGTCTAATCAAACAATGTGACATGTTCCAGACAGTATCTGAATCCCACTTACTTCCATTACTTTTCTCTGGAGTCTTGACCAACACAACAGGCTCCGCATCAGGGAATGGTTTGAACTCCTCCTGGGGAGATGTGAGGTCACTGTCCAGGTCCATTGGCTGGAAGGGGAACAGTGTGGCAGCTAGCCCCGAGATGAAGTCCGGCATCGTGCACAGCGTCAGGAAGTCGGCCTGGTTGTGGTACAGGAACAACAGGAACTGCATCAGCGTCACGGGGAAGTCCTGCAGCCACGAGTTGTTGGCGCTGGTGTTGTTCTCTTCTCCAGGCTGGGGACAAGATGTGAAGAGCTGATATTAATCATACCTCAGGCTAATGTTTCGTAATGATCAATTTGGAAAGGCAACTGCAGTCAAGAAAAGAGCTAAACTCTGTCCAGAAAATACTACTCCAGACACAAAAGGTCTGAAATATTTATTATCATCCAAAACTGGCTCCCACAGGAGATATCGCTTGGATGAGATCAAGCGATATCTACACTGCTAATTACTGTCTGCAAACTGAAAAACTTGGAAGAATGATGTTGGATGATAAATAAAATCTCACCCTCGTGTCTTTTGATATCAAATATATAAACACGAGTTGATAAAAGTGGCAAAAATCCTCGGCAAGCGTCAGACTTTTTCCACTTTTATCAACTCGTGTTGATATATTTGATATCAAAACACACTCGGGTGAGATTCTCTAAATCTGCACTCAGCTATGTGACAGATGACATCATATACTGACCGTCAAGTTGAGCATGGCTCTGATCATGGACAGGATGACAAAGGCAGCATCAGGCACAAGGTCCACCTTCTCCCTGGCCAACAGAACTACAGGCTTGCTGGCTGGCACCCCGAATATCACAGTCCACACAGCATCCAGGTTCAGCTGCAAATAACATTAGTTCCATGTTGGACTACTCTATCATATATTCAGTGAAGATCCGGGGTAGAATAGGTCTTCAGCAACCCATGCTTGCCATAAACAGGTGACGCTTGCCATAAACAGGTGACTATGCTTGTCGTAAAAGGCGACTAACGGGATCGGGTGGTCAGGCTCGCTGACTTGGTTTATACATGTCATCGGTCCCAATTGCATGAATCGATGCTCATGGTATTAATACCTGGATTGTCTGGTCCAGACTTATTTACAGACCGCCGTCATATAGCTGAAATATTGCTGAGTGCGGCGTTAAACAACAAACCAACAAACCAACCAACCAACTATGAAACATTCATAAAATCCAATTCAGATTGATCATTGTCACCAACTTTTCAATGACTGTCAACGACCTACATGACAATAGTATCTGCAAACCTCAATTCAATTCTAGTATCTAAATTTTATTAAGAAAGATAAATAGATCATCATTTCTGATATTAATATGAAAATATACTGAATAGTTACATAAAATATTCAGAAGTTAATTTTACATTTTCACAATAATCTTGTGAAAATAATCTTTAAAACTACGGCTACTGACACCAAGACACGGGACACATACGTCTGTTGTTGCTATGTGGTCACAAGAAACTATCTCCAATCTGCACCATTACAAATAACAAAGGGGCTTGTCTGAACATCACACACAAAAAATATAAATAAAAAAAATATTCAAATACTTCTATTTAAGTTGTGGTAAATAAAAAAGGTATTTCTATCATTTCAATAAAATCATGTGAACATATTAAACTCGTGGAATACAGTGCACAAAATCTAAACTGCAAAAAAAAAAAAAATACTTTCACCAATCAATGAAAGAAATTCTACTCTCTAAACATACAAACCACTATATGCAGAGATGGCAAAAAATACCCGAATAAGTCACAACTCAAGGCCATGTGACCAATTTGGACGGAATTCCATAGAAGTACTGCCATCACTGCACATCTACCAGTGTGTCAACCAAACACGATGAGTCTAGTGTGACGACACGGAGAAGTTAATTAGAGAAATATACCCTCCCATGTGACCTGGCTTGGGCGTCTACCTGAACGTCAGCTGGCAAGTCCTTCATGTGCTGGCCCAGCATGAGTGCCATGAGCAGGAAGTAGAGTGCCGACACGTCCGTGTGCCGCGGCAACAACCACTGCAGGGCCAGAAACCCTGGCACATGACACACCTCAGAGTTCACTTCCCGTTCATGGCCTTTAGAGGCAGTTCCTAGATTGAAACCTAAACAAAAAATGGTTATTAGGCAACAAAGAAATAACTATTAGATTTTCACCAATTAGCCTAAATAGTAGTCAATACAATATCATAATAACTTGAGGTGAGGTGAGGTGAAATGGGGTTTAACGTCGCGTCCAAGATTATTGCACCTCTATAGCGACGTGCATGTACGTGTGTGTGTTTGTGTGGCTGCTTGTACTAGTCCGAACTGATGCCGATTTATAGTGCTAGCTCACTGAGATACCATGCCGCAGTTTAACATGAATACCCCACTCAGACACAGTCCTTGTTTTAGCCCCTTAATGCCGAGCGCCAGACAGGGTAACAACAAGTACCATCTTTTAACGTCTTGGTATGACGCGGCTGGGGATCGAACCCTGGACCTTCCGCTCTCCGGGCGGACGTTCTACCACTAGACCACGGAGGCGGTCCATAATAACTTGAAGACACAAGTAAGGATACTTCTCTATATATACTTAACTTGGAGAATAATTTCTCATAAGTCTTAAACATTTCCAGCCAACAACATACCCAACATGGTGGCCATCTGGTTCTTGATCACATGCTCTGTGTCGCCCAACCAGCCTCCACCGAAGCTGCCCTCGCGGAAGCGGTTGATGTTGTTGGGGTTGCGGAACATGGTGAGGAGTAGTCGCAGAGCCAGTACTACGGTGGACTGGTGAAGGTGAGGCTTCAGGAACAGCAGCAACCAATCAAAACCCAGCACCTTCTGAATCTCCTCACACGTACTGGTAACAACAATGGAGAAAGGGGATAACAAAAAGTCTGAATACATTAATTTTATTTTGTTTTGTTCGTTTGTTTGTTGTTTAACGCCGTTTAATATTCCAGCTATATGACGGCAGTCTGTAAGTAACCGAGCCTGGACCAGACAATCCAGTGATTGATATCATAAGCATCGATCCACGCAATTGGGATCGATGACATGCATCAACCAAGTCAGCAAGCATGACCACCCGATACTGTTAGTCGCCTCTTATGACAAGCATAGTCGCCTTTTACGGCAAGCAGGGGTTTCTGAAGACCTAAAGAATACATTAATGAAATGGGCCTTCACAGTCAGAACATTTGACTATGAAGCATACCTCCATCTGGCTTCAGATGCTGCCAATCAGAAGTCCTGCACATTGAAATATGTATCATTTTCTCTTGCAAGGTGAGCACTGAATACCAGTACTAACATTTGATAAAAAATATTTTTATTTCAATAAACATTGCCATTTCAAGTTCAAAAGAATCCTTGTTTGTGTTTATTTGCTTTTCAATGTCACCCTCAGCAATATTCCAGCTATATGAAAATAGCCTGCAAATAATCAACTCAGGACCAGACAAACCTGTGATTGATATAATGATCAACAATAACTAAATCATGATACAATGATATGCAACCAACCAAAGCACGGAGTCTGATAACCTCTGATGACCAGACAGGTTGCTGGGTGATTCAAACAAGGAATCCCGTCAGGGATAACCTCAGTACATCATGTTACGATAGGGACTCACGATTGGTCCACTTTGTTGGCTCCTCGTGGAATGATGAGCTTCAGGACCACCTCCAGGAGGATGTTCCTCAGCTTGATGGTGTGGATCTGGTTGACCTTGCTACTCTCAGCTGGAAACAAGGAACGACAGTGTTAAAAAGAAGAAACTTTCATTACTTGCTGCCCAAGTGCCATGAATGAGTGAGTGAGTGAGTTTGATTTAACGCCGCTTTTAACAGTATTCCAGTTATATTGGGGCGTGTCAGCTTAATGTCGGAGGAAAGCCCGAAGTGATGCAGGTCTTATACGTTCACCACTTCGGTGAAACCCACGAACACGGGTATGGTGCTGACAAACCTAGAAACATAATTCGGGGCGAATCGGGATTCAAACCCACAATCATAGGTTTCTGGCGTGCCCAAGGGACGCAACTCTGCACAGCGAACCACGGCGCCTTAGACGACTGGGCCACCCGTGCCCCCTCCATGTGCCATGAAACATGTCCACTTGTCTCCTGAGGTTAAAGCCAATAAACAGTCAAACACTGTTGTGTCGAACTTTGATGTGTCGCACTTACGTTTGTCTCGAAGAAAATCTTGGTCCCTGCATATTCCTTCTTTAGTCATTATTTACGGTTGTGACGAACCTCTGATAACTTGAAGTTTTTACGTAGGTCCCTTTCACTTCGACACAATGGTGTTTGACTGTACTTACCAACTTTATTTTCTTTCCTATGCATTAAAGAGTAATGATATTGAACAGTTTCTGAGGTTATCAGGAACAGTATAGCACATTTTAGATTTCTTGAGGGTAACTGCACACAACCTGTCATTTTAAGATATGAAATCAAGTATAAAGTATTTAATTGGTCATTTGGGTCAATTGGGGGAATAGGTCTGTAATCCTGCCTGGGAAAGATCGAGCTGGAAAAAAGGAAACATTTCGAGTTCTAACAGGCTCTCTGTTCCATCATATTAATGGAGAAGTACCAAAAGGGATTTCTTGCCTACCATTAGGGCAGTGTATTTAGTAAGAATAAATGTACACAGTTTTGAGCAAACACACAGCAAATGAACAATGTGAGACACTTGTCTTTGAACATTGTCCCGCATTGAGAGAGTTAACGCTGCTTTGAACAGTATTCCACTTATATCATGGCATGTCAGCTTAATGTGGGTGGAAAACCCGAAGTGATGCATGTTTAAGACTTTTGCCACTTTGGCAAAACCCACGAGCATTGGTATTGTGCTGACAAACCAAGACACATAATCGGGGCGAACAGGGATTCAAACCCATAATCATGGGTTGGTGGCATGCCCAAGGGACGCAACTCTGCTCAGCAAATTGCAGCACCTTAGACCATTGGGCCACCCATCCCCTTTTGAGAAAAGGAATTGTAGCTTTAATCACTGCTCCCTGTTACAGTATTGTCTACAATGATGACAAGCATGTTACTTGATGCTGTAACTTTGTACTGCATCCTGACCCCTGCTACAGCTTGTCTTGCATGCAGTACCTGTAACTTCCTGCTGTGTGGCTGAAGGAGACACGTCCTCATCACTGTTGGACACTCCAGTACCATTCACCTGAAGACTGATCAGCTTCTCATTCACACTAGCTGATGGAATGGTCGATACAACAAACTGACCAAATCTGCAACACATAATGTTCATTAGTACTGGCAGCATTTAAATAAAATGCATTTGTTGAGAACTAAAATTATTCCGTAGTTTGAAAAGATGAAATTGTTTAGTCAGGATTCAAAAACTTTAACCAAAAACTAAATTTTCTTATCATGCAACTTTTCTTTCCATCCTTATGTGGAAAAGGGCTTAAACATATTTTCCAGCTTCTGCCTAGTGTCATAAAAGACAGAAACTCGTGAGTGCCTGAAAACATCATAACATGACCCCTTTACGCTTGTTGGACATAACATCATGAAATCGGGTATAACACGTGTCATGTGTTTTCATGTAGGACATCATTACACGAACGACCGTGTGGCTTTGAATAGGGATCTATTCAGCCACGACTTATAACCAATCCGGAAGTGGTCTCCAGGCAATCAGTTGTACAAGAGAGACCACATCGATATCTCCTACAGACAATAGGGTGAGCCAGCTCGGGACCTCTTTTAATGCTTCGTCAAAGCTATCAATCATGCCCGCAGGATTGAAGAATTACTAAGAAGAGGAGATTAACGATCCACAACATCCACAAGAGGATCTTCAAACCAATACTATGACAGCATGCGCACAAACGGACGAGCCTTGTGGAGACTTCGATGTTGAAGACTGGAGTCTCTACAGGTAAGTCACTTCACCCTCTACTGGGTACTCAGTCTGGGAACCCGAATAACAATAACCATAGTATGTACAGGATACAGAGTACATTCTGTTGGTGATGGTTGGTCTATGACATTGTGGATCCGGGACTTGGTGGAGACCATTTGGTTGATATACCAGACAACTGATAGATTGTCCGACTGGATCATGATTTGTGATGCACTCAGGATCTCTGCCCAGTGGTATTCAGCCAGAATGACTGCCTTGAGTTCCAGGTTGCAGATGCAGAGTCTCTTTCTATCAACAGGCAAGCGCTCTGCCATCTGTAGATCATGGAGGTGAGCACCCAAGCCCATGGTCGAGGCATCGACAAAAAAGTGTTGGGTCGTGTTGAACAGCCACAAAGAGACCCTGGCGCAGACATTCGACTTCACTAGTCACCACTGGAGATGCTGATGTAGTGTTACTGGGAGGTTTATCAGAACCTGGCAGTTAACGTCCTGGAGGAAGTCGTGTAAGGTCACAACGCACATGATTACAGTGGGTGTTTGGGTGGTGACCATGGTGATGCTGGGATGTGTTTAGGCGAAATGTTTTTAGAAGCTGGAAACTTTGTTTCAGCAAGTTTCCACATAAGGATCAAAAGAAGATGAAAAAGAAATGCATAGTATGAATAGGATAAGTTTACAAATTGCAAAATTATTACCTTGTTTGAAATGTAGACATTGTTTATTTAGGATTCAAATTATGTTCTGTTCACAATAAAAAAATTAAAAAATTTGATTTGCATAAGTTTGATGATACGACAATGCTTACATAGTATTAAGAACACCAATTCAAAAACATTATGTTGAAGGAAAATCATTTCTTTCGCCACCCATGCCCCACCCCTTCAAGTCACCGCCTCTAGAGTCAAGAGTAGTGTTGACTGTCTAACCTGAGTAGGGCAGGGATGTCTGGTGGCCCCTGCAGGAGCTCATGGAGGACGGAGGACACAGTCTGGATGGTCAGCTGGGAAAGGCGGACGTCATGCATGACATGCAGCAGTCGCTCAACCAGACCGATCTGACGCATCATGCCATGGTTCACCTTCTGATCACTGCAACACAAACACACAATATATCAACACAAACACTCAATACATTGACATGATCACACAATATATCAACACAAACACTCAATGTATCAATACTTCAACACAAACACTCAATATCTCAACACGAACACTCAATACATCGACACAAACACTCAATACATCGACACGAACACACAGTATATCAACACAAACACTCAATACATCAACACAAACACTTAATATATCAACACGAACACTCAATACATCAACACAAACACTCAATATCTCAACACGAACACTCAATACATCGACACAAACACTCAATACATCGACACGAACACACAGTATATCAACACAAACACTCAATATCTCAATACAAACACTCAATACATCAACACGAACACTCAATTCATCAACACGAACCCTCAATACATCAACACGAACACTCAATACATCAACACAAACACTTAATATATCAACACTAACACTCATTACATCGACACAAACACAATAATCAACACAAACACTCAATATATCAACACAAACACTCAATACATTGACATGATCACACAATATATCAACACAAACACTCAATGTATCAATACTTCAACACAAACACTCAATATCTCAACACGAACACTCAATACATCGACACAAACACTCAATACATCGACACGAACACACAGTATATCAACACAAACACTCAATACATCAACACAAACACTTAATATATCAACACGAACACTCAATACATCAACACAAACACTCAATATCTCAACACGAACACTCAATACATCAACACAAACACTTAATATATCAACACTAACACTCATTACATCGACACAAACACAATAATCAACACAAACACTCAATATATCAACACAAATACTCAATACATCAACACAAACACTCAATACATCAACACGAACACTCAATATATCAACACAAACACTCAATGCATCAACATGAACACTCAATACATCGACACAAACACTCAATACATCGACACAAACACTCAATACATCAACACGAACACACAGTATATCAACACAAACACTCAATATCTCAATACAAACACTCAATACATCAACACGAACACTCAATTCATCAACACGAACCCTCAATACATCAACACGAACACTCAATATATCAACACAAACACTCAATGCATCAACATGAACACTCAATACATCGACACAAACACTCAATACATCGACACAAACACTCAATACATCAACACGAACACACAGTATATCAACACAAACACTCAATATCTCAATACAAACACTCAATACATCAACACGAACACTCAATTCATCAACACGAACCCTCAATACATCAACACGAACACTCAATACATCAACACAAACACTTAATATATCAACACTAACACTCATTACATCGACACAAACACAATAATCAACACAAATACTCAATACATCAACACAAACACTCAATACATCGACACGAACACTCAATACATCGACACGAATACAAACACTCAATATATCAACACAAACACCCAAAATATCAACACAAACACTCAATATATCAACACAAACACTCAATGCATCAACATGAACACTCAATACATCGACACAAACACAATAATCAACACAAACACTCAATATATCAACACAAACACAATAATCAACACAAACACTCAATATATCAACACAAATACTCAATACATCAACACAAACACTCAATACATCGACACGAACACTCAATACATCGACACGAATACAAACACTCAATATATCAACACAAACACCCAAAATATCAACACAAACACTCAATATATCAACACAAACACTCAATGCATCAACATGAACACTCAATACATCGACACAAACACAATAATCAACACAAACACTCAATATATCAACACAAACACAATAATCAACACAAACACTCAATATATCAACACAAATACTCAATACATCAACACAAACACTCAATACATCGACACGAACACTCAATACATCGACACGAATACAAACACTCAATATATCAACACAAACACCCAAAATATCAACACAAACACTCAATATATCAACACAAATACTCAATACATCAACACAAACACTCAATACATCGACACGAACACTCAATACATCGACACGAATACAAACACTCAATATATCAACACAAACACTCAATATATCAACACAAACACAATAATCAACACAAACACTCAATATATCAACACAAATACTCAATACATCAACACAAACACTCAATACATCGACACAAACACTCAATACATCGACACAAATACTCAATACATCAACACAAACACTCAATACATCAACACAAACACTCAATACATCGACACAAACACTCAATACATCAACACAAACACTCAATACATCGACACAAACACTCAATACATCAACACGAACACAAACACTCAATATATCAACACAAACACCCAAAATATCAACACAAACACTCAATGCATCAACATGAACACTCAATACATCGACACAAACACAATAATCAACACAAACACTCAATATATCAACACAAACACAATAATCAACACAAACACTCAATATATCAACACAAATACTCAATACATCAACACAAACACTCAATACATCGACACAAACACAATAATCAACACAAACACTCAATATATCAACACAAATACTCAATACATCAACACAAACACTCAATATATCAACACAAATACTCAATACATCAACACAAACACTCAATATATCAACACAAATACTCAATACATCAACACGAACACTCAATACATCGACACAAACACTCAATGCATCAACACAAACACTCAATACATCAACACTAACACTCAATACATCGACACAAACACTCAATACATCGACACGAACACAAACACTCAATATATCAACACAAACACTCAATATATCAACACAAACACTCAAAACATCAACACAAACACTCAATATATCAACACAAACACTCAATATATCAACACAAATACTCAATATATCAACACAAATACTCAATACATCAACACAAACACTCAATACATCAACACTAACACTCAATACATCGACACAAACACTCAATACATCGACACGAACACAAACACTCAATATATCAACACAAACACTCAATATATCAACACAAACACTCAAAACATCAACACAAACACTCAATATATCAACACAAACACTCTATATATCAACACAAACATTTTCATGTCAAAATTCCAACATGAACGCTCCAATGTCAAATTATCAATGCGGTCTTGATTCATGTGTAAACACTTGAATGCAAAATGGCATCCTATGACGTAAACCATAAATCTTTTTAAAAAGTCTGGTCGAAGAATGAAACTATGACTTTGTCATTTTATTCACCAGATGAAGGAGTAAGTAAATACTCTGAAACGTTGTGTTCCTCATAATAAAGAAGTTGACATCAATAATTTCTCTTCCTTTTGTGTATCACTTCTAAATGCCTTTCAAAGACTTTATATGACTTTGTCTTACCTAGATTCTGTTAACAGCTCAAAGAAGTGCTCAAAGAGAGATCTCTGTAGATCCCCTGGAGCTTCGTGCCACACCTGCAACACAGACACAGGGTTTCCCATGACGCAGGAATCCTAAGTATATTCACATTACTCATACTTTCGCAATAAGCTTTATTTGACACAATATATTCATATAACTTGGTGCTGTTTTTTTTACAAAAACATTGATGGATTTGTATCTTAAATTGTTTCTTCATTCATTACAACATGTTTCGATCAACAGAATGCTCATATGACTTGTTTTCTTGTTTCCTATGAATAGCTTGTTGTCTAAAAACTCATGCTTGAATCTCTACATGATGCTCATGACTCTCAATAAATAATGCAGTCAGTCTAGATGACCCCCAGTTTTCAAATACATTCAGAACACGCTGTACCTACCTGTTTTGTCCGGGTAATTTTCAAAGGATTAAGTTGTCACTCAACAATAAATACATCTCTTAGTTAGCTCGTGTCTACCTGATATCAATGATATGACCACTTTTCACATTGGATTTAGCAGAAATAACTAAATTAGTACAAAACAATTTGTCAGAAAAAAGTCATTTTTCAGGTATGATGACAGAAAAATAATGCTGTATGCAGAGTATGAGAACTAAAACTATCTCAGTTTAGTTTTACATCTTTTATTTCCACTCTACCAAAATCTAATTCAGTTTCAACCATACTAAGGCTAAAAACAATAATAGTCTTGGTTCTCAGGCGCCACCCGCATCATCACAAAGTCTGCTGCACATTTTGTTTTTATTTCCATTTTCAAAAAAATAAAAAAATCCTAATACTTAAACACAATGCATAAAAAAAATGAAAATGGAAACAAAAACGATACGTGCAATGAACTTTATGATGATGTGGGCAGTGCCTGAGAACCAAGACTATTATTTTCTTTAGCCTAAGATATTTCTGCAGTTGTTCTCACACAGTATTTACTGACCTCGAGATCGCAGAGCAAGTCTTCAAACGACGTCTGGTTGGGTATGGCGGAGCTCTCTCTTCCACTGTCAACAGTACCCACCAATGAGAAGGTGAGATGTAGGATGTGGCTGTTGAGGAGGTGACGCTTCTTCTTGTACAGCATGGCCAGCATCTACAGTGCAAGTACGCAGGCTGATCATTCCAGACGACATACATGCTTATTACAAACAGGACAGAATTTTATAGCGGCTTCTCTTTGAAATATGTCATCACATCAATCCATATATTTCACCAGTGTTTCAAATGCATCTGAAACTTTTGTCAGCCACACATAGAGTATTTCAAAATACAGTGAAACCCTGTACTTCCAAAACACTGAAAAATACTCCAGATTACCAGTAACAAATTTCTAAATGAATGAGGAGCAGGGTAGTCTAGTGGTTAAAGTGTTCGCTCGTCACACCGAAGACCCAAGTTCGATTCCCGACATAGGTACAATGTGTGAAGCCCATTTCTGGTGTGCCCAGCCGTGATATGCTGGAATATTGCTAAAAGCGGAGTAAAACCATACTCACTCGCTCATTCAATGAATGAATTGTCGGTACATATCTTTTGGTATATATACTACTCAAAACAAATTAAAGAACACTCAATTTTTTCACATGACTATAATGGCTTGAGAAGTCCTACCTATTTCATCAGGCTCTATGTAACAGCTCATACCTAACTGATCAATATAAAGTCCTATACCACAGATAGAAAAAATAAGAAACTCTCAGCCTGTTCAAATTTCTGTTAATATCTCATAGTTTAAATATTTCTAGAATCCTCTCATTGCTTCAGTCACAGCTTTCATATCCAGGAAGATATGTCCTACACTTCTTGCCTGACACTGTTGTGTACCATGAAGCACGGTACGGCTGGGTGTCTGTCCACATCGCTTGCCTTATCCAACTTATTCCTCTAAGTATTTCCCTTGTATACAAAGAGAAACGCCTTCACTACCTGATAGCCTCGGATCCTGTCCATGTCCCACATGGCCGACTTGTTGCTCCGGACCACGCACACCAGCGCCTTCACCGCAGCATACAGGCCCTCAACATCAGTTGCCATGGCGATCAGGCCCAGCAGGGCTGAGGTGCCTCCAACATTGTCCAACATTTTGGCAACAGGACGAGGACAGAACGTGCGGACACCTACAAAATTGAAGTGCCTTCATCAAAATCACCATCTTTGAGAGTTAAATACACTGTGTATAACTAGTGAGCTAGTGAGTGAATCATTTTACCCTAAGGAGCCAACCATTTCATAACAATGAGGGGTGCTTTTTTCAACAAATAATTTGTATCTGAAAAAACAGCAAACAAAATAGTTTGCCTTCAGGGTGGGCTCCCCTGAACAGAGACAAAACATAATCTCTTGAACCGCTGAAACAATAACCAAAATATATTCTGTTACAAAAGAAATATCAAATGGTCAGTTTCTTAGAAACTATAAGATGTTAACGCCTGACCACCCAATCCATCACGTCTCCTCTTACAACCAGCATAGGTTGCTGGGGACAATTTAAACCCAGAATCCCAAGGTTACTTCAATAAGGTTAATGACATTACTGGATAACAGAGACTGATATCAATGGGTTGTGCCTTGCAGCAAAGCATGGAACCCATAGTATCCTGTGTTTACATATCCTACCAAGATAGCCCATGAGGATGGCCCCTAAACTGCGAGCTGGTCCCGCCAGGTGTCCAGATGCATTGTGGAGGATCCTGATTGGTGTTGCGTTTTCATGGGCTGACATAGCAAGCTGGAACAAAAAAACACTTCTTAAGTATCTGATGAGACAATGAGACTCTGTTAATCCAGACAGTGCAATTCCTAGAGAAATTGTCCGTATTAACACATTTCCAGACAAAAGAATTATGGGTAATGAGTAACGTCCCTTTGTATCTAAATATTCTCAGCAGCAATTGTCCAATGTCAGGGTTTCCAGACTAGCAAGGTCCAGACTTGCAAGGTCATTCGGTGCCTGTTTAAGTAGAACTGTACGTACATGTTATGAACAGTTATTATCTGGTACGGGAGACTATAAATGTCATGTAGCTAGCAGGAAACTGTCAAAGTCACGTACCTAATGGGAACCTGTAAAACCTAGCAAACAATGTAAAGAAACGGATTGCTGCATACCTGTTTAGCAATGGACTTGCTGTCTACTTTGTTGTAGACTTTCCTGATCTTCGCGATGGTCATTTGTGACATGGCATGAGCGTGAACTTCAAACATCACCTTCTCTTCAGCTATGAATGGTCCAGAAACTTCTCCATCTTCTGAAACAGTAAGAATACACTTCCCTGAACACAGTTCCTAATATTGACAGAAACATGTAAATTAAAAATATTTTCTGGATTCCAATATCCTACCAACTTGATCTAGCAATGTCATATGCGAATTAATGCATACCCTACTACGACCCAATGTGAGTGAGTGAGTGAGTGAGTGAGTGAGTGAGTGAGTGAGTGAGTGAGTATGGTCTTACGTCCCTTTTAGCAATATTCCAGCAATATCATGACAGGGGACACCAGAAATGGGCTTCAAACATTGTACCCATATCAGAAATTGAGCCTGGGTCTTTGACGTGAAGAGCAAACGCTTTAACCACTAGGCTACCGGACCAACCCTCCACCCATTGAGAAGCCCTCCACATAGATATATTCAGATTATTCCACATTCACTCATATCTAAAGTTTGTACAAAGCTTTGAAAAGCCATGTTAAAGAGGAAGGCACATGCTGACAATGAAGATGAAGTCAACAACTGAAAAGTCTTTTACGATTAAATTGTATTATTTGTAAATCAACAGCATTCTTAACTGCAGTTCTATACTACCAAACCATGTATGACCACTTCCCCCAAAACTGTTTGGCTTGTCATTCTCAAATCAACCAATAACAAACTTTTGAATACTGTGACTAGCATACCGAGAACAGGAGCCTGAAAGCTGCCAATGTATGTTGGACCGAGGTTGTAGATGTTCTGAATGGTAGACGATGACACAATGTCCTCGAGGAGGTGGCATGGTCCCTGTCTGAAGGTCAGGCGGGAGTTCCGTCTCAGCTGTGGGGGAGTTCCGATGTAGGCGAACACGGAGGTGAAGGCTGTTGGGCTGGCAGTTCCCCCTCCTCCCAGGTTGGGGGAGATGTAATGAAGCTGTAGGAAATCAGACATTACAGCATGGACTGTTTGCAGCATAAGTAAGGAACACATCAACAGCAGCGTGAAGGTAAAACTGCTCAAGGAAGACTGCTGGAATGTTTTGTCTCTTCTGCATGCTCTAACTGTAGTGCAACGGGAGACTTTTAATGACTGTTAATGAATGTTAATGAATGTTAAAGACACTAAATCGCCAATATGTAGCGATGCAGCCAAGAATCACAGACTCAAAGCTGACGTGAAATGGGGTTTTACGTCGCGTCCAAGATTGTTGCACTTATACAGCGACGTGCATGCACATGTAAGTGGCTGCTTGTTCTAGTTCAGACTAATGCCGATTTTATAGTGCTGGCCCACTGAGATACCATAACAGTTTAACATGAATATCCCACTCAGACACAGTATACTGACTCTGAGCCGACCAGTCCTTGTTTTAGCCCCTTAATGCCGAGCGCCTGGCAGGGTAACACAAGTACCATGTCTTAACGTCTTTTGGTGGCAAACCCCTATACCTTCCTCTCTCTGGGCGGACACTCTACCACCAGACCACGCACAGACTCAAAGTCAAATCCTCAATGATATGCATAAATCAAAAAGTGTATTAATTCCATTATGTTCCAGTTACAACATCAATGTAAGAAAGTCTAATGGTCCCAAGCTGTGTTCCTGACCCACCTTCTGAGTCTGTACATGTTCTCCATCCACAAAGAGGCTGACGCTGCTGTTCTTCATGATGCCAGCTCGGTGGAAGATCAACACCAGGTGGTGCCACTGTCCTTCCTGTGTGAGCTCGGGGCACCAGAACCTCACAGTGTTGTCATTCAGGGTGGGCTCCTGTTCCTGCTCACACCCACTCACTGAAACCACAACAACACTGTTGTCACCCAAACAGCCAGTCATAAGTAGTCAGTGGCTCTCAGGAATAAGGGCAGACTTTTTTTTCTTGGTTTACAAAAATTTGTGCGAAAACTCCTAGTCAGTAGATGAGTACAGACTTGATTTTCTTGTTTGTTCTAATCAAGTTGACAGAATGTAATGCCATATGAGTGGAGTAGGAGACGTGGGTCTACACCCATGGGGTGCCAGCAATAGAGTGCTGAGGACCTACTCTATTCAGTCCCATGGGGCGAATAGAGTGCTGTGGACCTTTTCTTACCCAGAGTGCTGGGTACCTATTCTACCCCAGGTCCCCATGGAGTGACAAGCAATAGTGCTGGGGACCTATTCTAACCCAGAGTGCTGGGTACCCATTCTAACCAAGGTCCCCGTGGAGTGACAAGCAATAGTGTCCTGGGGACCTATTCTAACCCAGAGTGCTGGGGACCTATCCTAACCCAGAGTGCTGGGGGCCTATTCTAACCCAGAGTGCTGGGGACCTATTCTAACCCAGAGTGCTGGGGACCTATCCTAACCCAGAGTGCTGGGGGCCTATTCTAACCCAGAGTGCTGGGGACCTATTCTAACCCATGTCCCCATTGCGTGATAAGCAACAGTGCTGGGGACCTATTCTAACCCAGGTCCCCATGGAGTGACAAGCAACAGTGCTGGGGGCCTATTCTAACCCAGAGTGCTGGGGACCTATCCTAACCCAGAGTGCTGGGGGCCTATTCTAACCCAGAGTGCTGGGGACCTACTTTAACCCAGATTGCTAGGGACCTATTCTAACCCAGAGTGCTGGGGACCTATTGTAACCAGAAGTGACAAGCAATAGAGTGTTAGGACCTGTTCAAGGTCAATTTTGGGTTTAAAAGTAAAGATGCAAAAACCAACCAGAGTTAGGCATGTAAGTTTCCTGTGTGGCAACTATAAGAGCTCTGTCCCGGGATGCTAGCGTGACGCTCAGGCAAATGAGATTCTCGTCCCGCCCCTGCAGGTTGCGGACTACGGTGAGGAGGCGGACAGGGTGGGCGTCCTGGGCCACGGTGCTGAACTTGTCCACACAGAACCACGTGGAGTAGGTCAGGCCGGACTGGGGAGGGAACACTCGCTCACCTGGACACATAGATTAGACACGATCATAGCAACGACATCATTTCCATACAAATCAGCACATCCAAACTATGAAGAGAAGATTTTGGAGAAGGCGTGTCTGTTTCTTATTCAATCGAAAAGAGATGCACTTCTAAAAGGCATCAATAACTGAAATTAAGTCACTGATAAACATACACAAGTTATTTTCCTGATGTCTTTTAACATTTTGCTTGTTATAAAATTATTCCTGAAAGAAGCAGAAACTAATTAATGAGATCATTTAACTAGAAAGTATTTAAATTTACACATTTCCTTAAATAATTTGAAATTCAAACATTTATCAAAGAGTAAATCACTGAATGAAAGAAGAGTGATCAATTGGTACTGAAGAAATACATGCACCATAATAGACAATGACATGCGAACAAGTCAGCATTTACTCTTTACTGCCAGAATGGTTAAAAGTGAATGAGCAAGTTGGAATAACGCTGTTACTCACTATCACAGCATGTCAGCTTAATGTGGGATGAATGCCCCAAGTGATGCAGTGTTTACAACTTTGTTTTGTTCTTGAACACTGCACTCAGCTATATTCCAGCTATGTGACAGCAGTCTGTACATTATCGAGTCTGGACCAGACAATCCAGTGATTGACATCAGGAGCATCGATCCACACAATTGGTGATACAATGACATGCATCAACCAAGTCAGCGAGCCTAAACACCAGATCCTGTTAGTCGCCTCTTACAACAAGCATGGGTGCCGAAGACAATTCTTACCAGGATTGTTTTCCACTTTGAGTACAGGCTAAAAATATATAACGCTGACAGACCAAGGATCAGCAGATCCTGGTGAGACTGTGGGACCCAACTGTGCACAGAGCAATGCAGCACCTTGGACAGAGGATACAGTATCAGCACAACACAAACTGCCTATCAAAGAAGTTGTCACATGTGCATGATCCTTTAATTACCTGCGCCCACTCCGCCTATGACAACGGGCTCCGAGGTGCCGACCACTCCCCCTACAACGGAGGGTGTGGGTGGGCCTTGGGGGGCGATGCTGGGCAGGTACAGGCAGGCAAACCCTTCCGCATTCATGTCAAACTCTACGAAGGCAGGAGTCACCGTCGCCCCATGCATCCTGGCATCTCTGGGTGTTGTCATGGAAACCAGACACTTGACTCGAGTGAGAGGGACAGTCTGACCAGCAGACTTGAGTTTCTTCTCAATCTCCACGGTGGCTTTCTTGTCCTCCATGTTGACAGAGTGGGACACTATCTCAGCATCATGCCAGGCACATGTGTCCAGCTGGGCCGTGTCTTCAACTGCTCGGCAGCTGAGAGGGGAGCCCAACCTCATGAAGTCTCTGCAGTAGATCACATATATATCAGGGAGTGAGCTGTGGACAGTTTATCAATTACATCACTGCATGTCATTTAGGGAAAGCCAAAGTGATGGACATTTACCAATCATGAGCATGGCCTATGCTGACAAACAAAGAATCATAAGTAGAGAGAATCTGTTATTCTGGTATGACTAAGGATGCAACTCTGCTAAGAGAACTGCATGCACCCTCAAATATATCAGTGAGAGCCAAAGAACCAAGATGTGTCAAACAAGATAAAAAGGTGTACATTACTTGTCAAAGTTTCGATACAAAAGATCAAATAGCTGAAAAATGCATCAAAAGATGCATCACAAAACTACTTGCTGTGTCATTTATGAGCTCTCGGAAAATGTCCAAAGGAATGCATGTCTACAATTTTATCTGTCAGTGCTTTAATATACAGATTTTCTCTCTGAAAATGTGTCTTTTTAAATTTTTCTTGTCATCAATGGAACAGTATGAGAGTATGAGGCCAAATTGTCTTGTTCAAATATATTCTGGAACAATCTCCTTTTTAAAAATACACCACTCCTATTCCCTCCCCACCAGAGTAGTCGGTTACTGAGGCTGAAAAGAAAAACATTTGTTCACAGGCAATGACAATACAAAGTGTTAAAATGAAAATGGAATGCTAAATGTTGGATATATTTCCAATTGTTGACAGTGCCTTAGAACCAAACTATTTCTAATTCTCAAGCCTAATATATCAAGTAAATATCATTACAATCCAACTGCCTAATAAACCAATCACAACAATCATTTACTGTTATTTCTGTAATCTATTATTGTCTTGAATTAACTGTAAACCTGGCATGCATGTACTCACCGTAGATCTCTGGGTGTGAGTGACTGTGAGGCCAGTCTCTCGAACATGTACTGTAGGTAGGGGTGGAGTGGGTGGGACTCGTCAGCAAGGGCCACACTGCCATGGCTCAACAACTCATGGGGGAAGCGCCCATCACACATGACCTGTTGGTTACGTTCAGTACGAAGCAGGGTCTTCAGGGTTTCGCCGACAAACAGCCGCAGGTCAAGGGAAGTCTGTAAAGATGGTGAACATTTGATTTAAAGGACAAGTATACAAAACTACAAGCAAAATCATGCCAATAGCGCCTTTAGTGTACACCCTCATTGTAATGACTGTATGTATTCAGCCAGTCAGGAACTGATGGTCAGGCTTGATGACTTTGTTGATTGCTTGGCATGTTACCCTGACAATGTCCCCCAATGGTTGTTCTTCCCGACCATCTCTGTGGCCAAGTGGATAGAGCATCTGCCCAGAGAACAGAATGTTGGTGGTTCGAACTCCAGCCGTGTCATACCAAAAGACGTTAAAAGATGGTACTTGTGGTTACCCTGTCTGGGCTCGGTATTAAGGGGCGACTGCTTGGCTCGGAGTCAGTATACTGAGTGGGATACCCATGTTAAACTACAGCATGGATCTCAGTGGGCTAGTGCAATAAAACCGCCATTAGTCCAGACTAGAACAAGCATCTACACACACATGAATGCATGTCTTAATATTAGTGCAATAATCTTGAATACAATATTAAACCCGATTACCTGAATATCAGATAACAGCTCGATTGCAGGCAGGAGGTGGAACATGGACAGGACGGCACCCGCATGTACGACGATGAGGTCGGAGGGGCTGGTGAGATTGAGGGACATACTTCCCGTGCTCCCTCGCTTCGGTTTCAGAGCAGCCTGGTTTATCTGAGACTCATCGGACACAGAGGATGTGTGTTTCCTCATTGAAGGGGAGTCAGCCTTCACTTGGCTGGGCATTGGTCTGGAGTCATAGTAAAGACTTAGGTAAGACCAATTTCATTCGCATTAAAAGTTTGTTCTTTGCCATATCAGGGATAATTCATTTTGATTATTGTCTTTTCTCTTATGTTTGTTTTAAAATGTAAGTGTTAACATAACCTCAAATATCCATAAGATTAAGTAACTTGCTGCAATAGGTAGATAATGCCAATAATAGTTTGGCAGAAGAATCGGATCAATAGTTCAGTGTTTTGTATAAATCATATATTTCCTTAAGTTTCAAAATATAGCCCAAGAACATTAATTATGAAGATGTTGACATCCTATATATCCAAGAAGCAATTCATAAAACTGATCATGCAACAGAGTTTTGAGCATGGCATGACTTCTTTTTCACTCAACTCGTTTTAATAATACAGAAAAGATTTGTTTTCAGAGTAGAACATGGCAATTACAGCTTTAACTTATTGACTTGAACTATAAATCTTCTGACAAGTTGGAACTGGCATATCATCCCATCATCCCCCTATCACATCCCCAAACTTAAGGAATTAAGATTCTTATCAGACATAAAACTTTTGAACTCCTCTCTTAGGTCATGTCTATAGGCTTTATGTTTTCTATGTCATAATGGCAGAATTAATGTGGTGTCATTTGCCTCAGATTGAAGACTATATTCTTCTCCCAACATACACACACCTCCAGGAATTATACTGGACAACAGACATACAGACAGAGTGTCGCTACAGTAACTCATGAACTTATGGAGAGGATGATCACTAGGTGTTTCTACCTGTCAAAGGCATCGAGAGCCATGTCATACAGGTATCGGATCATCAGGATCGCTGACAGCAGTATGATTGGTACCGGCTTCTGCAGTCTGAAAACATGACAGTACAAGTTATCTACTGGTCAGAAGACATGGCAATCACATCACCAATATTTCAACTCAGTAACCATGGTAACATGTAATACACTGAACCAAAAAAAATGAGCAAAACATAAATATTTGAGTATACACTGCAAAGTAATATATTCATTTACTAAGTTTGCCACGTCATTTTGCAGACCCCGTCACATACCAAAAAATCAGAACTCATATCACCCAAGTGTGACAATAATGCACGTGAAAATGCTTATGCCGTTGATCACGAAAAATGTGTGTTCACTTTCTACCGCAGGATTACATGCCCGACGTCCAGTGACTGCTGAGCCATTAACGCAATGTCATATGGCTGAACGACTTGCATGGGCGCAAATTCATCAAAGATGGCATTTTGCACAATGGAAAATGACGCTGAATCTCTGAATTTTTGTGTGCAGTATGCTGACACTGTGTATGGCGTAGGCATGGTGAAAGGTATGATACCTATAACATCGTACAACCAGATCAATACGGTGGTGGAAGCGTTAGGGTATGGGCCAGAATTTATGGTACGAGCAAAACTGATCTTGTGATCATTAATGCTTTTGTTCAGTGTTGTTTGATTCCGATGCAATATACACATAAATATCATATTGCAAATCTTTTACTTGTACTTGTATGCTGATCAGTTACAATTTGCTGAACTTTTTTGTTTCAGTAATTTACTTAATGATTCATCATAAAACAATAACCAGTATCGCCAAACATAAATCGAGATACTATTGCAGTACTGGTACTACTATAACCCTTCTCACAATGTAGATTTTCCTTGTATTATCAGGGCCTAACTCATCCACCATGGCAATGGTTCAGCAAGGTGTCAGTGATACAAGGAAGGTACCTATGATGACCGTGTCATACAAACCTCTAAATGAACACAACACATATTGAGAAAACACCTACTTGTCATCCTTGGTGTGGCAGAAGAAGTCGTGGAGATGGTCCAGGTTTTCACTAGGTTTCATATCCTCAGGAGCTGGTTGGATGTCTATGGTGTTTGAGAAGCAGCCTAGCAATCGGATGGCCTCTGTCAGACTGTCATACCTCACCTGCAACAGAGGCAAACTCAGGCTAGCAAAGGTTGTTGGTCTGCACTAAGATTGTCTTACTTTTTCTAAGATCTAAATGATATGATGTCAATGTCCAAATGAAAAAAGGGGGTGCATTCTATTGTGCTAGACACAACTATTACTGTGCCATATTCACCCTTTATTGCAGACGCACACAGGGAAATCATTTACAGTGTGTATTTAATGCAATAGTCTAAGCATCAGTATGTAACTTTGTTTGTTTGTTGTTTAACGCCGCAATCAGCAATATTCCAGCTATATGACGGCGGTCTGTAAATAATCGAGTCTGGGCCAGACAATCAAGTGATTGACATCATGAGCATCGATCCACGCAATTGGGATCGATGACATGCACCAACCATATCAGTGAGCAATGAGTTGCTGAAGACCAATTCTACCTGGTTTTAATGAGATTGACTTTCTGTCAGGTGATTTAAAGTTTTAAAAAATAGATATCAATGATTAAGTGTGTACATGTTATGGCTAAGAGTTTCAAAACAAAATATATTTTCTTATACCTCTGAAGCAAAGAACTTTGCATTGGCTGGTTCGTATCTCATGGCAACAGTAAGAGTGCTGAATACTGTCCGTAGCATGGTAAGTATGTCCTTCCTGGGTACTGAAAAACAAAATGAAAAGTGATGACAACAGTACAATTCAGACGATTTGAGACTTTGGCATGCTAGGACTACTGAAAGTTGGCTCACAGAGGACATACATACCCATATCCCAGGGTGCCCTGGGTGGGTCAGCCAGGCAGCCCTCCATGGACACCAGCACGGACATGACGTACACGAAGCCGCCTACTTTACGGAACACTGTCCGAGTTCGGTGACTCTCTCGCAGTACATTCAACAGAGACTGAAAACAGATGGAAAAACTCTCACTCTCAAAGTTTACAATGACCATGACAACAGGATCTGGTTTCCAACGTACAAACTTCATTCAAAGACCTGTCACTTGCCTGGGTTTGGCTAAGGTAGTAAGACAGTTATTATCGAAGGTGCTCCCCAAGCATGCGAAGTGTATGAAACATGTCAGATAACCTGCTATAAACAGTAGGGATGAAATGATACATCAGTGCACCTGTGCATCTCGAGTTTTCATGTGACGCTAGATAACGAAATATATTGTCGCGACAAGACAATACACTTGCTAAAATAAGTTATTTCGTACTTGTGCCTACAGCTAACTTTTCCTTTGACACCGGCTTTGAAAAATTTACAGTCAAGAAGTTTCCACATGATTTGACGTAAAGACAATCCAATGTTTGACATCATGAGCATCGATCTATGTAATTGCGATATGATGACACGCATCATCCAAGTCAGAGAGGCTGACAACCGGATCCCGCTAATTGTCTCTGCGACAAACATGGGTTCTTGACATAATGGATTCTGACATAATGAGATATGATTATTCCTACCTTGAGAATGTGAGTCTTGAGTTCCAGGTCGGTGACAGGTGCCGTGGGCATGAGACCCAGTAGAGTTCCCATGTCATCGTCGCCACCAGGTGACAGCACCAGCTGCTGTACGATGTTGAGAGCCAACTGTCGACAGCCCAGGTATGGCACCATGTTGTGTGCACAACGAGCTCCTCCACACTCTCGGAACACACCTGGTCACACACACAACACACTATAAAGAACAGTTGTTGACAAACACCACACATAATACAGAACTGTACCTACACAAGTCTTCCTATAAGGCACACCAATGAATCAGCATATATTGATTCCGCTAACTGCAAGTAGCATGACTACAGTACCTAGTTCTCTTTAATGCAAACATATGCCATTTATGCCAGACCAAACTGAAAATACACTACTCAAAAGAAGTTAAGGACCAACCGATTCTTTCATATTGCTATGGATAATCTGTCACGACATGACATCAGGTGGTCCTAAACTTCTTTTGTGTAGTATATTAAGTCTTGGTAAATCATGACAGTTTTTAGAGATAAGTTAACTAGCTGTGTTAGTAGGTACATCTCTTTTCTAAGTCAGTTACTTATTCCAAATTAGTATTGCAAATTACTGATACATAAAAAAAAAATTAAAAAAATTAAAAACATCTTCGGTCTGTGACAATAGTAAACTCTACTCACAACATGTGGACTTAGTGGTAGGCTCATACGCTTGGACAAACCGAAAAATAACAAAGTCGGACATGGAAAAATATCTGCATAATTAGACAAACTATTAATCCCCTTGAAATAGGAACAAGACAGTAAATGGATTCCAACAAATTGCTAAAGCGGAGTTGTGGTGTTACTGACTGGCGTTGCTGGAGTTGCCACACAGCAGCACGGCCAGCGCCTCCATCACGTGGTGCCCCAGCTCCTGCTGCTCCTCCGGGATCTTCCCACCATCCCCGCCCACTGCTGCAACACACACACACATATACAGATTTACATTTGTTACACAACCAGTGTTCAAAGTTGTTAGGGCTCCTAGAGGTCGTACGACACACATACGAGTACTGCTTTAGATTACTTAGACAAACCAGTTTGCAAAACTGTCCAGGGCTCCTTGAGGTCTTCTCCGGTATTTGAATCTGGGACCTCCATCATATTTTACTTTAACATTTGAGTAATGACAAGGAACTCTTGATTTATTCATACTTTTGAACAGTGCAGATCCTGCACATCCAAAGAGCTGCCCATGCGGGATTTCAACCTGGGACCTTTCGAAGTACAAGGCCAAGATTTTGTGAAGAAAAGCTACCAGCACATGGCTTTTTATTTCATCATGGTAACTGCAAGTTTAATTTGGTGAGCATGAAACAGCATTTTGTAACATTACAGCATCGCCATGTATCCTATTGCTCATCAATACATCAATGTACAGTCACACAGTTTGGCCCTCATTCTAAAAAGGTTCATACTCCAATGAACTCACACAAAGTGAAAGTCAATTCTTATAATTTTTAATATCACTATTTTTTACCTGGATGGATGTGGAACTATACACAATTTTATTTAGGCCCAGTACGTGTGACTTCATGTTTACCCAGGAATGTGTAAGTAGTCCGTCAGTGTTTACGTCATTTCAAGAATATGTTCTCGTGAAAACAGTATGAACATCAAATTGTGTCATTTATACCCTTCTGAAAGTCAATTTCGTGATCATGTAACCGACCTCTTGTCCAATGGAAAATACAAACATCCTCTTGTCATAATTCAAACTTAACAATGGTGCTAAATAACCCTTTTGATTTCATCTTTCAACAAAATCCTACATTCTTACCACTACTGGATTTAACGTCGCGTCCAAGATTATTGCACTTATATAGCAACGTGCATGCACGTGTATGTGTGTCGGGCTGCTTGTACTAGTCCGGACTGATGCCGATTTATAGTGCTAGCTCACTGAGATACCATGATGAGTTTAACATGAGTACCCCACTCAGACACAGTATACTGACTCCGAGCCGACCAGTCCTTGTTTTAGCCCCTTAATGCCAGACAGGGTAACAACAAGTACCATCTTTTAACGTCTTTTGGTATGACGCGGCTGGGGATCGAACCCCGGACCTTCCACTCTCCGGATGGACGCTCTACCACTAGACCACGGAGGCGGTCACTGGATTTAGATGCACAAAACTAAGGATCTGACTGCCAGAGGGCGGCTCACCTGAGTCACTCTGCGGCTCCTTGAGGAGTGCTGCATATCTGTACAGACAGGTGACCATCACCTCCAGCATGCCCACCTCACGGAACACATCCCTGTAGGTGCTGTGGTAGCGCAGGATCTTCAGCAGAGTCTTCATGCACAGGATGCTGCACTCTATGGAACTGCAACAGTGGTGTGGAAGTCGGTCAGAAAACATGCTCTACTCTGGTTGACAATGGCTGAGAGATATTCACGATTCCAGATCAAAATGAAAACAGATACAGGTTTTGGAAATCAAGATTGTGGCCTCCTTGCAATCACTTCGGGTTTTCGTTTTTTCGTAAATCATCATTAAAAGTTCACTTTCGAAATATGTAATTGGAGGTGACTGAGGGAGTTGATTCAGTTAAATGTGTGTTGTTTAATGCCACACTCAGCAATAATCCAGCTACACAATGAGAACCTGTAAAGAACCGTACAATCCACTGATTGATATTGTGAGCAACGATCCATTCCGGTGTCCATGACACCAAATCAACCAAGTCACTGTGCAGAGTTACATCCCTTAGACATGCCAGATTTGACTTGCATCACTATAGGTGTTCTTCCCACATTCAACACACATGCCATGAGTGAGTGAGTGAGTGAGTTTGATTTTAGGCCGCTTTTAGCAATATTCCAGCAATATCACGGTTGGGGACACCAGAAATGGGCTTCACACATTGTACCCATGTCGGGAATGGAACCCGGGTCTTCGGCATGACGAGCAAACGCTTTAACCACTAGGCTACCCGACCGCCCCACATGCCATGAGGAAGTGTGATAAGGCCAAGTGCTCTAGAAGTACTTACTGTTGTGATTTGATGAGTATGCTGAGGCTGATGAGTTCCTTGCAGGGAACAAAGTTCAGATTAAACACAATGAACTCCATCAGCTCAAAGAATTTGTTCTGAAACAGACAAAAATTGCAAATGTAAAAAGACACTATCACAGATTCTAGGTCAGTATTCTCCAATCTCAACATGACAAATGATGTCACTTGTCTTTTAAGGAAACAAATATTCACATGCCTGTATATCGTTGGGTTTAAGATAGATTTTCTCTGCAAACTGAGAGAGTGTGTGCTGTGGTTCTAGGATGAAGTAGTTGGCGTTGTCCTGGTGATAGATGCTGCTGATGACGTCTAGGATGGTGCTGCACAGCTGACTCGTCTGGGCCTGGAATCAACAAGAGCACATGATCAATACTATCGACTCATAACTAAAATATGTAAATGTCATTCAAAGAACTTGTGTCTCATTCAGGCAGGAGCCCAGACAGACGAGGGTTTATTGAGGAATGCTCCTACCCTACATCAGAGCTGGCTCACAGCATTTACTGTTGACAACCAGGTCTGGAGTGAGTGAGTGAGTGAGTTGGGTTTAACGCCACTTTTAACAGTATACCAGTTATATCACAGTGTGTCAGCTTAATGTGGGAGGAAATCCCGAAGTGATGCAGGTCTCAGACATTTACCACTTCGGTGAAACCCACGAGCACGGGTATGGTGCTGACAAACCTAGAAACATAATCGGGGCGAACCGGAATTTAAACCCACATCCGTAGGTTTCTAGCGTGCCCAAGGGATGCAACTCTGCACAGCAAACTGCGGCACCTAAGACGACTGGGCCACCCATGCCCCCAACAGGTCTGGAGGACACCAAAATCTGAAGAATACCCAGTATTGAGTTCACAGTCCTCACATAAGCTGAATCCAGTGTGAAAATCATCATTCCATGAATTTCACATTTGATTTTTGCACGAGACATCGTCCTTGCTTACCTTGAGGAATACTGACTGTAATACTTGGAAAGCATGTAGGTTGCGGACACTGACACCTGAAACACAAACTTCCTCTTAGAAAACCTCTCACCATCAAGCTAATCATGCTTTCTTATAACACATTGTCATCATCTTACAGACACAGCATGACTTCCACACTACACATATCAGGCAAAGAAAGCTACATCTACGCAATACACAATATCTACTTCAACCACAACATCCACAATATCTACTACATCCGCAACGTCTACTACATCCACAATATCTACATCATATCCTACAACCCATGCAGCTCAGTCTGTTGACTGATCTCTGGGTCAAGTTTATTTCTTAAAGTAGATCCAATACACACTGTTACTTCTCATTGTTCCTTATTATCATTTTGGGAAGAATTTTGTTTGTTGTTTAACGCCGCACTCAGCAATATTCCAGCTACATGACAGCGGTCTGTAAATAATCAAGTCTGGACCAGACAATCCAGTGACTGACATCATGAGCATCAATCCACGTAATTGGGATACAATGACATGCATCAACCAAGTCAGCGAGCCTGACCACCCGATCACGTTAATCACCTCTTATGACAAGCATAGTCGCCTTTTACAGCAAGCATGGGTTGCTGAAGATCTATTCTACCCTGGATCTTCACAGGTTTTTTCGAGAGGAAGACACTACATGCTCTTGCTTCTAAATGATGGCTATTTATTTATGCGGCTAAATGGACAAGCAACAGGCAATAATAAGTAAATGCACAGAAAGACTGATATACCTGTAGAGAAAGTACATGGAAAGATACAACATATACTTGTTATATTTGTCAAATTTAACAAATATATTCAGAATGTGCTGATAAAAAGGAATAAAAACTGATTTTTTAGTTTTCAGTGTATGCTCTCTACATTATAATAAAGTACTTGTACATAAATGTACACATTGTTATTATGCATAATGTATCAGTTTACTCGAGCAACGGTGAGGTCAACAACAGATGTTGTATGGATAACTTACACAGTTAAACAAAACTGTCACAAGCCATATAAATCAATATACATAAATTTGCAATGGGATTATGTTTCTGGCTGTGGTCATGTGGCAAGTGTTTCCTTGCTGTGTACTGTGCTGTATTGATTATAACCACATTGTGACACAAAGATGTTGCCAGGAGGTGAGGGAGATAGGAAGTTTATGTTGTATGTAGTTTTTAGCACTATTCAATCAACAGTGGTCAACACCAAGAATGGGTTTCATGGTGTCCATGTGGGAATTGAACCTTGGCCTTGAGAGTGATAAGCACAACCTTCCACAATTCTAAAAGAAATGACACAAAGCAATCTCCATTAAAGTGGAATTAGGCTGATGAAGCAAGACATGTGAAAGTCACATGGAGTGTGCAACTATCTACTAACTACAAGTAGTAAAGTAGGACAAGCTCACACAAACATGCAGCAAACCATCATACAAGACATGTGAAAGTCACATGGACTGTGCAACTATCTACTAACTACAAGTAGTAAAGTAGGACAAGCTCACACAAACATGCAGCAAACCATCATACAAGACAATGTACCATTATATACATAATATAAGGCCATAATAAAGAATATCTTATTTTCGGGCAAAGTGGCAAAGTTATATGAAGATATGTAGGCAGTTTTTTCGTCCAGACAATTACATGATTACAGATGGACATGCTCATTTATGGGGGTGGGGTTGGAGGAGGGTGTCAATATTAAAAACCAAAGCAGTCAAAAACAAAAAACATTCAGGGGCGGATGGGTTGCCCGAAACAAAAATCTATTCATAATGTGGCCTGATCATGTAATACAATGTACTGGTGCATAATCATGCAAAAGACAAGGATATACATATTTTCAGTATTCAGCACACGTACAAATGAAAATGATTAGCTTGGGACAATATTTTACATTTTTTAAGGGTGAATCAAAGTGAGTGAGTGAGTGAGTGAGTATGGTTTTACGCCACTTTTAGCAACATTCCAGCAATATCACGGCAGGGACACTAGAAATGGGCTTCACACATTGTACGCATGTTGGGAATTCAAACCAGGTCTTCAGCATGAGGAGTGAACGCTTTAACCACTAGGCTACCTGGCTGCCAATTTTTATAGTTCTATACCATAGATACCATGCCGCAGTTTAACATGAATACCCCACTCAGACACTGAATACTGACTCCAACCAGCCAACCAGCCAACCAGTCCTTGTTTTGGGGATCAAACCCCCGACCTTCCACTCTGCTGGCGGACGCTCCATCACGAGAATACGAAGGCAGTCCAATGCAGCCAGCAAGGTGTAACAGTAATAGCTGTGAGTGAAATGGGTTGTAACAGTATTTCAGTTACATCGTGTGGGAGAAAAACCTGAAGTGACTAATCAAGATTCAAAATCAGGGAGATTCTGGGATTTGAACCCACAATGATAGGATTCTGGGGGGCTGGATTACAAATCCATTGACAACTGAGCCACCTGTGAACCCCTATAACTGTATTCAGGCTGAGCCAGACAAACCAACATCTGACCAACTGCAATACAGCCACCTGGTGGTCCTCACAAGCCCTAGTCATAAATTGTTGCACATCTAATTTTAGTCACCATGTATGTCCCATAAACAAAGTCAGTGTACTGAGTTAAACGTTAATGCAACTTTAACTTGACATCAATTTTAATGAAAACTTTAATACATAATAAAAGCAAATTTAAAAGGAAATTCAAACTGATCAGTGTGAAAATCAATAAAATAAAAATTGAAGAAGAAAAAACAACAAAAAGCAAGAATAAATAGAACTGTTAGTAGCAAGCCATGCTGACATTACAGATATTAGAAGATTTATTAGAAGAACTCCAGCCCTCTGTCCCCGTGATAAAGACAGTGTTTAGCGTACTCAACTGTTACTACCACTGGAAAATAGCTGAACCTCTGTCAAAATACCAAACAAAACAAAATAAACTCAATGTCAACAAAATTGTGAAATAAAACACATCAAATGTTTTAACAGAAAACATGCCATGAACAGGGTCTGAAACAAACGGAAGTCAAAATTAACTAAACAACTGCATAGAACTGAAAAGGTAACCTAATGAACAAAGACAAACCAAAATTTAAAAAAATCATGACAAAAACGCGAGAGGAAATAAAAAAAATTGGAATATATATATACTATATACCGGTGTATATATATATATATATGAAATCAGAATAATTTTGTTAAGATTTTTTTTATCTGCCGACTTAAAATTTTGGGCCGACATTCTGTAAACCCAAACAAAAAAAGTCTGGCCTTGGTACTGGTATTGTTTAGCGCATTTCATCAATCTATGAATACACATACAGCATAAAACATATGTACAATGTGAACCATTCATCAACTGATCTTTCTGTGACTTTACATAACAGATAATATTTTAATGATATATTATTAACTGACTGCTAAATAATAAAGCAGTTCCATCAAACACATCAAAAGTGAAAATTTCTCAACATTCAAGCATATTCATTTTGCATCATGCAAGCTTAAATATAGACGATGCTTTTCTCTACACATGATCATGTTGACATGAAAATAACACTGTTGTGCTGTCATGAAAACATTTAAACCATGTTATCTCTACTTAAAAATGCAGCATATCTATACAATACAAACACATTCCCATGCAATCAAAATTCATTCCATCTAATAAAAACCTTATTGAACGGTGTAACATGAAAGCAAGACACTTCCTGAACATCACTTCCAATTCACTGAATCTAACAAAGTACTAGTCTGGACTAATGCCAATTTTATGTGATACCATGCCATAGTTTAACATGAATACCACACTCAGACACAGTAGCATGGTAGCTTACTGACCTATTATATATTTCAAACGCAAAATATTTGTTCTCTGTTCAACTTTTATGACAGATCAGTTAGGATTGATCAATGATGACTTTCTTTACCGAGCCTGAGAGTAACCAGGTTAGATCACTGACTTTGTGTGCTGGCAATAGGTGCCTCACTCTAAGAGTGTAGGTTCTAATCCTTGATGGGACTCAACCCAAAAGAGGACAAGAATTTATACTTTACTAAGAAAGTGTAAACCCATCTATAACATTTGTTATAAACATTTGGTGTAAACATACAGTGGTCCCTCGCTACAATGCTACCAATGGGGTCCAAATAATTGGTGGGCGTTATAGACGATGAGCCGTTTAACCGAGGCCGAGGCCGATCTTCACCTTGTCTCGGACATTGCAATGATACAAGTTGTTTACCGTTCATGGTGTAAAAATATATATCCATTATGTTTTCGCCGTTTGTTATTATTTACAAGCCTTAACTGTCACATTCAATGTGAATGTAGTCTACTTACATGAAAATATCGATCGATAATGGTAGTAACAGACGCCATGAGTGAAGAGCCAATCACAATTCATTACACAAGTACAGAGTGATTCAGTGGCATTGATTGGTCATGTTGCTTAAAATACAGAAAACGAGAGTTTTGACCAGCACTACGCGCATTCATACACATTCATACACATTCATGCAAATATAGATACACATTCAAGCCAGTTTAATTGGTTTGATACGGTTACTTGATCCGAATCAAAAGGAATGACCGCCGTGTTGTGCTCAAATTGGATTGCCCACTAATTAAGAAAATAAACTTCGCTTGTGGTTCTCTTTTATTGCATGCATGCGCTTCTAAGATCAAAGGATGTATAGTGTGAAAAGTTAACTAGTAGAACAATCGTATTTCCGGGACTTGCCGCGGATGTTTTCAAACAGATTATTAGAACTCCATTCAACGATAAACGGTTGATTATGCAATGAGAAGCGTTATGTGCAATACAATCACGGCTGTGTAAAACTCTCAGTATTAAAAGTGTACATAAATTTTGGGAGCCATGGTAACCGAGGCAGCGCTTTATCGAAGAGCCCAACAGCGAGGGATCACTGTATTTGAATTGCATAATAGCCAAGTTAAACAAATCTTGGTAAGCCAGTAGTCCTAGAAGATATTCAATTTTTAGACATATGTTTATCTAATTGTGTAGACACATCTCATCCACCCTGTGGCAGAGGTAGTACGTGGGTAGGAGAGTGAGCGAACACACTCAACATAATATAAATAATAAAACCAACAAGAAGGGCCACCACAACAAGCAGAAAGTGCCCACTGTGACTTCACGGACGTACCTTTCCCGGCCGGCTGTGGTGTGATGAAGCCTGGCATCTGGAAGAGTGATCCCGAGCTGGCCTGGCTGGGCTTGAGCTCCAGGTAGCCGCACGTGGTCAGTGACCCCACCAGAAGCACCAGGTTCCGCAGGGCTTGTTGGGACTCCTCCGCAGGGTCTTGCTCAAGTCTGATGTCAGGAGATTACAGAATGAAAAAATAAGTAATAGACCAGCACAATTCATTCAAAACTTGAGTAAAAGGTATGTGTACAAATAAAGTAACAAAATATTCAAGTCCACACTTTTCTTCATCAATCATAATACAAACTAATCATTAGCTACATGTTGTCATCACACAGTATTAGAGCCTGCGTTAGAAACTGGCACTAGTCCTGTAGACCTTGTCAAACTGCCCAATAGTTAAGGTATCATAAGGACGAGTAGAAATTTGCCATTTATAAGGGTTTTGCTATATGTTATCATTATAAGGACTAGTGGACTAAAACTGTTAGTTTCTAACACTGAGAGCCAAATTAAATTTAATATCTTTCTAATAACAGTGTTCCATGTGCTCTTCAAAACATTTTTGTAGACTGCAGACTGAAATATAAGACCACTCAACATGCTCAAGGCCTTTTCAAATCTGTGAGAGACTTGTAACACCTTGTCTATGAAATATTTTATTACACATTAAATTTATGTGTAATTTCTTTTTTTGTCTAATACTCAGGTCAAAGAATAATAAGCTTAGACAGACATTGATGTCAATAATTAAATAAAATACAGATATTCCACAGTCATGGTCCAATTTCAGTAACCTACAGTGACGCCACTTTAACTCCCATTACTTTAAACTTGATTCATACTGTGTAAGACAACTTTACCATGTAACCTTATCTGTCTTCAACTATGGGAAACTGGATATATTTCCGATGGCCTGCAGGATTGGAAGGTGACAAGTGGTCTTAAGGTATGTGTTAAATGTTCTTTTTTTTCGCAATAAATGTTTTGAAATCTTGACTGCTAAAAAGAACTGGTTAGACTTGCACTTGCACATTTACAGTTTTCCCCAGGATATTCTTGGAGGTTCCTGTTTAGGTACTCCCTGTGCCAGCCACACAACGCACCTGAGAAGGAACTCGGAGAGATACACGTATCCCTGGCACGACCTGAAGTCATCAAGCAGGGTCTGTGACACCTCACTGGAATCTTTCAGGAAGCAGAACACCGTCACAAACATTTCCACTAGCTCCAGGGGAGACAACTCTTGTACCCTCTGCATGTTTTCTATACAGTGACGAACACAACCCTTGTCTGCAAAAACAAAAAGTAGAAACATGCTGTAGCATGCAACAAAAAGGCATTGTTTAAAGTAAAAAATATCATTTATACTTATCCTGACTCATACTTCTACACTCATGTGTATGAGTCAGGATAAGAAAAAAGGTTGAAAAAAGAGCGAAACAATGAAGTTTAATGCTGCAGTCAGCACAAGTCCAGCTACATGATAGGGGCTTGTAAATAACAACATCTGGAAAACAGATAAACCAGTTGTTGATAGCATGAGCAACATATATAATATTAAAGAATGTGTCTTCAACAGGCACGCTGGGACAAAATATGTTTTGCCCAAAATAGATATTATCTTTATAGCCTTTACTTTATTACATTCAGAGGTAATTATTTTAGACTGTGAATAGAAGTAGTACAATCCTTTCTCTTTACATTCACTGATACTGTTTACTGACCCTGTTATAAGAAAAATACATGTCACCTTTGCAAAATGAAACATTACCATCATTAAAAAGTCAATGGGGAAAGTTTCCAATTCGTAATTTTAGCCAAAAAGGGGCCAAATACCAGCCTCCCAAAACAAATCCGTGTGTACATTACATAGAACGTCAGGTCCGTACCATGAATGTATTTGACGACTGTGTGAGTAAGTCCGTGGCGAGACAGCGTGACAAGCACCTCGGCAGCACTCTTCCTCCAGGGTACATTAGACAAGGGGCACCAGCTAGTGATGGCGCTAAACAGCAGACTGAGGTCATCCTTCCGCGCCAGCTCCTCTGCCGGGGAGATGTGGTTGCACAAGCGCACCAGCACCTGCACAGTACATTACTCATGCAGGGATATACTGTTTGTTTATTGTTTAACATTGCAGCCAGCAATATTCAAGCCATATTACATCAGTTTGTAAATAATCAAATTTGGGCCAAAGAAACCTGTTGTTGATATAATGAGCAAGGTCGCCTGCCATCAGGATATTTGCAATCAACCAAATCACGATGTCTGACTACCTAATCCAATTTAGGGCATCTTACGACAAGCAATACTAACAAAGAGGACTTATTTTAACCCAGGTCCCCAGAAGTCTGTAGGCATCTATGTCAGTGAGTGAGCGAGTATGGTTTATGCCGCTTTTAGCAATATTCCAGCAATATCACGGCACCAGAAATGGGCTTCACACATTGTATCCATGTGGGGAATCTAACCCGGGTCTTTGGCGTGACAAGCGACTGCTTTAACCACTAGACAATCCCACTGCCCCCATCTATGTCAGGGTATCTTAGGGCTGAAGTAACCGTATCTCTGTACTCCATGCAATAAACGATGTTGATATTGACTTGTTACTACACAGAGCTACGGGCTGTCCCATAGTGTTTTCCTAATAGATTCTGATTTAGAACATACTGCACCAACAACCCTGCCATAATAAGCATTAGGAATTGGCACTAGTCCTGTAGTCCTTGCCAAGCTGCCCAATAGTTAAGGTATAATAAGGACTAGTAGAAATTTGCCATTTTTGAGGGATCTGTTTATGTTATCATTATAAGGACTAGAGGACTAGAAATGTTAGTTTCTACTGCTGATAATGTACATGAATCTTATCCCACGAAAACTCAACTGCAACATGATACCCTTCCTAAAACTCAACTGCAACATGATACCCTAGAGGACTAGAAATGTTAGTTTCTACTGCTGATAATGTACATGAATCTTATCCCACGAAAACTCAACTGCAACACGATACCCTTCCTAAAACACTTGCCTTCAAATATGTGTACTTTTATTCAATCAAGCAAGTTTCTGTGTACTTATCAGGTTGGAATCATCAAGATAGTACTCAGCACAATGACGGAAAAAACATCTATTGTTGCATGATCTAATATAGAAGTACTCGTATTTCAAGGCAGGTGTCTCAGGAAGTGATCGTGTTGCAGACTTTGATAGATCACGATGCATGCACTTCGCTGAGGAAGAAGGTATTAGGACAACACCATGGACATCTTCCTGAGGTATAGGAGTTAACTGACTATAAAAGTCCAGTTTCCACCCTTGCCGAACTAGGCTGGTATTATGGAGTTACGTTTTGTGTCGACTAAGGAGTCTATAAAAGCCCAATCAAAATCGCGCACCGAAATCGAAAGCCGGTTCGTGAATTGTCGTGCAGATTTCGATCGACTGCAAGATTTGCAAAGAATGTGCATCGCCAATTCGTTGTCAGCAGATATTTTCCAAAATCCTTTCATGTTTTTAATCAAGGTGCTCACGTGATTTGGTGCATTTCGCGATGTAAGACCCGTTTTATCACAATATAGATCTTGATTATCGATCAGATCGTCCTGACTGGGCGCCACCATTTTGTGTGAAGCAAACGCAAGTGATACGAGAGGTGGAATTTGATTGGTCCATAGGAGAGGCTTAGAAGGGACATAATAGGTAATAGCCACTGGTGGCGCAACGATCAAGCCCAGTAATTCCAGCCTAGTTTGGCAAGGGTGGAAACTGGACTTTGAAAGTCAGTTAACTCCCTTGCCTCGGGAAGATACACCATGGACAGTCAGTCCATAGCAGCACAGAGATACAGTTACTGCAGCGGGGTACTTGACACTGCTACATCCAGTCATAGTATACAAGTTATGCACAATGAGGAGTAAAATTTGGCCAGAAAATATTTCAGGGCAAGGTTTTTCAAAGCCAATCTATCATATCCATTTGATATCCCTAGGAACACAAGTATTCCCTTTCTAATACATTTGCTAGCATATTAGCATGCAATTCAATGTTATCATGCAAATGAAAGAGTTGATCTGTAGCATACTAACATTTCACATTCGTAACAACATACGAAACAAAATAAAGGAGAAACAAACAAAGAAAAATAATTATTATTTCATTATTCAATCAACTTATTGTTGCTCTTCTTGGGATTTTGATTATCTGTACAAGGAAATGAATATATCATTTTGAGGTGAAGGTTCCAAACTTGTTTTAATAATTCACTTTGCCATTTCTGGAATCAAACACTTTTTTCAGCATTGTTGAGAGAGGCTTGGTTTGCATGAAGCCAACTTGCTGTAACATGTAGTCTGAAGCCGTGGGTGTGGTTGATTAGAAAGTTTAGAATCGATATATCAACTCAAAAGCATCACGATATATATCAGTTAATAATAAAATTAGCTGCTGTGTTTAGATACAATTTCTGACGTAGGCCTGCAGTTAATCAACTAATGCTAAACATGAACTAGACTGAGCCATCAAATTTTCAAAATTGAATTTTCTGCATTCTTATTGTCCATATTAAACAGGGAGTCTTACAAATGTAAACATTTCTGTGGCAGTGAATTATTATTTTAGTATCGACATTCATAAACATGTATCGATAAAGCATCGATATAACAAATTTATGGATACATTGATATATGGATATATGATGACATTCCCATCTGAAGCCTCGGCTAACCCATGTCACTCTGACACTTACCTGCACAAACACTTTCTGTAGGAGTATGCGTCTCTCCTTGGGACTGAATTCACAACCGGGTTCTAGTGTGTCACTGATGGTGTCAGCAGGCAGGTCGAAGAAGAGATACAGACATTTGACGAGTGTGGAGGGGAGGGAGGCGGCCGTCATGCAGTCGATCAAGGCCTGGTCGCCGATGGACAGCAGGTTGATGGCACTCAGTAGGGTCCAGCCATTGCTGTTGGGTTCACCAGACTCTATCTCCAGAAACTTGACAATTGCACAACTGGCGGCCTCTGAAAGTCATATAACATGAACACATATCAGTACACATCTTCATGGTCTTAGGACATGTAAGATGAACATATCTTAGTACACATCTTCCTGATCTTAGGACAGGTTACATAAAAATATCTTAGTACACATCTTCCTGATCTAAGTACATGTAAGAGGAACATATCTTAGTACACATCTTTATGGTCTTAGTACATGTAAGATGAACATATCTTAGTACACATCTTCCTGATCTTAGGACAGGTTACATAAAAATATCTTAGTACACATCTTCCTGATCTTAGTACATGTAAGATGAACATATCTTAGTACACATCTTCCTGATCTTAGGACAGGTTACATAAAAACATCTAAGTACACATCTTCCTGATCTTAGTACATGTAAGATGAACATATCTTAGTACACATCTTCATGGTCTTAGTACATGTAAGATGAACATATCTTAGTACACATCTTCCTGATCTTAGGACAGGTTACATAAAAATATCTTAGTACACATCTTCCTGATCTTAGTACATGTAAGATGAACAAATCTTAGTACACATCTTCATGGTCTTAGTACATGTAAGATGAACATATCTTAGTACACATCTTCCTGATCTTAGGACAGGTTACATAAAAATATCTAAGTACACATCTTCCTGATCTAAGTACATGTTACATGAAAATATCTTAGTACACATCTTCCTGATCTTAGTACATGTTACATGAACATATCTTAGTACACATCTTCCTGATCTTAGGACAGGTTACATGAACATATCTTAGTACACATCTTCCTGATCTTAGTACATGTTACATTAACATATCTTAGTACACATCTTCCTGATCTTAGGACAGGTTACATGAAAATATCTTAGCACACATCTTCCTGATCTTAGGACTGGTTACATGAAAATATCTTAGCACATATCTTCCTGATCTTAGGACAGGTTACATGAAAATATCTTAGTACACATCTTCCTGATCTTAGGACAGGTTACATGAAAATATCTTAGTACACATCTTCCTGATCTTAGGACTGGTTACATGAAAATATCTTAGCACATATCTTCCTGATCTTAGGACAGGTTACATGAAAATATCTTAGTACACATCTTCCTGATCTTAGGACAGGTTACATGAAAATATCTTAGTACACATCTTCCTGATCTTAGGACAGGTTACATGAAAATATCTTAGTACACATCTTCAGGATCTTAGTACATGTTACATGAACATATCTTAGTACACATCTTCAGGATCTTAGTTCATGTTACATGAACATATCTTAGTACACATCTTCATGGTCTTAGTACATGTTACATGAACATATCTTGATTCACATCTTCCTGATCTTAGGACAGGTTACATGAACATATCTTAGTACACATCTTCATGATCTTAGTACATGTTACATGAACATATCTTAGTACACATCTTCCTGATATAAGCATGAACATATCACAGTCCATAAAACGTTAACATTTCAGGATCTTAATACATGTTACATGTACATATTTATCTTAGTCCATATTACATGTGAAGCACCTGCCTCCAAGGCAATCAATCGACTGTGACAAAATCTGGACGTTCGTGAGTGCACTGCGAGTTATTGTCGGGCTTGTCATATATTGCTGTTGCCACATATCTGACCCACTATATAGCTTTTACGACTGTAAACCTAATCCAGTGTGTTTCAATTATTTGTTTAGTTTTCATTGATCTTGAGTGATCATTTATTGATTTCAATATTTAGTTCTCTATGTACCGATTTCTGTAAACCTTGATGTTCTAACATGGGAATCACCTCATAACAACATGTACCCAGTACGGGTGTCACGATAAATCGAAATATTGATATATTGCTATTGGTAAGCGCTTAAAGTAAAAAAAACGATTGTTATATCAGTTTCAATTGTATTTACATCAATAAAATACATGCAATGCTGTTCAAATTTGTTGTTTTTTTATCATGAGTGGTATTAATTTATACATGGTAATGTGGAAGACTCTTTTTCTTAAGTTATTAGAGTAATGAAAAAACTAATTAGTCATATCTCAAACTTTTTATTTGTTGTTATGGTTATCACATTGAAAGGAAAATTCAGTTCCAAGGTTTAATTCATCTCTAAAATCCATCTACAATGATTCACTGAAAACTATCGATATTTATCGCAATAGTTGCTTGCCATATCAATAGTTATTGCAATAGTTTCTTTCAATATCAACAGTTATTGCAATAGTGATTTGCAGAACAATAGTCACCCCTAGTACACAGTTTATAGTGACAGGCAAAGCATACATTAGGTAGAAAGTACCATGCAGCTATTACTATCATGACTCCAGGAAATCCACTTGCATCTTATATTGCTCAATGTTTGATAAGGATACCAAGCTAATGCTATTTACATATACATACACATACATGTATACAGATAATAAACAATACGTGGGTGTGCATGTTGGAGTAATAGAAATATCCCAAACAAAAGTTGAGAAGTATATTTGTTGAAAGTCATTGTGATATGTAAGAGTCAACGGGAAAGCCTAAACATGGCTATGTATTATTACTTAGAAGGAACATGAGCGAAAATCCCAAATCCAATCAAAATATGACAATAAATTTGACATTGTCCCAACCAATGGGATCTATAATTACAGTGCTACTTCTCAGTGGCTCACCTGTATATGTAGTTAGAATTTATAAGGAAAGCAGTGATCTACATGCTTACATCCATAAAGATAAACTTATAATGAGAGAAATATTAACTGTTATCTAGGGTCATTGTTAATGCTCCTGATAGATTAATAGTGGTACCACAGTGATGACTTATATGTGATAAATTGAAACTGAATGTTAATCAAATTCCAAGTCCCTGTATGCATTTGTTTCAACCTTATCAAGCTTTGTTTACAATGGCCATCTGTTACCATGTACACATATTTATGTAATATGACTACATATTCATAATTTCCATTGTTCTCTGTGTACATAGCGACACAAAATTATGTCAGGCATGGTGTTTCCATCAATGCACTACAGCGAAACAGACATAATTTTGTCTATGTCTACATGGTTAAATGAAAACACAAATTAATACTTCTGAATCGACGATACCAATAATAATTTATCTACATTCAATTGGTTATACATATTTATGGGAATGAAATGGAGATAATATACACTGGATTATCATGGATGATATTTCTGAAAAACCTCATGTATGTTAAGTGTTATAAACAAAATCAAATTTGCGCACTTAACTCGCAAATCAGTTTTATCTGCACTAACTTAGAACCCAGTTTACGGGTAACACCTAGTTTTATCTGCACTGACTTAGAACCCAGTTTACGGGTAACACCTAGTTTTAACTGCACTGACTTAGAACCCAGTTTACGGGTAACACCTAGTTTTAACTGCACTGACTTAGAACCCAGTTTACGGGTAACACCTAGTTTTAACTGCACTGACTTAGAACCCAGTTTACGGGTAACACCTAGTTTTAACTGCACTGACTTAGAACCCAGTTTACGGGTAACACCTAGTTTTAACTGCACTGACTTAGAACCCAGTTCACGGGTAACACCTAGTTTTAACTGCACTGACTTAGAACCCAGTTTACGGGTAACACCTAGTTTTAACTGCACTGACTTAGAACCCAGTTTACGGGTAACACCTAGTTTTATCTGCACTGACTTAGAACCCAGTTTACGGGTAACACCTAGTTTTAACTGCACTGACTTAGAACCCAGTTTACGGGTAACAACTACCGTAATGAAACATTTGTTATTTAGTAATCTTTTCAGAAAATGACAAGTGTAGACCTTGAACTTCCATTACAGCAAAACAAGAGAACAAAGTCATCGATATCTACTGCAATTAAAAGGCACCAGTTCACCACTTGACCTGTCTATGTGCCAAGTTTGGTGAAGAAATATTGTACATTTTTCAAGAATTGCTATGGATACGAGCACTACCCCCATTTTCAGTCAAAGTCAAAGTCACTAAAATCAACACTCAAAAAATACAATTTCAAAAATTCCATTACTTCCAAAAAGCATCAATTCACTACTTGACTTAACAATGTGCCAAGTTTGCGAAGAAAAAATGTAAGTTTTTTAAGATATGCTCCGGAAATGACACCATGCATGGATGAACACATGGACTACCAGACAATGTCCATATTTAATACACCCATACACCCCTTCCCCCCCTTCCTCCTCAAAACGGGTGCTTGGGGATAACTAGTTCCTGTGTCTTTCAAGATAGAGACAAGAGTCCAGCTCAACTAAGCTGGATGTGATGTCTAATAAATAAGCAGAGCATTTATAACGGAAACCAAAAACGGGTTCTATCTTGTGTTAGTTGATGACAGGCACAGAGAGCCGGGAACCAGCTTACAGAGCAAGCAGTACAACTCCTTCCTCTCTCGCATGTATCAGTTTAACACTGTGAGGAGCCTGGTGCAGCAGAGACAACAGAACAACTCCATCCTCTCTCCCATGTATCAGTTTAACACTGTGAGGAGCCTGATGCAGCAGAGACAACAGAACAACTCTATCCTCTCTCCCATGTATCAGTTTAACACTGTGAGGAGCCTGGTGCAGCAGAGACAGAAGTAAAACTCCTTCCTCTCTCTCATGTGTCAGTGTAACACTGTGAGGAGCCTGGTGCAGCAGAGACAGAAGTAAAACTCCTTCCTCTCTCTCATTTGTCAGTGTAACACTGTGAGGAGCCTGGTGCAGCAGAGACAACAGAACAACTCCATCCTCTCTCCCATGCATCAGTGTAACACTGTGAGGAGCCTGGTGCAGCAGAGACAACAGAACAACTCCATCCTCTCTCTCATGTATCAGTGTAACACTGTGAGGAGCCTGGAGCAGCAGAGCAGTACAACTCCTTCCTCTCTCGCATGTATCAGTTTAACACTGTGAGGAGCCTGGTGCAGCAGAGACAACAGAACAACTCCATCCTCTCTCCCATGCATCAGTGTAACACTGTGAGGAGCCTGGTGCAGCAGAGACAACAGAACAACTCCATCCTCTCTCTCATGTATCAGTGTAACACTGTGAGGAGCCTGGAGCAGCAGAGCAGTACAACTCCATCCTCTCTCTCATGTGTCAGTTTAACACTGTGAGGAGCCTGGTGCAGCAGAGACAGCAGTACAACTCCATCCCCTCTCTCATGTATCAGTTTAACACTGTGAGGAGCCTGGTGCAGCAGAGACAGCAGTACAACTCCATCCCCTCTCTCATGTATCAGTTTAACACTGTGAGGAGCCTGGTGCAGCAGAGACAGCAGTACAACTCCATCCTCTCTCTCATGCATCAGTGTAACACTGTGAGGAGCCTGATGTAGCAGAGACAGCAGTACAACTCCATCCTCTCTCCCATGCATCAGTGTAACACTGTGAGGAGCCTGGTGCAGCAGAGACAGCAGTACAACTCCATCCTCTCTCTCATGCATCAGTGTAACACTGTGAGGAGCCTGATGTAGCAGAGACAGCAGTACAACTCCATCCTCTCTCCCATGCATCAGTGTAACACTGTGAGGAGCCTGGTGCAGCAGAGACAGCAGTACAACTCCATCCTCTCTCCCATGCATCAGTGTAACACTGTGAGGAGCCTGGTGCAGCAGAGACAGCAGTACAACTCCTTCCTCTCTCTCATGTGTCAGAGTGTGCTTACCTGTTGACTGGTTAGATGCCCTGCGTCGGATCTCGGTGACCATCAGCTTGGACACATGGCTACAAAACTGTAGGATGTCACCCCACTTTTCTGTCATTTCACAAGATGGAGCATTCTCAAACACCTGCAACATCAACATTTATTATCATAAATTTGTGTTTATTGGAAGGGTACATCCTTGGGAAAATACATCCTAAGTCATAGTATTTGAAGTATTTTAATCCCATATACCTATCTGCAGATAATCCCTATCCCTATTTCAGCTGTAGAAACTTATCATTCTTAGCCCACTAGTCCTTATATTGATAACACAAAGCTGTAAAAAATTGTAAATTTCTACTAGTCCTTATGATACATGTACCTTAACTTGTGGGCAGTTTGGCAAGGACTACAGGACTAGTGCCAATCCTAATGATGTCTTTCATCACACAAAACCCATACACATTTACCCTACTAACCTTATTCTTTCAATAAATATCATCAACAACAATAATTATTAATGTATGGCTTTACTATTTAGTAAAGAACAAAACGAAAGAAAGAAACATATATAGCGTTACCTTTTTCATAATTTTCAATTTCATTAAAACCATGAGCAAACTTTGACTACCCAATCTGAAAAAAGGCTATTGTCAGCTTTCCAAAATGATATTTTTACCATCTTGATAGGAAAATTTCGATTTTGAACAAATGAAAACCCACACCGAACACAAAAATTCCTTCGATTGGGGCTCCCTTTTTGGGTATAGATGCCACAGCACTCAGAATCGACAGAATGTATAAAATATTCATAACAATATAATGGCACCGCTATACTTTATTTTGTCAGACGCTGTTGTTTTAGATCATATTTGAGATACCAAAAGCTGATATATATGATGATTTGAATGCTTCGCTCACTCATACTGAAAATTTAGAAGCCTCGATGCTGATTGATTAGAAAGTTCCCTTGACGCAACATCCTATCGAGGCGTCCTAAAAAATCATGCAGGGAGGTAAAAAGATTGGATTTTAATGAGATTGCATGATCTTAGAGTTCAGAAAATAATAGACAAAAGTGCATCCCTGAACATGCTGAAGCTTCGGTGGAATTCAAAAAGATAATTTTCCTGATAAACATCTAAAACAACTGTTGATAACATATAAACATATAAACATAATGATTTCCTTTGTAGCAATTTGTTAGCAAAAAACATAGCAGCCTCTGAAGTTCGGAATAATAGGTCATTGTGACATGAGAATAGATTATATTTTCTATCACGGATCCATCTCCATTTCAAACACACTAGGTCAACCTGTTTCGATCACTTTAGTAAAGAGATAATTTAAGTTTGGAATAAGGAAATAATACACTTAAGTTTATGATTTACACAAAGAAAATTTGGCAAAGACTGCAGCATTAAGATGCACTCCATAATTCGGAATGAAATAATTGGGATGGTAACATATTGTTAAATATGTTAAGCTATTTCAATGAAAAGTTACTTTATGTTCATACTATTGTGTATTACTGCTAACTTGTCACTGGATGTTGCTCAAATGATGTTATCTGATTGGTTCCTATTTGAAAAGTCTTACCATATTGGCAGGAATAAGTGCCCTGCTCCAATTATTGTTTGTTTGCTGTTTAACGTTCACTCAGCAATACTCAAGCTATATGACAGCGGTCAGTAAATAATCGAGTCTGGACCAGACAATTCAGTGATTGACATCATGAGCATCGATCCACGCAATTAGGTCAGCGAGCCTGACCACCCCATCCTGTTAGTTGCCTTTTAAGCATATTCGCCTTTTATGGCAAGTATGGGTTGCTGAAGACATATTCTACACCGGATCTTCACGGGTTCCTGTTCAAGTTAGGGTCTCCTGATCAACTGTCGTAAGTAATCTTTACTAAGCGCCCCTTACTAAGACGGAAAGGTAACATGACAGTCTGTATTTTATTGTGTACATTACACATTTTATTTTATTTTAAAAGCAATGTAGTAGAAGCATATATCATTGCCTAGTAACTATTATCAAAACTGTGTTTAGTTTCATTGACATATGAACTAATTTTGTTCACTACTCCTCGATTTCTGTCAACAAATGTTAGCCTCGGTGGTTTTAATAAGCCCCATTCATCAACGGGGCATTATTATGGCAAATATGGTATATGATTTATATGACAAGATTGCTTGTAAATACATAAAAAAAATCAACACCAGAGAATAACCGGTTTCAATTATCCACCACAACAAGATTCCATTGGGTGTAAAAGTAAAAGGTAAGTACTTATATTATTGTAGGTATTTATGCATGATTAAGACGTATACGCTAGAATACACAATAGCAAAACCCTTCACCTTAATATTAAAAAACCCAAAAACACTTCATCAAAGTTACCATGGCAACAATAACATCAATCTGTTCTGACCATACTTACCAAAATGTATTGCAAATGGTGCATCATATCATTTATATAATACCACCCTCCCAACAATGCTGCCAACTACACCCTACTTCTAAATAAGCAGGGATCCACTTAAGTGGGTATCTTTAATGTGTGTCTGACAACATGGACCACCTAACCTGTGTCTGACATTGATGTAAGAACACATTACAGTGGCAATCATCACATTATCTCCATCAGCATTTAAAAGCAAATTACCATCAATTCCAGACATAACAGTAACAGTCAAAATAGACTGATAGTAGAGCTAATTCAATATCAGCAGAAATAAAGATGAACAAGCAAGTGAAAAGTTTTTTATGTCTCTGTAAGCCATATTCCAGCTATAACTCTGCCTCCTGTAATAATAATTACCAAGTCAGGCCACACAAACAAGTGGTAGCAAAAACAAGCACCCATCAGGGTATGATGACACACAATCAGCCAGGTTACTCACGGTACTCATTCACACAACACATGACAAGCATGTGACCTTTATTACTAGGGCTGCAACGATACAGGAAGGTCACGATACGATACACATCTCAATATTCTGGTCACAATACGATACGTATCTCGATACGCAATGATAAAAAAACAAGACTTTAAGCATGTCAAGATTGAACCTTTCATGATTTTGGAACAGTCAAAATTATTTTATAATAACAAGACTACTGAAGTTGTTAAGCTTCAAAGTGGAACTTTCTCTAACTTTCCTTCAAAACAATTCAAAGTTCAAACACCAGAAAATAATTAATGTACTTCACCAGTGAAACAACTTCAAAGAATTTGTATGCAATGTTCGAAGAAATTGTATCTGAAACGATTGTTTTATCAGGAATAATACATTCCAATATCGTGTTACTTTAGTTGCAGCTTTTACTCTATATGTATTTAAAATTATAAAAACCACAAGCGTAGCATTTGGGTAATGGTGATTGCTGTTGCAGGATATTTTTATGTATGGAACAATTTGACCAGTCACAGTAGGGACTTCCCGCGCGACAGGTATTTCGATTGTGAAAATGTTATGTTGACATATATTAGCCAAATTGCCACAAATATGACTTTTAACGAGTCAAAGTATGTCCTTTTTAATATATGTATCCATTCTTTAGCAACTAAACTTCGTTTAAATGCGTCAAAAGCCGTAATCTGACCGTGGTTGCTGTATCTCTTCACACACGATTTCACCTAACTTATGAAAACAATATAAAATGAACATGATGAAATTTTGAATAAAATTGATAGAATATATTACAGACAAGTGTCCAGATATACAATGAACACGCTTTAATAACCAGATAGTATAATGATGGTATTGAATTGCGTACTTCAGTTTGGTTTTGCTGACTGGTATTTTCAGTGTTATGTGCTTATGGTGATCAGCTGATAATGTTTTTTGAGATGGGGAAAAACATCTGTCAGTGTAAAACCTGAGCTTATTAAAAATGTAAGTACGTTTTGGGGAGCCATGCGTTACCGCACACTATAACCAAGTTAGCGGTTTATTGAAAGGCACATAGCGAGGAAAAGCATTCCGCATCGTGGCGTATCGATAAATGGGCCCACGTTTATCGTATATCGTACCGTGGGGCAAGTATCTTGATGCATCGGAATATCGGTGTATCGTTTCACCCTTATTTATTACTACAGAATTCGGGACAAGAACACCAGGCCATTATAAATTGTTTCACTTGCTGTAAAAATAGCATCCCATACACTAATAAAATTAGAATGGATGCAAGTACTAGGCAGCGGAAGTCCCACTGAGAGTGGGAAATTGTGGCTGTCTAAATGATAATCATGATCATGATGATAGTAACTACTCCAATATTAGCATTCATATAAAATTTAAGTGGCATTTCTATTCTATGCTGGTATGAAATACAATAATGCAGACTGTTCATCTCCATATCAAGTGCGCCACATGTCACCAGCCAAGTAGGTCACAGTGGTCCACAGAGTTGTAACGATACAGTGGTCTTCCGATACGAAACAGCGGGCTTGCGATAAGATAAGTGGACTCGCAATATGATACAGTGGGCTCGCGATACAATACATTGGGCTCGCGATACGACACAGTAGACTTGCGATACGATACAGTGGGCTCGCAACACGATACAGTGGACTCGCGATACGATACAGTGGACTAACGATATGATACAGTGGGTTCCAGATAGATATAGTGGGCTCGTGATACGATACAGTGGACTCGCAATGCGATACGATACAGTGGGTTCTAGATATATAGAGTGGACTCACGATACGATACAGTGGGTTCCAGACAGATATAGTGGGCTCGTGATACAATACAGTGGATTCACAATACGATACAGTGGGTTCCAGACAGATATAGTGGGCTCGTGATATGATACAGTGGACTTGCGACACGATACAGTTGACTAAAGATACAATACAGTGGGTTCCAGATAGATATAGTGGGCTTGTGATACGATACAGTGGACTCGCGATACGATATAGTGGGTTCTAGATATGTGGAGTGGACTCACGGTACGATACAGTGGGTTCCAGACAGATATAGTGGGCTCATGATACGATACAGTGGACTTGCGATACGATACAGTGGACTTGCAATACGATACAGTGAACTTGTGATACGATACAGTGGGCTCGCGATACAATACACAGCATTAGAGATTGCCACTAGTCCAATAGTCCTTGCCAAACTGCCCAACAGTTAAGGTATCATAAAGACTAGTAGAAATTTGCCATTTTTTTCAATATGTTATCATTATAAGGACTAGTAGACTGAAAACAGTTTGTTTCTATCACTGAATACAGTGGACTCACGCTATGATATAGTGGGCTTGCGATGCAATACACTGGGCTCGAGATATGATACACTGGGCTCGCGATACGATACAGTTGACTCACAATACGATACAGTGATACATACCCTGACCCTATGGATGCAATACATTTAGTATCCCAATACAGTACTTTTATTTCACAAGTTGATATTCTTTCTTATTAGCAGGTGAATCACAGTCCTAAATTTAAATTTCAGACTGTAACCAACTGGGAAATGCTAGAGCATCTGCATTAGCTTCTTGTGGACCAGTTTGTTAGTATTCACATGTTTGTACTCCAGTACAACTTGTAATGAAATGTAACATGTATCACGATACAGGGGGTGAACATTAATGTATTGTATCGTGGGCCTCGTATTGGGATACAGTGCTGTATTGCTGTATCATTACACCACCAGGGTTATTTTTCTGTGATCCATTTAAGACATTATTCCTACCTAAAACAATAATACTGTAGGTGAAAGAAACAGATTTAACGTAGCCATCAATTGGTCAAATCCAAATAGCTCAATTCAGATTAGTGGCTTATGTAAAATTTTGGTAGAAAACAACTAGTCTCTCTTCTTGGACTATTGGACAAGTGTCCGTGTCTATCATTGTGATTACAGTACAACAGTCAACAACTTTAGCCACTTGTCCAAAGCTCGAATTTAGTAAAATTCTATTTGGTCTAGTAAAGCCAGCTGACAAAACTCCATATGATTCACACTAAACTCTGCGGAACATGATGCTTTGAGCCCAAACATTTAACATGCTATTCAAACATACAAAATATGAATCTTACAATACATTCCAATTCGACTTTTAAACGTTCTTGTAGTATAAACTACACTTACATCTAACTATTAGTATAAACACAAGAAACTAACTTAATTCAAAAAGAAAATCAGTTTGTGCTTATTTTATAGGGGTAAATGGTTGTTATTATGGCAAGATTTATTGCAGAATTTTGATAAATTTAATGCAGAATTTGTCTGGGACTGTTGTGTTAATGATGAAATAAGCAGCCTGTGAAATTATTATTGTTGGTGTATTTATTTATAAGAATTGGCTTCAGTATATTTTTGCGTTTATGAAGTTATACACACTCCACAGACTTACATAGCATGCACACCGTTTTTACATTTATACCTACATAAACACAAATAATTAATTGAAGTCTGTTCTTAAAAATAATGAACTAAAAGAACATCCAGGAAAATAGAAAAGTTAAAAAATCAATAATACCCCCCCCCCCCCCCCAAAAAAAACCAAACAACATGACCAAGCCATATCTATGTTTAAAAAAACTAAATGAGCATAAAAGAACCAACAACATTCTGACACTTGTAGCATTCCTCACTTGTTAACATTTAATGTAAAAATAGAAAACGAAGCATTAAAACCTGTTCCTATTTACTGGTCTTGTTATATATGAATACAGGTTACTACTACAAAGACATCATATTAGTTATTAGTTATATGTAATCATACATAGTAAAATGAATTGGGAAATTCTTAGTTCCAAATCAGGAAGTTATAATGACATTAACGGCAGACATGGGGCCAAATATCGGCCTGTGGGCAGGAATTGATAAACCCTGGCACCATTTGCTGGTATGATTACACCGGAAATGATCAATGCGCATACACATGTTACCATGGTTACAAAGCAAGCTCCATTCTATCATGTTCTATTGCCACCTTCAACTGCCTCCCAGGTTAGAGCACAATGAACAAAGGGTTTTAAACATCTTAAAGACACCTCCTTTTACCGTACACAAAGCAATAAGCGCCCAGGGGGCTCTCAAAATTAGAAATAGGGGGCTCTTATTGGAATATTATTTTAGTGAAAAAAAAAAAAGAGTTGAAAGATAAATATTGTGGTTTATGCTGACAGCCTGAAATGTTTATGTACGACAGATATATTTTTCCAGAATTTAATTGCCCATAATTAAGTGTGCGCATAACACATGAGTGCATATTATATGCGAATAAATAAGTCTTGTGTACATTGATCAATCGGAAGGGGTGCTAATTGGGGTTGTTCACTGGCCAATATATTAGCAAATATCGCTGTGGGCGCTTATTAGAGCGGGGCACTTATTACGTTGAACCCGGTACAGGAAAAGACTGCGATATGGCAATTCGAGCATAACTTGTTATAGTGCCCCATTCAAATCATGACTCTTAATGTCAGAGAGCCGATGACAGCCCTGCTTTCACTTTGGGCAAGCATCATCCCAGACTGTTTTTTCCATAAAGCGACCCACCTTTTTAGCAACTAGAATAAGGATAGGAAAAGGATCTCTACATTTACATCCCTGCTTTTGTGATGCATACTGAGTCAAGTAGCTTACCTTGCAGAATAGTGGCAGCATGTTATACAGCTTGTCCTCTTGGTCCTTCTGAGTAGCTTTGGCCGTTGGATGACGGAATTCCGCAAACAATTTGCGTAAATGCATGAGTCCGAGAGCATTGTCCTGGACATGAGATTGCCGGGCAGAGTCCGACATCAACTTCTGCCCTACAAGCTTCTTCATAAAACTCATGATTCAATTTTTTCTGCAACAAAAGAAAATATTATTTTTTAACATAAAGTTACACTAACAACATATGTGTAACATAATGAGCAGAACAGAAAATGACAAAGGAGGGACAGTATTTGGCCATTGATTTTGGCAATAACATATCAAAAGAGTGTAATGGTTCTGAATGCCTATCTTGAAAATTATGTCCATTTGGCATGGTTCAGGGGCCGTTTTTGCTTCTCTGCTGTTTCCATCACCACAACAAACACAAGTAGTTGTGTGTGAATGATGCTGATTTAATGAAACTGACCAACAACTTACACATACTTGTCACATTTATACATAGAAATATACATATAAATATACAAATCGTACCATTTACCTAGTTTTAACAATATACATTAATTAGCATGTTTACGCACTAAAACCCTCAGAGATACAAACCTGCCATTCAGGCAAAAAATATCACTTTGGGAAAAGTGTAAAACACCTAAAATATGTTAATGTTAAATGTACTAATCACTACAACCGTGGCCACAATACTAAGACTAAAAATAATGACATACCAATAACATCTTAAAAATATTTTAACACTGCCAACCAACCAAAGCATTATCCATTGCAAATGCACTACAAAGGATTTGATATGCATTTACCCTGTAGCTAATGGTAAATCCTTTGACGAGTCATATACCATACAATTTAAGCTTTCAGCCTCAGAAAATGAACTAGTCCTTTACAGATAATCAAAATGTTAAACTCAATCAAATGAAATAGGTGAGGTGAAATAACGTCGCGTCGAAGATTATTGCACTTACATAGTGGCGTGCATGCACGTGTGTGTGCATGTGTGGGTGCGTGCATGCTTGTGCTAGGCCGGACTTATGGCGATTTTATAGTGCTCGCCCACTGAGATACCATGCCAGTGTTTAACATGAATACCCCACTCAGACACAGTATACTGACTGAGCCGACCAGTCCTTGTTTTGCCCCTTAATGCCAAGTGCCAGGCAGGGTAACAACAAGTACCTTCTTTTAACGTCTTTTGGTATGACGTGGTCAGGGATCAAACCCTCGACCTTCCACTCTCCGGGCGAACTCTCTAACCACAGAGGCGGTCTCCAATGAAATAAGAACTACAAGCATCATCATAACCCCCTTTAGACCGCTATCACACAGCTGGACTACAGCTCAGTGACTGTGAGGCGTCAAACACCAAACAAACAAGAAAATATAACAATGAACTAGTTACTGTTTACATATGCATTTGACATTTTCTTGGAACTTGGTTACCTTAACCCCCCCCCCCCCCCCACCACCACACAATAAGAAATTTAATTCTCCTTTTTTAGCAAGTTTACATGAGTGACTGAGAGCATAAAATGCTGTTTTTACATGAAATTAATGTTATCTTCTTTGAGATAAGTCATACATAGAACGTTTGACTCGATGATTCTCGGTTTCACCTCTTGAGATGTGAGCTTAGATCACAGTCATACACAACATTTCGAGCTGTGCAGTGATTACAAAATCATACCATCAGATATCCTGAGGGAGCTGTTCAAAACTTTGATGTTGGATAAAAATCTTACCAGTAATTCTTTTAAAGTTTGGGGGTGAGGAGTTTAACATGAGCAGGTCTGCTAGCTTAACATTTAACAAAATCAACTTTCAGGGATTTTATGGTTCAAGTCAACAAAAAACATCTCTCATCGTCACATATTTTCTCTGAAATTGAACACCATCACTTTCGGCAGACAAGAATTTAAAAAAAGAAATTTTGTGCCAGTCAAAAACCTTCGTCTAGGCTCTTTCTGTTTGTGTCCCCCTGCTTTGCGGTACTATATTTCCATACACTTACCAGTAGTGCAATGGTTTATGATTTCTGCCTTTGTCTTTCTGAAAAATGTTTTGAGCATGTCAACATTGTCACTATTAAGGTTTGGCAGATCATGTGTAGTGGTATGTCTCAAAACTTAAGGAACTAAATTCTGGAACGAAGTTCACTACACAGCCACTAGTAGAATTCAGGAAAAACTAGTTCCATTTTCTTGTGAAATATTACTTTTGCCATTTGGTAGATGGCAACTCTGTTGCAGTTCTATTTTACGGACAAGTGAAAACATAAATTAACTTTTAACTCTGATTTAAGTTTTTTCATCTGACATTGGATTTTTTAAATGCGAACAAATAATTCCTAAAACTACTATACTAGGGTAACAAATGGAGGTGAGCGATATTAATGGTATACCACGATATGAAATACCAAAACATACATACCACAATACGTTTGGAAAAAGTAATGCTGTATTGCGTTTTTCAAAATCATGCGTATCTTGTTTGAAGATTTTAAACTAATGACAACTCAAATGGAAATAAAGAAATTAGCAACCTTTTCGTGTGGTCGAAAAAGTGAAACTATTTTTGAGAGTTTAATGTATATAATGTCTTTTACACACAATAGACAAAATACAAAAATACAAAGTTGTCAAAAACATGCGTGTGTGGGGGGGGGTGTATTCAGGTTCATAACAAATACAGATTAAAGAACGCATGCAATACATTGTGGTACGTACCGCAATACATGAATCATTATTGCTTTGTTTGTTTGTTGTTTATCACCACACTCAGCAATATTCCAGCTATATGACAGCGGTCTGTAAATAATTGAGTCTGGTCCAGACAATCCAGTGATTGACATCCTGAGCATCGATCCAAGCAATTGGGATCGATGACATGCATCAACCAAGTCAGTGAGCCTGATCACTCAATCTTGTTAGTCGCCTCTTACGACAAGCATAGTCGCCTTTTACGGCAAGCATGGGTTGCTGAAGACCAATTCTACCCCGGATCTTCATGGGTTGAATCATTATTGCAACAAATTGCAATACAAACTTCAGGCCAATACCCATCACTAGTAACAACCCATGGATAATATTATGATAGTAATATTTCTGATTAGAATAGAAGACTATGAAATACAAGCTAGAGAATAAACATACAGTGCTAGTCCTTCAGCCTGAAGGTATTTTGCCCAGTATTAAGTGTCAATCGTGTCAATAAGTGAGTGAGTTGGGTTTAATGCCACTTTGAAGTGTTCATCAGTCACATCTCTGCATGTCAGCCCTTGTGGGAGGAAAGCAAAAAGTGATGCAGATCCCAGATGTTAACCACTTTGGTGAAACCCATAAAGAATGAAGATGGATTGTGCTGACAAACCAAGAATCGTAATGAAAGTGAAAATTCAAAACCATGATCATCGGATTCTGATATGACTGATGGACACAAATTGGCACAGCGAATTGCAGCATCTTGTATAAGTGGCCACCCTTATGGCAATGAGAGATCAACTGAAAACCACTTGTGGTGTAACGATAAGGTGGGGTCGCAATACGATACATATCCTGATACTATGGGTGTGATATGATTTGTATCCTGATACAGTACTTTATTTCACAAGTTGAAATTCTTTCTTTTTGCAGGTGAATCAATCATTTGTCATTTAATTTTTAAGGGATCAAAGATGGGATATAATTGGGCAGAAACAAATTGGCTAGAGGGCACTGAGAGTGTTATGCTATTTATGTCCAACCATGAAATACTAGAGAATCTGCATAAGCTGGTGGTTGAACAGTCATTATTATTCACATGTTTCCTCAACAATATAAGATTATGTAATGTATTGCAAACTACATGTTATACAATTGCACAGATACACAGCCGTGATGGAAAGTTTCAAAAAAGAATCCATAAAAATTAAGATTTATTCATTGAATGATTAACATAAACTGCATGATTTCTGCAAATAGCAATCAGTGTCAGCAAAGGATACCTGGATGTGTGTGGGTAGGTACACAAGCTGATCACTTGAAGCCAGTGCAGTGAATAAAAATCAATGATGTCATTGTTTATACAACAATTTACTTCCTATTCAAAAATATAAAATTGTCAATATAAAGTGACGGGTGCAGGCTAAACGTCACCTCGGCAAAAGGACACAAATTTCTTGGGCGAAATCGGCACCTCATTTGGTAAAAACGGCTACTAATTGTCAGGCGAAAAAGGCACCTATGTTTTTAATAACGATAAGAACAACTTATGTGGTAGTATATATGCTTTATTTACATGCTTTATTATGCTATGTTGTAGCATATATGTTTTCCTTAGGCGGGGACGTCTGTTATCCAAAGAAACATTCTTGTAATGTCGGCTGCCGGCAGAAAGGGGAGATATATAAGAAATATCTATAAAATAACTATTTATTTCCTACTTACTAAAATAAATATTAAATATATAGTATACCTGTAGTCCAATTTCTTGACATTTCCACCAGACTCAGTTTCAACTTGACATTGAGTTAATTTGAGTAAAGGTACTTAAAACTTCAAAGCATGTGAGGTTTCAACGATAAGTTAAGTTGCACATCCCAATCAGAGTCGGTGAGTAAATTAGAGCAGAGGCTAATTCCTAATGTAAAATTGTTTTACGGCGATTAACATTTCACAATTGTTTGTGTTTGCAAGTGTGAGTTTAATTTCATTTATTTTACTTCAAAGCATGTAATGTTTTCACAATAAGTTTAGTTGCGCCTCCAAGTCCGGCGAGTAGAGGTTAGTTTCTAATGTCAACTTTTTTTAACATTTCACAGTTATTTGTGTTTGCAAGTGACCATGTGAGTTTAATTTCATGTATTTCAGTACCAAGGTAAACAAAAAATAACAAGGTGCTGTTTTCGCTAGGTAATAGTAGCCGTTTTCGCTTTAGGTGAGGTGCCCTTTTTGCCAATCGTGCTGTTTTTGCTCGGTGACGTTTCGCTGAGGTGCCATTTTAGCGAAAACCCAAAGTGATTCAGCACACCAAGAAAATGTAGATTGTTTCCCAGGGATTTTACACTTAACTGATTTAAAGTATGAGGAATCATGGCTATAGAAGTTGGAACCTAACAATGTCTAGTTAACCATTTAATCAGTGTTTACATTAGAAGAGATGGCTGTAAAAATGTGAACAGGCCGAGATGGCCTGAAGTTCTACATAGATACATAGGATGAGTTCATTCAGGCTCATTCCATTGATACTAATTTAATTCCTCCAATAAATATAATGCATTAATTGAAAATTTACTTTAAAATCATGAGTACGTCGCAAATCGTTTGGTGACTATAGTGCCACGGCTGCCAGAGATGATGCATTTACCAAATTGGCACTCTCAGAAGCAGGAAATCGGTTTGTCGGAATGTACTCATTACAAACCCTTTCTCTCATTTAGCCCGTGCGATGAAATGAGTTCGTATTGATATATCATATATGCTTTAAAAATTGGCATAGTATGATGAAGAAAGGTGAAATATTTAATGAAATGACCCCGCCTCCTCACCTCAGAAAACAAAACACGAATGATTGAATCAGACGATGACACTTGCTGTCAAACTCTGAACCAAGAATATCCACATAATGAACAGATATTACGATACAGTCTTACCTATCGTTCATTTGTGGAATCCCATGTGTGGTTATTACAAACTCTACATTGCAAATTATCATTATAAAGCATATTTCAAGGCATTTTTTCCTGTGAGTTTCGGTACGATATCCATTTCTCACTTCCGCGCATGTTCAGTTTACTTCCGCTAGGTGGCGCTATAGAAATATCACATCCGCCGGCCTTCCTCAAAGTCAGAATGTTCATGGCAATCATTTATTTTGCAGCACATTTCGTTTTCTCAATGATATCCAGCCATTTGAAGTCTGTTATGTATAATTCTTGAGATATTTTTCATAAGTCATATTTAGATGGACAGAAAGTCCCAATCTCCATTGCGTCTAATCGATCTTGAGGTCCTTTGCTGCTCTTGGCAAAGTGACAAGGTCACATGTCGTAGATTGTCAGACGGATCGAAACTTACTGACGCAGATAGGCGCAGCATTCTTCTGGTCGCATTATTTAGAACCAAATTACCGTTATATTAGAAACATTAGCTTTCCTTTCGTGAATGTGAATGTGTCCGAGGAAAAACCTTACCCTTGCTTTCAATGAATCGTCAATAAGAAATATGGAATTCTTAAGGCAAGAGTCTGATGGATAGGATATTTTCCCCTGTACGTCATCAACTTACGCTATGAACATGAATTTTTTTTTATTTAATCTGATCACAAATCCAGATCAAAATATTATGACAGTCTTTCCATTTAGTCTTTTTTGCATTAAATGACGTATCAGGCGAAAAAATTGCTAATTTAGCCTAGTAATTAAATAGGCTCCATATACATATATATATATATATGACTATCATAAAACTCCAAAGATGTTGTTAAAAATGGAAAGGAACAGCTAGGGTGCATCCCCAGTTATAATTTAACCCACCTACACAACTAGAATACCATAACTCAGAACGTTTTATGGTTTATATTATTAAAATCGTAGTTGCATGTAAGCTAGATCAATTTATCCCTCAGTTCAAGTGAAAATGCTGAACGTGTTTGAGCAATATTTGAGTTGATAGACTTCTTCGTAAAGTACAAAATTATAACCGTATTGGTAATGTGTTTTTATGGAGCGTAACTATGACTGCAAGCTAGGCGTTTCTTCGTGCAAATGTGTTGATGAATTAGGTTCCAATGTCTACATGAATATTGTAGCCCTTGATGGTTTCAGCACAGGTACATACATTTCCATTGAATTATTCACTCATTCGGTATTATGAATTGAATTGATTAGGTATAGATGAATGGAGCAAATTGCGTATATCCTATTGCTGAAAGCAGCATGATTGCAAATGAATAAGAATAAATTAGTATTCATATCTGCGTTCCTCTGACATGATTCTCGCGAACAGATATTTCGCCTGCTCTCGTTCAACAGAAACTGTCCTCAGTCTTAACTGGTACCGCTGCTTGCATCCGCGACCGCATACTCTATAAGCTGGTTCCCGGCTCCCTATGCGCGTCGTTAACTTGTGATATTAGAGACGGGGCCTAGCTTACCGCATTCTGTTGACTTAGACTGGAGCCAAGTCAGTTGCGCAGGGAATATTTTCGAGCGATTTATGCGAATATACAAGCTGGAACTAATTTCGGTTCCTAAAACTACTAGACATCATGTTACTGTAATATTCGAGTGTTAATCTTGTGACCTTTATTTTCTTCAAAGACATTCGTGATCACGGCGCGTCGCGTTGACTGGGCTCCTCACACCGATATCTGTAATGTCGCGTACCAGCTGTACAACCAGTTACCAGTGTAAATCTTGCATATTACGGAACGTCCCGAATGCTAACGAAGGATATCCACATAACGGAATATCAACGGAGATACGACTTGTTCCGTAAATACCCGAGCGCTTACAAATAGGCAAAAATAGATCGCAGCTGTTGAACCAGTTCAGGAGTATCGTTGGCGTTGCTTACTTAATGAATTATTTCCCTGTCGTTCAGCAAGAGCTGCGATGGCCGAGTGGTTAAGGCGTTGGACTTGAAATCCAATGGGTTATTCCCGCGCAGGTTCGAATCCTGTTCGCAGCGTATGTTTTTTGCCCAGATGAGCATACGTCCCTGAATAAATGCCCTGAAAGTAACCCAAGAAAACGTTAAGTACACAAAATACCAGAGAATACGTAATTTTGAAACATCTTGAAAAAGTAAGACTGTATGTATAGTTAATAATGTTTGAGTTTCAAGAAACTACACTAAACTACGTTTTCGTCCTTGCAAAGATGATGGGCGGGAAAATCCCTCCCAATTTGAGATTTTTATCCGTGACATATTTCGTTAACATTTACAACAACAAAAACACGTCTATATACAACTGTTTACCCAAATAAAGCCAAAGTTTACAAGACTGACATTAAGTCTCTGAAGCACATTTTAGAGACGTTTTTGGTTTTATTGTCCAATAATACATACATGTATTATAAATCGGTCCAGATAATCTCATCATTTCCAGGACCAAATACATATTCGGATAACACACACACACTAACACCAGATTATCGATTGTATGAACACGCGCCCCTGCGGTATGGGACGATGTCATAATATCAAATTATCAAACCCATGTTTGTCTGGTCCTTAACTATTTTACAGGCTGTCGTCATACACGCTGTAATATTGCTCAGTGTTACAGATCAAACAAACAGCTGCACGGCTTCTCCAGCAACCGTCTACGACCGTACACTGCTGATGAAGGTGGCAAAGGAGTATTTGCATGTGTACATTTTAGCGATTCTAAACGTTGATTGGCCAGTTGAAGCAATATGACGTCACTTTGCTCCGGTATTGATTACATGACGCCCTGATTTGTTCACGACGTCACGAATTGATAATTAATACCTTTTTCTTAATTTTGTTTTTAAAAGTTACACTTTGTAATGTATGGTATGATATACCCACATTCCATATCCATTGTGGAGTGATATTGTTTGTTTGTTGTTTAACGCCGTACTCAGAAATATTCCACCTATATATATGACGGTGGTCTGTAAATAATCGAGCCTGGACCAGACAATCCAGTGATTAACATCATGAAAATCGGCCTTCGCAATTGGGCTCAATAACATGCATCAACCAAGTCAGCGAGCATGACCACCCGATCCCGTTAGTTGCCTCTTACGACAAGCATTGCCGCCTCTAGGGCATCTTCAAGGGTCCGTATTATATTTACGATACAGAAGAAAACAGGGCTAATTTCTCTATGCGTTACCCATTGTGATGTGATGTTTGTCTGAAATATGTACTACACTACGGGTTTCTGTTCAGGAATGTACCAGAGATGCACCATCAACGATAATGCAGTGTATTATATATCAGTTCTGTTACTATTACTATTCGAGCGAGTATGGGTTTACGCCGCTTTTAGCAATATTCCAGCAATATCACGGCAGGCGACACCAGAAATGGGCTTCACACATTGTACCCATGTGGAGAATCGAACACGGGTCTTCTGATGGACGAGCGACCGCTTTAACCACTTGCCTACCCCACCCCTATTTCTATTGGACACAACACGAAGCTATTGTGGCGAAAAGGTCCAGAGTATTTATCATGATACAATAAAAAAAAAAAATACACGGAATAATCGAGGATGGATTTGTCTTAGTATATCATTGCTTACCTGGGGCCCGACAAGTATAATATTGTTCGTGTGTAGAGATATTTGTTTCATCCGGATTAGAATAGGTCTTCAGCAACCCATGCTTGCCGTAAAAGGCGACTATGCTTGTTGTAAGAGGCGACTAACGGGATCGGGCGGTCAGACTCGCTGACCTCGTTTGTGCATGTCATCGTATCCCAACTGCGTGGATCGATGCTCATGATGCCAATCACTGGATTGTCTGGTCCAGACTCGATTATTTACAGACCGCCGTCATATAGCTGGACTATTGATGAGTGAATGACCGTTTATTAACAGGCCGGTATATGCAGGGATGGTAATAACAGCATGGGTGTAGTTGCTGTACCGGACCACCAAGGACCCATTTGCGTCCATTATTGGATGTGGTTTACTCACGTACATGGTTGTGGATAAAAATAGCACATCTTGGCAAGTAAACTTGGAAGTCTCTCTCTCTCTCTCTCTCTCTCTCTCTCTCTCTCTCTCTCTCTCTCTCTCTCTCTCTCTCTCTCTCTATCTATCTATCTAGGAGTGAGTTAGGGTCGTTTCTATATAATGAATATTTTCTATATGTAAAGTACGATCCTACTGCTCCGAGAGAAAATCATTACAATAAGTGGTGAGCTTGTGGGCCACACTAAAACAGCTACATTGTATATCATGAATGGGTCGAACCCGGACCAGCCAAACCACGAGCAACACGTCCCGCAATAAAGATACAGAATGCCAAAGTCAAACTTCCAAGAATTCGCCACCATTTATTTCGGCTCCTGACACCAAGGCACTTTTATCATAAGTGAATGGAGATACCATACTTTGGACAATCGAGGATGAAAGTACATGTTCTGTCCCAGAATCACAGCCCCGGACAGTGCTCCATGACATGAACATGTTCGTCCCCAGGTAATAGAAATGGAACTGCTAAGTTGTATTTTTCTTTCCACAAATATATCCTATTAACTCATTTGAAATTAACAAATTAGTTTAGTGCAGTAGAGAGCGAAATTGGAATAGATGAGATCTTTATATCTTTGCGTACCTTGCTTAAAAATGATTGAAAACAAATATAAAATCTATTTAATCATATTCATTTAATTCAGCATGGCGAACATACGCGAATGTAATTGGGTCAAACTGGACAACTGTAGACTGTCTCCCAGACCCTAGAAAATAAAGTTAAAATCGAATCCAACACAAGTCTAGGAATTAAGCACTGTTCAGGGCTCAGTTTGGATTTTATTTGCTTATTTCTTAATACTAGTATATTTTGTCAATGAGATAACTTTATTTCTAGGACTAAATGTAGGTCTGAGGCGGCTGGTTTATAAATTCGTAGCAAGGCATATATGGTTACAACTCCAAGGAAGGGACAATGTCGATGGCGCTTTGACATGTCTTCCAAACAAGTATAATCCTAACGACGCAATACCCCGTGGCAGAAACACCACCCGTTGTATGCAGATTCGATTCTGGTCCAGGAAGGAGAGAGAAATCTAACATCCATA